GGAGAATCGAAATATGCATTTTTATCCTTTCATCAACGATGTAAAAAAAACCTTAGCAAGATATTACTTACGGATGCTACGAGTAGATCAGACAGAAATAGTATATGTTCCAATCCAAATATACAAACGAGTGGCAGTGCCTCAGCTTAAATCAGACTGACTAGACTCTCGTAACCAATTAGTTCTGTGACTGCCGGGAGAGCTCTGATCCAATTAGGCTTGTTTCGAACCAGGAGCACCACTCATCAGTTTGTGTCTGAGTATGTAGTTGCGTTTGTCAACACAGACAGAGTAGAGTCTACGGGGCACATATCTCCTTGAGACGCTAGGTGCCAGATGCTACAGCACAGCTTCTGTTATGTTATGTTATGTTATGTTAACAAGAGCTATCTATATTTATGAGCCATATTTATTACATATAATGTCAGGGCCCGGCCCATCCATCCGAGCTACATAGCTTGTCAATGTGATGCTAAAGATCTCCAGAGTGGCGGGTCTGATCGGTCAGGTCATATCATGTTCGTATGAGTTTTAATGGCTAAGATAAGATGAAAATACTATAATTAGGATATGTACTCACTCGAGTATGTTAAGCATTGTTTTACTACCTTACCTGTATTTAAAATGAAGGTCAATGAAATGATGGAGAAAGAATATGGATAAAGATGAAGATAGATAGCAGTATATATATGTAGACATCGATCGATCGGGGGGAGATATCCATTCATTTCAAACAGCACAAACTACATAAGGTAATGTAATACCAAAAGTTTCTACCTCTCAATTTGTGAAAGGTTGGTGTTGATTCTCAATTCAAATCCAATGAACTCATTCAGCTTCCTATATTCAGCCAGCCAAGAACCTCATTATCTACACTCTTAGATAGATTGAATGGCAACTTCATAAAAACACCACACGCATACTCATTTAAACAACTGAAATCAGTTCGCTTGCCAAGTTGCGCAAAACTTCACCATGCAGTCACAGAACCAAATATCATTTCCAAAAGATATGATGGTCATCATTATAACACAAGAATCTACCGAACTATTCGTGAAACTCGAGAAAGCAGGCGTTTCTATGTAGGAAAGACAAGTGATTAATTGATCTTGTATGGGTGATGCAATATATATGCACGCGATATTGAGATCATGCCACCTACTGTGACACAAGCGGGGAAGATCATGAAGATTGCCACTCAAGAATATAAGGGTTGGGCGGGCAACTTCAACTGTGTGGTTTCGCAACAGAAAAGGTGACTAGCTGTGATTATGAACAGAAGGGCGAGTTCCACCATGGAAAAGAGCTTTGAAACTTCAATATGAATTCTCGAGGAAGTTTTTGGCTGCACATATGCCTGCCAATACCGGTTGGAAACTGATGATGATTGGGTTGAAAAGAGATGATACCCCGGGTAGGTTGTTGGGTGATTGCAATCCGGACTATTGGAAACCCTGAATTCAACAATCAAAGCAAGGTGCCATAAGTACCCCTCGCGTTTGATACTTAGTTCGATGTAATTTTCAGATATACTATTGCGTTGTGTAGGCATTCCTCGTTTGGCCAAAATCTTGGCCAAAATCTGTATCTGTTCGTGGCTTTGATACGAGCATCTTGACATAAATCGTCTCGAGAGTATGAAATCCCCGCGTTTACTTGAGAAAAAAATGCTCATAAAGAATATTCCATCTCAGGACATCTCATATCTCTTTCAATCGAGAGTTGATTTCCATTGCTAGCTTGAATACCTGCGAGAAAATCAAATCAAGTACAAACAAACCATCCTAAATCGCTTGATTTGGTATGAATTGAGAAGAATGTATATTTTGGATATTATGAGAAACATGACGGACTCAAGGAAGCGTGTAATAGAGATATATAACAGTTGCAAGTACCCGAGTGGATAAGACTCACGATCTTTGTTGTCCACGGCTAGAATGGCCTTGTATTTAGATACTGTATGTCTAGCCGCGTGCTGTTGCCGCAATTTCAAGCAGAGATTTGTATAGAGTGAAGGAATTCCTTGGTAATAGAACATAAACACATCTATCAATGATGTTTCTGCGCCTATTGTCTCTATTTTTGGTCGTTGCAATGAAAGTCACAATGATTTACCTTTCTCTTCCAGGTTTGGTGGCCGCATTCACCGTTCATGTAAGATTTTCGTCTCTGTGGTCAGCAGAGAAGGAGACTTCGATGAAGTCAACAAGCATCAGCTGACGCAGCTGCTGATACCTTGCTGGCTGTAGTGATAGCTGGCACTTCACTAATTAGAGGTAAACACGCGGGAAATTGTAGACCAACGTCATGATAGCAAAGTAATTTTCGTTCCATTATCATCAATCATCCATCTGATGATGTCAATATGCCTCGGCAGTGTCGGCACAAATCTCAAAATGACCAAAATGAAGTTCTCTCTGAGTTGTATTCACAGCAAGTACGAGTAATGCATCTCTGATTCAGACAAATTCAAGAACGGATCAGGGTCCACCCCGCCACGCCGAGCAAGGTACGACGACGTGTTTTATGGATCCTCGGATATCGCTCCGATATATATTATTGCGGCTCAATTCTCATAATTTTCAATTATCAAGCTGGCATCGTAACACTGGCATCGTGACGGTGGCACGTGGACAAATGATGGTAGCGAAAGCGAAAGCTGGGTACGTATTGTGGCAGTGCCATATTGCCACGAAACGATGACGGATCGTAACAACGGCGGTGAGTAATTAAAATCACGATGGCTGTGGATAGCAAAACGAATACGTGCAGATGAAGCTATGGTATGAGAATAGCCCTAGCTTGTGTTGCAGATTCAGATTCAGGTTCCGAACCAAACCAAACCACTTCTTTGAAAAGGGCGGGGTTGGGTTTGCTACAACCTCAGCCAGCCTCACTAATCATTGATGAAGTGAGACGAAGAAGGAAATTCTGAGAAAGGAAATGGTGCAAATCATGTACAGTAATTGAATTACCAATGCAAACTTGCACCGCCTGCTTCGATTGCCGGAAAAGAAGTACATTAAGTTATGGAGCTTTCCTGCCACCTCCTTGTCAATCAAACGATAGTATCAATTAATTGCGATCCGATCGCTTGACGAAAGAAAAGATGGCTGGAGATGGCTGGAGATGAGATACGCTCGGTCAAGTCCAAGTCTCAAGAATCAAAGTTCCGTTCCGTTCCATTACACGGTTACAATAAGAAAATCAATCAATCCGAAGTTCAGAATCAGGATAGCCAAGGCTTTAATGGAGTAAGGTAAGCTTCCGCGCTAATGGATAAATAAACTAAATTAACCAACTAAACCTCGGACGGGAAGACGGAAGTGGCGCGCTGTGTCAGAAAAGATAGAAAAAGACTAAAAAAAGGAAATGAGTTAGAACAAGGTACCTGAATTAAGCAGGGTTTGCTATGGCAACTAATGAGATAGTGTGATTACTAGGTAGGTACTAGGTAGTTTTGATAGCAACGGAAAGATCCTTTCCTTAATTGAAGCTTGGATCATGGATGTCCGATGAAGACTGAAGTGAAGGCTGAGCCGCTGAAGTGAAGGAAAGAACCGAGGTGCAAATAAATGAAAAAAAGCTTCCAGATTGTGGTATTCCTTATTAATTCGTATCAATAATTCTTTGAATAAAACGGTATTATCAATGAAGCTTACAAGTGTGACAGCTTTACATTAATTCATTCAATTGATTGATTGATTGATCGATCGATTCATAAAGCTCTCTGAATCCCTTCCTGCTTCTGCTTCTGCTTCTTGTTTCTGCAACAATACCAAAATCTGATTTGAGCATTGGTCTTTCGCATGTGACGCGCGACCAACCAACCGAGCGTGAGAAGCTCGGGTAAAAGGAGAGCTTGAGCTTACACTCACTTCACCTCATTTAACCACATCCATCCAATAAACTCTGACCACGATACGAATCCAGTCCAGGATCTTCTTATTGTGAGGAGCTGAAGTATGTATCAACTGTACAAGAGAAAGAGATTAAATATATTTCCCACCGACCAGTCAAAACTTCTTTTGAAGCTATTGAAACTTATACTTATCCACTCTGGACAAGGTTCTCAGGAACACGGCCAATTGTACTCGAGTAAGGCTGGGGAGGGTTTCCTTTTTGGGTTGTTGTTGTTGTAAACATTGAATAGATGGCCAACCGGAGGGTTTCTGATGCCGGATACTTGATACAGTTACTGGAAGTTACTCGGAGGAAATTTGGAAAAGCTGCGATGGCTGGGGCCGAGAACATATGAAGTTATGAACACGAAGGATCCACTGTTGAGTAACTCCACTTTATATTCTCAATATGGTATGGAGCATCAAGTGGGGAACTGCTTGTTGATAACTTGTAATACGATATGGAAATTGAAATATGGAAGGACAAGAGTCAAGCAAGAGTTGAGGATGGACGAAATAGCAGAACCAAACAAATGTCATGGGCATGGGAGGGAAGTATCAATTGACATCACATGAAATACTACTGTAGTGACTGTACCGGTATTATTAATGATTTGACTTCTTTCTGGGGTAGCTATTGTACCACAGAAGAAGGTGGAAGAGATTGAAGCTATTACTCCGTATACTACTGTACCAAACTTCAATCAGTTTCACTATTCAATAGATCAGTATTAGACTATTAGTATACTCGGTATAGATACTTCGTACATAGGTATCATTTGCTTATTCTTAAAAGTACTCTTATTTCCGTCTCAGTTCTATCACTCACCACTCACAAAACTCACTTCTATCACCCATCCAACCATCAACAACTTTCTTCCCTACCTACCTTTCGATTTCTGCATTGTAACTTGGCTTCCCTTTCAATGTAACTATCCAAAAGAGTTAGGTAATTACTCTATTCAGTTAGCATAATATTACAGTATATACCAAAAGTGAATGTAAACAAACAAATAAAAAAACAAAAAGATGGCGGTATAATTTAAAATTGAATTACCCTTGATACAGATTACAGATTAACAGATTTTTTTTTTGAATCCAACCACCCTGATTTTTCTTCAAAATTTTCCCACCTTTCCTCGAAATCTCATTTACCTTCTTTCAAACCTTCCCTCTTCTCTCCTCCAACCCTCCAACCCCACATCTACACAAATACAACCTCAAAATCACAAATCCCCAATCCCCAATCCCCAATCAACTTCGTACACACACACACACACACACACACACACCTTCAAAAACTCCCCCCCCAAAAATTTAACTTACTTTACACATCCACAACAATAAACAATTACTCTCTTGCTACCTACTCTTTGTTCATCTTGAAAGACCTCATTTTTGAAATTTTTTGAAAGTCGAGTCAAGAAACGTTACTTTAGACGTTTTCTTCCCTCTTCCTTCTACCTCAAGAAGTAGAGATCCTTCTTGTGATATCCTTTCGGCACGCTGAAAGGTATTCGAGAAGTGTTCTCGCCATAAAAGGTCGTCAACCTGGACTTTGACGCACGAGTACCGATCCCCTTCAGCATCTTCCCGTCGTCGTATCGAAGCGACGTCGCTGCCCAACCCATTCAAATCACCGAGACTCACGTCGAAGGTGAAATCACTCTACCACATCATCACGAGCGCGCCGGACGGGAAGGTCAAGAAGAGGACGCTCAATCTTCCTATTCGCAACCGGAACATCAACATCAACCGCATCAACAACAACATCACCTCCCTCCCCCTCCGCAACGACAGGAATATTTAGAAGAAGAGCTTCATATTACCCGCGAAGAAGACCGTCGTTCGGAATTCCGTCCGAGCCGAAAGGAAGAAGAAGTTTATATTCGTGAAGAGCGCAGGTCAGTTAAATCCATTTTACATCTCCCATCTCCATTTCTTACACTTTCAAAAATCCACTATATCAATAAATCAAAAACCAACAACACACACACAACACACTCCAAAAAAAGAAAAAAACACCCACAATCTCTACACCTCCATTTTCACCTCTCTTTCACTTTTTTTTCCCCCTTTTCTGCACAATTCTCTACTGTTTGATCGTTATACAACATAAGATCTGGCCAATATCGCAAGCTCCCAGTATCCAATTAACAATTAATTGGGTCCTTTCTGAGACAAATTTGCCAGCTTTCTTGTTTTTTGTTATTACGACGCACAGTCCAACGATCTTCGGTTTAGTCCCAGCCCCCCCTTTTTACCCCAAATACATGGGATCTTTTTTTTTCTTTTTAGTGTTGACACAGTAACGCTCACCGTTTAATTTTCTTCATTAACTGACCTTTTGTTTTCTTACTCTCTTAGACCCGAACACAAACACCACTCTGCTTCCTTCGACCTTGACACCCCACATCATCACCGACACTTCGAAGCTTCTTTTGAAAGAGATAGTGACCGTCACCACACACACAAACACACTGAAGTAAACATCGAATCTCCTCGTCGTGAACATCATCATCAACATCAACATCATCAACGTCGTCCATCTTCTGAAGTAGACTTCGAATCAGAACGTGAACATCAACCTCGTCGTTACGAACAACGCACCGAAGTTGATACTCAAATCTCTGCTCCTTTAAAGAGTCCTTCCGAAACCCAAATCGATTTCGTCGAACGTCAATACCGTTCCCGAACTCAACCAAGTTACAAAGAAGAAGAGACCGGCATCGTCGATCCTCCCCAATCTCGTATTTCTGAACCAAGATACATCGAGGAAACCCGCGTAACCGAGACAACCATCGTCCCATCACCTGCCCGATCCACTCACTCAAGCAAACCCAAGTCCATCTTCCACGAAGAAAAAGTTGAGAAAGTTCGCACACCAGCCCGATCTACTTTCACCGACACCAATCGTGAAAGAGAACTTGTCAAGTACTCTCCACCAGCACCTAAATCAAGCTCTTCAGCTTTCAAACCAGTAAAACTCGATATGGGTTACTACGACGAAGAAGGTAAGATTCTTTGTTTGTTTTTATCTAACCCTGCCCCCATCATGTACCCTAAGCATAATTATCAGGGAATTATCACTCCTTGCGGGGGAATTATTACCAAGGAAACGGGAAACAAAAGTACCAGGACCCAATTGACTCTCTCGATTTAGCCGGCGCCCCAGCCGTTGCTGCTCCAAAGCAACCTCCTAACACCGTTACCATCCCTTGCCACCACATCCGTATGGGTGATCTCTTGATGCTCCAAGGACGTCCCTGCCAGGTTATCCGTATCACCACCTCCGCTGCCACTGGCCAACACCGTTACTTGGGTGTCGACCTCTTCACCAGACAATTGAATGAAGAGTCCTCTTTCATCGCCAACCCAAGCCCAAGCGTCGTCGTCCAAACCATGTTGGGACCCGTCTTCAAGCAATACCGTGTTCTTGATCTCCAGGACCAAACCGGTAAGCATTCCTATCCATCACCTCATACCTTGACTGTCTCATGCTAACATTGAATTAGTTGTTGCCATGACCGAGACCGGAGATGTCAAGCAAGCCGTTCCCGTTTTGGACCAATCCAACCTCTGGACCCGCCTCAAGGAAGCCTTCGAAGGTGGACGTGGTAGCATCCGCATCATGGTCGTTGCCGATGGTGGTCGTGAGATCGCCGTTGACATGAAGACCGTCCACGGATCCCGTTTGTAGAAACTTCCTGTAACTGTCATACCATGGCGTCCTACTGGCAACCCTTCCAAGGCGGAGTTTCTTTTTTTTTTTTGATTTCTTTGTGCATTTTCGGTGGGAAAATTTGATCGTATGACGGGGGTAGATATGGATTCAGATTGATTAATGAGGGATGAATTTGGACGATCGGGTATTATCTGGTCTTTCAGATTTTTAGTTTAACGAAGTATTCAAGTGGTTTCTTTTGATACCGTTAATGATAATACTACTTTGGTGGTGTTTTCATGATGGTATCGAGGGTTCTTGATGCTGAGGTCTTTTTCTTTTTTGTAATTGTGTAAATAGGATCAGACCCAGAATGAAAACACACTGCTTGTCTTTTACTTATTATTCATTTGACCTTGATTGAATTCCAATGTGAGACTGATGAATCTTAGGAATGTCAGTTTTTGCAATCAATCACCATTGCTAGAGAATGTTAGCTACTCGCCCAGCCACGATCAAATGTAAGTTCGCATAAGACGCGGCATAAGTCCGGAGTGGGGGTATTATTAGATCCCTCGATTTAGTAAGAAGTACCCAAGTACCTTGATGGCTCACGAGCACCTTCTTTATCTAGAAACGCTCTAGAAACGCGCATGACACCATTCCTCGCCATTCACAAAGCTCCCCCAGATAAGCTTCAAAGTTCATAAGATATGAATGACCCCTTTTACCATGTTATCCATCCAAGACCATAAATCCATCCCGTCCTGCTCTATCTACCTTCTACCTATAAACGTAACCATCATCAAAACTCCCCTTCTCTCCAAACCCATCTCCTACTTCACACTCCCATTTCACACATCCAAAGAATAGTCAATCATGGGTGCATCACAATCAACCCCACACTTTCCGAGTGAAGCCGAGGCCAAACGCATCCTCCTCGAGAAGATCCACAACATGACCCTTGATACAGCAGAAGATGATTATATTCATGTTGATGAGAAAGGTGTTGCACTCCAAAAGACATCCAGAGCTCAGTGGACTCCATTGATTGCTTCGAAAGTTGTAAAGTGGGAGGAGGAACTATTGAGTGATCCTAAGAATCGGTATGTTTACTCGACATTTATATCGTGTCGTCTCTTGCCCCTGTAGAGTTTGTCTTCATCATACTGATATAGAATGATTATATAGACTCGCACTTAGTGCTCTCAGCTCTGCAGACCCTCGAACTGTCTTGACATCTCGCACTACTCTCAATAAAGACCAACAGATCTTTTCTGTCAAGATTCCCTTTGAAGGAGCACCGATTACAAACCAGCGACAATCAGGACGTTGCTGGTTATTTGCATCCACTAATGTCTTTCGAGTTGCGTTGATGAAGAGACATAATCTCAAAGAGTTTGAATTGTCACAGGCATATTTGTTCTTTTGGGATAAATTGGAGAAGTCCAATTATTTCTTGGAGCAGATTCTTGATACGGCGGGGGAGGATTTAGATGGAAGATTGGTGCAGACATTGCTGGCTACGCCGGTTAGTGATGGGGGGCAATGGGATATGTATGTCCCCTTACATGATATTACCTTTTGACACTATTTCTAACCAAATGTTGTATACAGGGTTTACAACATCGTCCACAAATATGGTCTTGTACCTCAAGTCCTCTATCCGGATAGCTTCAATGCCCAAACATCCTCGGTGATCAACAGTATCATCACAACCAAACTCCGTGAAGATGCTCTTAAATTACGAGCTGCTGCTGCCACAAAGTCCGCATCTACCCTGAACAATCTAAAGGAGCATATGGTTCGCCAAATTCATCTTATCCTTACTCTTGCTCTTGGTCCCCCGCCTGCCTCTGATACCGCATTTACATGGCAATATCTAGACAAGGATGACAAAGCCCAAGAATTAAAGGCTACCCCAATTGAGTTCGCCAAAGAATTGAATACTCCCAAGTCAATGAGAATTACCAATTCTACTGTCCATGATATGTTCTCTCTGGTCAATGATCCAAGAAATGAATACAACACCCTCCTCACTGTTGATCGTCTAGGTAATATCGTTGGTGGTCGCCCCATCACCTATATCAACGTCCCCATGTCCACCATGAAATCCGCCTGTATCGCCATGTTAAAAGCCGATCTCCCAATATTCTTCGGCTCGGACGTCGGGAAATACAGCAACAGTCAAAAAGGAATCATGGATCTCGACCTCATCGACTACGAACTCGGCTTCAACATCAAACTTGGAATGACCAAAGCCCAACGTCTCATGACGGGCGAAAGTGCCATGACTCATGCCATGGTTCTCACAGCCGTACATCTCGATGATGAGGGAAAGAGTGTAAGATGGAGAGTTCAAAATAGTTGGGGTGAGGGGGCGGGGACAGATGGTTGGTTTGTTATGAGTGATGAGTGGATGGATCAATTTGTTTATCAGGCAGTGGTAGAACCGAGGTTTGTGAGTAGGGAGATTAGAGATATTTTGAAAACGGTACCGAAGGTGCTGAATCTTTGGGATCCGATGGGTGCGCTGGCTTAGATTGGTGTGGGTTTAGGTGTGTATGTGGGTATGTGGGTATGGGTAGAGTGAGAGTGAGATGGAATGGTTTATGAGAGATGAGAAATGAGAAATGAGTAATAGATGATATGATATGATATATGATATGAAGGCGTGGGTGGCTAAGTGGGGTGGTTTTGGGGCAGGTAATTGAAATTGAATTAGTAGTTATAATTATGAGAGTTTATAATATTAATAATTCTCGCTCTACTTGGAATTTTTTTGGTTACTTCAAGTTGTTGTTATTGTCATTGTTTATATAACTATTCGAGTAGAGAGCTAGTTAATTAGTTAATTAATCCTTTTTTCCTTTTTTTTTCTGTTTCTTTTTCTTTTTTTTTAATCCCTGAAGCAAAGCTTTATCGGATTGAAAATGAAAATGGGGATGAGGAGGTGAATGAGGATGGGGATGAGGATGTGAATGTGAATGTGAGTGGGGGTGAGGGTGAAAATGAGGGTGGGGATGAAAATGAGGATGTGAATGGGGGTGAAGATGGGAATGGGGATGAGGATAGGAATGAGGGTGAAGATGGGAATGAGAATGTAAATAAGGATAAGAATAGGAATATATTTGTGTTTGTGTTTGTGTTTATATTTGTGTATAATATGGTTTGTAGTGTAATTATAGTGTATAATGAGTGAGTGAGTGAGGGAGTGGGAGGAGGGAGAGAAGGTAGGGAGAGAAGGTAGGGAGTAGAAGGAAAGAGAGGGAGGAGGGAGGAGGGAGGAGGGAGGAGGAAGAGAAGGTAGGAGTGGGAGGAAGAGAGGGGGGGAGAAGGGAGGGGAGGAGGGAGAGGAGGTAATGGGTGTCTATCTATATATATATAAAAGGGAAAGGGAGATGAAGAGAGTAAGTGATAAGAGGGGATGGGGAGTCTGTATATATGTATGTATATATATATTTAGTAAAGATGATAATGATAATGATGTGATGATGATGTAATGATGATATTTGAATACTAGGGAGGAGATAGAGAAATGAGAAAATTGAAGTAGTGATTTGAATAAGTGATAAATGAGTGAATGAATAAGTTAAATGAATAAGTAAATGAAGTGAGATAGTGAAGTGAGATGATGAACTTGAAAGTGAGATGAAGTAAGGTGAGATAGCGGATTTAGCGGGCTGGGTAGGGTTAGTGAGTGATCTTAGGTTAGCGAGGATGAACTAGAAATTAGAGTCTAGAGTCTAGATGGAGTAAAGGGAGAGATGCTAATGAAAAAGGAAGCGAAGGATAAGGGGGAAGCGAGGGGGGAAGCGAAAAGAGAAGCGAAGAGGGAAGAGAAGAGAAAAAGAATGAATATAACGAGAAGTTAGAGAAGATATACTCGATTAATTAATATATAATTTGATGTTGGTGAATTAGTGAATTAGTGAAGTACTAGTAAATGAGTGGAGTGAGTGGGTAGATTATTAAGAAAGTTATAAAAGTCGAAAATCACTGTTTTTGGTATGAAAAGGTGATCCGAAAGGGAGGGTAGTCCGAAAGTAGAGTAGTTGACTTATCGAAATATAAGACTATTTCCAAATTACTATTATATAACCAAAAGAGTATAAATAGAACTCCGATTGTGTATTTAGAATCTACAAACTTGAATGAAGAGTTATATAGAATACTAAAAGAAGGACTATATATATACAGATATTGGAAATTCTAATAATTAGACCCAAAGGAATAAAAGATAAGTATTATATAATATCTAGATCTAGAATTATAAAGCTAGAGCTCTAAATTAAGAAAGAAAGATTTAAAAGAACTGTTTTATTATACTATATAAGGTATATGAGCTAGTGGATGGAAGAGAGCCGTCTATTCCGTTATATATTAAATGAAATATAGAAATACTCTATACTACTAGTAGTATTTTATCGAAATTTGCTAGTGAAGCTATTTCCAAATCATTCCCATATTACTATTAAATAAAATATAAAAATACTCTATACTAGTATTTTATCGAAATTTAAAACTATTCCTATATTTTGAATCATACTCGAGTAATTTTAGTATTTTTCTAGTATTTCCACTAGCATATATTCAAGTTAATCCTAATTCCTATACTAACCTATTAGTATACTAGATAATATATACAGATATTAATCATGATATAAAAGCTTTCAATATATATAATATCCTATATCAAACTTTCAATACAGGTTTCTATACTCAGTAATACTATTATATATTAATATAAACACTATATATTACTCGTAGTAATTACTTTATAATTATCGCATTTATTCACTCATCATTCACCCTTCACCCTTCACTCTTTACCATTCACCCTCTACCTCTTACCCTCCACCTCTCACTATCCACCCTTCACTCTTCATCATTCAACTTTCACTATTCACCTCTCAATATTTCCCCATCCCTCTCCACCCCTCCTCAACCCTCTCCATTCCTATTCACCCCTCCTCACTTCTCCTATTCACCCCTCCCCACCCCTCCTCTCCATCCGTCTCTATCCCTCCTCGCCTTCTAAACACACATCTACTTCATATTTATATCCAATATTCATATCCTCATATTCATATTCATATTGATATAACCAAAAGTAAAAGTAAAACAAAGGGTATATTATATCAATCATATCATATCAAATCACCTCATTCATCCTATCAATTCCTCCCCCTCCTCCCCTAATAACTGACTATCCTATCCATCACCACCCTATCACCACCCTATCCTATCCATCATTATCCATTCCATCAACCATATATCACTTCTCTTCTCAAGCATCTCAAGTATCCCACCAATTTCTCCAATTTCTCCAATTCCACCAATCTCCTCAATCCCAAACGACACCTACGCTGTGCTCGCTCGCTCATTTTCTTTCTTTCCTATAGATCCGTCCATCCACTATCCATTAATGTCCATAACCATAACCATATCCAGTAAAAAGTATCCTTTATCCCCTAAATACTACAAAATCCCATCTCTCTTACACACAAGCAGCTCATCACCTACCAATATATGCTGATTTAGTTATTCCCACCGCAGCTCATAACACTTTTTCTTTCCCAACGCAGTTCCCCATCCAATTCCCATCCTTATTCATTCCCTAATAATCCTATATCCTGAATTCAAAAACCCAATTGCTCAAGTTCAAAAACGCAAATGATTCAGTACCGCTATATAAAAAGCTGCTAGCAATGATCGTCAATAATCGTCAATGATGGTCATTCGTACGTTCAATCATTTATAATCCATTCATCTCCCAGCCTCAACTCGATCCCAATCTCCAGAGTCAACTCCACCACTCATCAAAGCATCATCTCCAAAAATAGCTCGCTTGCTAGATCCAGGAGGAGCAGCTTCTAGCATTCTCGGTTTATCATCTTCATGTTCCTCAGAAGTATCCGACTCGCTATGATGATGGCGACTTCGACCATGTTCACCTCTATCACGATTGCGTCTTTCACCGCGAGCTTCACGTCTTGCACGACGACGAGCACGATCTTCTTCTTCTCTAGAGGCTACAAATCTTTATTAGCTAACAAGACAACAAATGAATTCATAAAAACATACTTCGAATTTGCTGAGTAGCAGTGGCGTAAGCTTGTATCTCCTCGCGGCTCAATACTCGAAGCACAATCACGAAATCATCTCTAGCTTCGAATCGTTCCTTTCCAACTTCTAATGCTGCTGGATTGACCAGCTTTCTGGCAATCTTAGTCCAACGTGCATCTGGGGGTACACCATCTTTCTTGGCATCTTTCAATGGAGCGACACCCTCACGAATTGGAGCAGGATCCTCGGGGAATTTCTCACGTGGTTGACGCAAAATACCTTTGATGACAGGTTTTTCGGGCTTCTCTTCGACCGGTTCTCTGGGTGGTGAGACAACTCGAAACTGTCTATTTTCAGTTGTCGTAGGTGCTAGTGGTTCACGGCGACCTCGTTCTTCACGATTGAGTTCGGCTCTTAATTCTGCCACCTCACTCATATCTTTGGTGATGGACCTTCTACCAAGTGGTTTGCTGAATGGTGCCAGTGTAGGTTCTTGAGCAGATTGTTTAGGAACTGGTGCTGCTACGGGCTCTTTATCAGCAGGAGCATCTTGGTCTACAAGTGCAGCTTTTAGTGCTTTCAAATCCATCGTATCTCGGGGATTGAATGGTGCAGCTGCAGCTCCAGAGATACGTCTAGGTCTGCGGTGACGGTTGGTTGCTTCGTCAGAGGTATCCGAATGAGCATCATGGACAGTACCAATTGTTGCTGCATCACTATGAGGTCGATCATCATGAGTGTTTAGTCTCTCACTGGGATTTCGGCCACTTAAGTCAACAAAGTCGTTGTCTGGAGAACGTCTATCTTTGCTATCTCTAGCAACGTCACGTGGAGTTGGTGAAACTTCTTCTCGACCTTTTTCTTTTCGGGGTTGATATACGTCATCTTCTTCGCGGCGACGAGGAGGTAGCGGTGGTGTAACCTCACCTCTATCTCTGTGGTGTTTTTCTTTAGGTTCTCTATCAACCGATTCGTTTGATCCTCTCTCATTGTGATCATTTCTGCCCCTTCTTTCCTTACGACCTGGCCTGTCCGATTCAGATGAATCTCGGGAATCAATGTGACGACGTTCGTTCGAGATATCCCCCATCTCCTTATCACCACGCTCGCTTCGTCTGCGTAAATCATCGCCGTAATCCTTACGTCTTCTTTCATCGTCTCTGTCATCATGGTCATCAGACTTTATGGTATTTGCCATAGCTCCGATACCAAATGCGGCAGAAGCAATGCTAAGTCCTGTTGCGAGCTTTTCCTGCGTGCTAGACTTCTTCTCGCGGCGATCATCTTCACGCTCATTTCGTGGAGATCTATCGCGTCTATCGGATCTTTCGACTCTTTCAATTTTCTCAGCTCTTTCTGTTCTTTCCGCCCTGCTTACTGGCCTCTCTGATCGACTAGTCGGTCTCTCCTGTCTTTCAGATCTTTCAAGACGTAACCCAAAGCCACGCTGTTCAATTGGGTCGTCATACCTCTCATATCTCTGATGTGGTTTTCGCTCTCGCATTTCTTCGTCTCGTGAGTCATAATATTCATCTCGCTGGGGATGTCTGCTATCTCTCTCCTGGTACATGGAATTCGGGCCTCGGGTCGAGATTCGTCGGTGAGGTCCATCACTCTCATATCCTGCAGGTAGATCCATGCGTGCTGGACGTTGAACTGGTCCCATGGAGGAAACATGAGGAACGGGCATTCGGATAGGCGCTGGTTTAGTATCCCATGCTTGGATCCTATCAAAACCCCGAGTAGATGGCGGTGGACCACGCTCTCGAGTGTCATGAGATCTTGGCTGAATACCTTCACCAAATCCTGCAGAGCTGGACATGCTGGTAGGTCGAGATGATCTAGTATCAGAACTATCCCTACGGGTATGTCTTGGCCCGCTGTTGTTTAAATCGTATTGAACCAAATCTTTAGGATTTGTGTATCCATAACCATCATCACCATAATCATCTGCAACAGTATCAGGATGTCGTACCAAGTTGGCTGTGTATATTGGTCCACGAGGTATGGTGCTAGTTGTTGTCGTAGCGTACGATGGAGTAGATGCCGGGGTACCATATGATGAAGTTATTGGAGTGGGTATGTATGATGAAGCAGTTGTTGGGGTAGCAATGTACGATGGAACGTCTCTGTGACTAGGAATACCAATTCGAAGATGACTCGGTTCTCTATGTCCCTGGGGCTCTCTAGACAACCTGTTCATATCGGCATTGTCCATAGAAGCACTGTATCTGTCGTGGTGATGAGAACTTCTATCATTGCGAGATGAAGCTGGGATTGTGTAATATTCCTCCTGACTGGCGCGGTATGGGTTCTTGATGGATGGACTGGCAGGTCTCACACCTGAACTATGAACAACCGTTGGATGCTTTGGAATCGATGTGAATGTGGTATGTGCATTTGGTCGAGCATCAACCGTATTGCTGCGAGTCCTGCTAGTAGAGCGATGGTCAGGTTTGACTTTGTAGGTTGTCGTAGTGATGGGAACATTAGAAGAATTAAAGCTTGTGCCGCTGCTTCGAGGATTTTCGTGTCGAGATAAGGGTACGACATGATGATGGTGGGTGTGCGATGTCGAGGGATGATTATTGTATGACAAGTCAACTGGGAGACTTGCTCGTGCTGGATTGTATGTTGGTGATCGTGGTCGTGAATGTCTGCTGTATCGGTCACTCATGTTGAATCTTATTGTGGTATGTGGGTGGGTGGTGATTGAATTTCGATTTTATTTGAAAGTCGATGTGATGTAGCGAGCGATAAGAGAGAGAAAGTGGGAGGAATGACTCGATAATATTGTCAGCTTTTTGGTAACTTTTTAAATCTAGCACAAACCAGTGTAACAATTAGCAATCAAGATATTATGAACGACGCCGCCAGCTCATATTCTCACGATATGAGAGTTAAATAATAGTAGTGGTAACAAACATCAAAATGGCAAAATAAAATGTCCGAACTCGAGGGGGTCAATAATCGGACGGATAGCTGCAGGATGGATTTCTGACTTGCAGCAACAATGGAATTATGTTCTGCAGATTTGTTTGCGATGGATAATGAGTGGTATACCGGTATTGAGGTAGGTAATTAATGTAAATAGATGTAATCGATTTGTAGGAATGAGTCGAGGGGTGAGAATGTGGCGCTTCTGTTGTGTGGTATTGGTATATTATGGTTTTGGAAGAATAAACCCCGCCGGCTGAGACTTGTACGATTAGAGAAGTCGAGGTCGCTTAATGAAGGATGAAGAAGAGAAGAAACAAGGAGGACGACAAGGAGTTTTTTAAAAAAAAAAAAAGAGTAAGGGTATTTATTATATAACTTGAGTGCTCGAGTATTATTGATAAGGGAAAGTAAAGGCGAAGAGGTTTAAAATAAAATGATGAGTTTTCAAGAGTGTGACTTGTTTGCCTTTCGCCTTATTACTTCCTATTGCTTACTCGAGTAGTACCGTAGTCCTTCTGTTTATCGATATTGAGGGATGAATAGTGTTATTATACAGATGATAGAGATTGAGATTGAGATTCATTGCACCTTTTACCTTATTACCCTTGATCATGACGTTTTGATGGAATATACCTACCTACCTGGGTATTTACCTACTAGAGTTGGTAAGATCATTGGTAAGACAAATAAATACAAAAGAGTGAATGATTGATCATATAGAATGATAATTGAATTACAATTGAATTATAATTCATTATCAAAAGAGTCATTTGTTTCATTCACTAATAAGAGCTGTTTCGTTTTCTAGCTGACTTCCTTCATAGTATCTGTTTACAGATATTCTCTATTATTTTCTTCCACAAGGGCCCCCCCTTTTCCTCGCTACTATATACACTTTACTACCGTCCAAAACTCTAACCTCTCTATATTCATCATCAAGCAAGCCTCAAAAAGCTTGGTTCTCCCATATCAGGGCTCAGTTCCTTGGGCTGCAGAAACCCCCCACTATCTGATTGATACCTTACGAACTACGGAAGTATACCGGTAACATGTACTGGGTACAGTAACGGCACTATTGTTCCAGTACAATAATACATCTAGGAATTCCCCGAAGAATTCAATCGAACGATCTTTAAATTTCGAAGCCTTTTCGCCCCCAGTTACATTACTATTGTAGTTCTTCACCGAGTACTGTATACACTGCAGGAACTGTTTTTTATATGGTTCTCTTCTTTTTCTGATGTTGATGGTTGTCCAATGACTTTTTTGATAGTGTGGGTGAGGAAGGGGGAAACTAGGACGGCTTTCGTTTTTAGCAGTGAGACTAATCGAAAGACTTCGCCTATGACCCAGGTGTATGTGGACTTGTCTTGTTTTGCATCTATCTACCTTTACCCTTTTCTTTCGTTCACCATAAAAACGGTACACATGACATCATTTTATCAATTCATTAAACATGGCTTATATACCCCCATGCCTTATATCAAAAGCAATACAGTTAAAAGTACAAGCTTAAAAAAGCCTTCAATACCCAAGCCCCCAAGGGAGATCCCAGAACTCTATACTATACACAGAAGTTAGAAAACGATCCATTCTCAACGTTCAAAATTTCAACGTTTAACGGCCAATTCGTTCCGTTCTAACCACTAGAGTCTAGATTCTCGAGTTTTTACCAGCCAATGCCTGTAGTCAGTACCTGTACATTATACATAACAATCAATCTTCGGCCCATCTATTCTACTCTCTTGCTCGCCCAGCTTCCATGAATTCTATTGCCCCCCAGATCCCAACAAGTGATACAAGGATTATCCCAAGACGATCGCTATAGTTTTCGGAAATGCTCTTCATCTGTGAGATTTCCAATACATACAGTAATGCCCAATTCTAATATTAAATTTCTTTGGGCAGGAAAGGATTATACTCCGTATTCACGGAGAAGTACTGTCTGTCTGTACCTGAAACCCGAAATACGAAAATGATTTCGATTGTTGGATGAAACTTGGATGTTGAAGGTACCTAGGATCTATTATCTACTCGAGTTATATTACAAGTACTGGTACTGTATATCTAGGTAACACAGGAACGATCTAGTAACCGAGGCTATAACTGGGCATCTACCGGTACTGTATATATTTCAAATCCAAACAGAACCCTCCCGATTTCCAAGCCGCATCAATCGGCATCAAGGCCAACTTTCCCTGAACCCACCGGACTCTTATCAGAATTATATCCAAGTGGGTCCCGGGCCGTTAAAGCCCGATTTTGTCCAAGAACTGATTTGCTTAGCATTTCTTCAATAATGTCGTCGAAGGCTGAGTTACATGCATCCCGCTAGTGAAGGCGCGTGATCTAAATGCGCAGTACCGGTAGTTTCTACCTGCGGCGAAAACATAAAAAGCAGCACTACAGTACTATATTCGGTCTCGAACAATACTATCTTATGATTTGCATTACATACGTACATAAATCAATCGAGATTTGTGCAAGCGAATGGAAAAATGCCCGACTGGAGAGGAAAACCTCCTTTGGGAGATATGGCTCGCTTATGCACATATCCAACATTGTTCGGATTCATCACCTCTTTCGATCCATCTCTTACGAATATCACTCATGTCTATTCAGCCTCACGATCTAAATTCACCAACTCAAGCCCAATCTTGATTATCAGAAGATTTTTCTAATCGCCTATCCTTCTTGCCTTCAAATCCGAAACTGTCCAAATGAACTCGGTGTATTATGTATAGGAATATCGCTAGTCAAAGCCTCAACCCATACCCATACCATATAGAAATAAGATTCTATCCTCGCGATTATATCAATGGCCTAAATATACTCGGCGTGTATTAGATGCCGGGCGTCGCATCACCACAATACTCTGTACATTACTTATCTGACAAACGACATACGTCAGATATGCAGCCTCCCGTCTAGACTTTTCCCATGATTATTATTGGTTCGATTTATTTTCCGCATCTGCACGCATGATTTCTGTTTATACTGTACCGACTGCATCGTTCCGTTCCGTCTCCACGTTTTGGGCTGCATGTCTGCTTGTCAATTAGGCTTTATGGTATAGTTGCTATATGTACTGTTGCATTCATGGTCGCATTCGGTTTTTATTTTACTTTATCGGAAAGCTTTTAATATGAAATATACATACATACATACATACATATCCTAAACTAGTTGCACTTGGAACTCTACAGGAAGGCTGAACATATGTTTTGGATGGGGATACTGTAATGGGAGATCTGAAAAGTTTTTTAGATTTTCCAAAAAAGATTTTATATGCATATCACTTTTCATATGCGATAAACATTATAAACTCAATCTGGCCTCTAGGTACCGCAAAAGCCAATCTGTGAGAAGACATTTGTTTATTCTGATTCACAGACATCGAGGCCGAGTTGGGCTGAATGATTAGATGGGGATGCTGCAATGGGAGATCTGAAAAGTTTTCCAGATTTTCTAAAAATAATACAATGATGATGTGCACCACTTTTCACATGTGATGAATTCGGTCTGGCCTCTAGGTATGGCAAAAGCCAATATCTGAGAGAATATTTATTTGTTTTGATTTATAGAAATCGAGCTGAATTAGACTGAATGATTAGATAGAGATATTGCAATAGAGGATCTGAAAAGTTTTTTAAATTTTTTAATAGAAATGTGATGATATACATTATTCTTTATATGCAATGAACTCGGTCTGGCCTCTAGATAGTGCAAAAGCCAATATTTGCGAAGATATCTATTCACTCTGATTCAGAGATCGCGAGGCCGAGTTGGGCTGAATGATTTAATAGGCTGCACTACTGCAGAGAGGAAATTTCGCCTGCTTTCTCTATATATACTTCATGATATAAAATTCCATTGCCACTAACTCGGTGCTGGTCCGGTCTAGAGACTATTGGCTCCAGGTGTTAAGGTATGTCGATCACTATCGAGACCGAGTGCCTTTGAGGCAAAATTATTCGATAGATTGGTGAATGAACATTCTCCTGATCACATATACGCGTGCATCACGAATGCATCACCAATTCTTAGTTACTTCACCTCATAGCTCCCGGAACGGTCGCTCGGAAGTCTTGAGAGGGGTACCACATAGATAGGAAAGAATGTAGTCTTGAGAGATTTGAATCATACAGAGGCACAAGCGAAACGGAAGAAAGCATGAAAGGGAGCCGAAAATGCAAGTTACGATATGTGGTGGGAAAATGATGATTTTCTCGTTTTCTGATTGTTTCTTGTATTTTTATCTTTGATCCCAGATATCGTCGGTCTCAACTCTATATTTGTTTTCATTGCGTAATACATATGAGCCAAAAGAAAACGAACAGCAATTCGCTCTTAATCCCAAAACTCCATCCGTCTCATTCCAACACCAAATCTTCATCCCCCCCATATCCAGCTATACCGCTTCTCACCCACTTAGGCCACATCCCCACTCTTCTTAATATATCTCGCAAGAAACTCATCATCAATCGTCCCATCCCTCCGATTCACCGCAATATTAACCCTTAATCGATCCGTCGTCCCCTTCCTATTCTGACAGCACCTCGGCACTGCCAAAACCTTTTTCCCCACATATTCTGCAGGATCAATATCAAACGGATTATATCGATTCGCATATACGCCCCCATCATCTTCGATCTCCACAATATTAATTTGTAAGACTTCGGGATCGGGGTCTTCGGGTGGGACGAGGTGGTCAAATGTGACTCCGTAGTAGTCTATCATGCTAAAGTCATTGTGAGAAATATCAGCATAGCATAGCATACATAGCATAGCCTCGGGAAGAAAAATATTATATATACAGATAAGTGGTGTACTTTACTTACGCAATAGGTCGCGCTTCGATGATTGGCGCTTTAGATTCATCCCGCAATACCATATCCCTATCCCCATCCCCAGCAACATCAGCCCGTGGATCACGGCCATAAATCTCGCGAAATGCAAGTGCCGCTAGTGCAGGGCCGCCAGGCATGGGAAATCCAGAAACGTTGTGCCGGGCAGGGGGGACCTGCCATGGTACCTCTGGAAGGAGCCGTTGGAGAGCTAGTATTGGTCCTTCGATGTTGATTCGAAGTGGGAGGTCTGGGTTTGGTGGATGCAGGGGGTGAGGGGGTGTGCTGAGGCAGGTGGGGATGTGGAGTGGAAGGGGAGGAGCTGATGACGAGGGCTGGAAGTTGTGGATATGGAATGAATGAGTAGGGTTCGTAAGGCATGGAATATCGCGAAGAGTCATCGCGTATAAAAGGATTTAGAAGAGAAGAGAGTTTTTGGTAAATTGGAATTGAAATTGTATTTCATGGAGAAAGAAAAGTGATAGTTTGCTACTTAAACTCTAGCCACTGGCTGGTCTAATTATATATAGATTTCTGCCTAATATTTATTACCTTACCTTGCCTTATCTGGTGGCTGGCTGGGGTGAATGAACCCCAACAAAAGTATAATACTATCTATCTATGTATATGTTAACCACTTGTTCAAGTTTAGCTAAATCAGATAGTGTTTATTGGTATATAAGATATCAATCATTACTAGGAAGAGAAGAGAAAAGAAGAGAAAAGAAGAGAGGAGAGGAGAGGAGAGGAAAGGAAAGGCCTACTAGTAACTTACTGAATCACGTGAGCAGGCACATATTCGATATGTTTAAGTACTTGGAGCTAGTATATACTTTAATTATTATTTTCTACTCGTTTACAAGTTCGACTACTGTTTATCTAAAGCTAGATTCTATTATATGAATATTATATCTAATGTTAAGAATGCTGAAAATATATTTTATCTTTGATTATAATTATTGATTTTTCAACTTCAAGTTCTCGAGTCGAGTCTTTGAATAAAAAGTAAATAAATTCAAGTTAAGTTAAAAATTTGCGAATAAAGTTTTTAAAGATATTATTGTTCAGTAATTAGTAGATATCTTTTAAATAAAATCTTTAGATATCGTTTTTAGTTTAATAGATTAGTATTTATCTAAACGAAATACTCGTAGATTAGAGATGATTCTTATATTTTGAAAGGGCAGCTAGCTATATATTCGGCAGAAATGAATGCCTTGTTTTTCATTTTGTATCTAGCGCTCAGGGTTTAGGTCGAAAGATGAATGGATCTTCGAATGTCTCCTGATGGTAGTGTAATGAATAGCTTAGTATAACGATCAGAGTGTTTGCGGGATACCAATGACCGTCAATTTCATGATCGTCGTGAAACATTTGGATTCTGGAGCAAAGGCTCTGATGGTCTACTTACTAGTAGTGACATTCGCATAGCCTCAAGACAAGAGGCCTGTAGATACTGGCCGTTAGAAAGAGATTCGATCCGGAGTGGAGATCCTCGACGGAGGTAAAAGTGTCTCGTATCTCTTTGACAAGTTCTTTCGTAGACGTGTGGGCGTTTCATGTCAGGTAAAAGAGGCTCTGCGAAGAGCAGTGACAGTCGTATCTGAGCCCACTGTTACTACCAGAAGATTGGCTGTAGTTACGAGCTCGGTATGATTAAAGGCGGAAGCGCCAGTCTCGGAGTTTTTGGCTCGCAACAAATAGTGTAACATACTTTGGCGTTCATCCTTGGAATTGTTATTTTCTAAATTTTGTTTTTGCTCCTCAAACTCTTCTACATATGTTTCGAGAAATTTATAGAAATTGATGATAGGCTTGGGAGTGGGTATGGTGAGTAACTTGTCAATGCCACGAGGCTTGAGCCAGACAAATGTGTCTACTGTAGAAAGGGCGAATTTGAAATCTAGAGAATGTAGAGGATAGAGGGGTTTTTATCTAAGGACAATTATTTTTCTGTTTCTGCTTACCGGATACATGGACCGTAAACATTCGCCAATAATATGAGGAGTTTGACGAAGTGGATTGTCTTTGGGTTCTACACTGTATCGTCTCGAAAGACTTTTCAAAACACAATTCGCCTAATATATCAAAGACAAGGTAGTCGGCATACCTGCCGCCGCCCACTTAGTTGTGCCTTTGTTATTTTCGCCATCTAGCATGAGATCAATCCATCGGTTGATATTCTCTACAATGAAGGGCTCTGACGAACGCAAGAATCTTTCCGAGAAGGCGCTGTTCAAGGGCTTTCGCAGAATCATATGCTTGCGAGGGTCGGTGGCATTTAATGCGTTGTAGTCCTCGTTGTTCCTCCGCCAGACCTTGTACTACTTGGCTTTCTTTGTTTTGGGAAAGATAAGATAACACTGTTGTCGGAGCAATGGATGGTGTATCGGCCTCAATCTTGTTTATTTTAAGCCGAAGTTTTGAAGAGAGTAAATCAAAATTGAAACTAATCTGCTCTGAAAAGAAACCTACTATTAGCCCACATTTCATTCTTAGACCTTTCCAGTATCCGGATTCTTGGAATCAACAAGGAAAAAGAATAGATCCTGATGAGAACCTTTTCCTGAAGCTGATCTGACTCGAACCAGCCCAGTCAAGAGTGACAAGTATTCCTCACGAATCTTAGCTGTCCAACGTGCTAAAACTGCCTCGAGCTTCAGCTTGGCCAAATACGGATACTGAACTTAAACACCGGCGTTCAGACTAGTGCGTTCGAGTGCCTTAGTCTTTTGAGCTTGTTGAAAGTTCGATAGATTGCCCAAACCCAGTCTTGCCTACCACATCATATCCGAAATATCTACAGCACTCAGTCATATTGATAGGAGCTGACCAGCCATCGCCATATGATTGGGCGCAGAGCCCTTGAGATATTGTATAAGCATGTCGATATGATCTAGAAAGGTTAGTTCCAATGAGCGCACGCTTGGATCAGCGAAGCCTTGATTGAGAACTTTGCGATTAAGAATAATCGACAAGTCCAGACAACAATATTCTAATAGCAAATGAGCACTCTAACCTCTCATTATTCAGTCATCGTAATATTCTTAATCCTGAAATAACACAACCGATAAGAACAAGAAAACTTTGCCATGGAAACGTTGATATTTGCTTGAAATCAACTTCGAGCAAGAAAATCGACTCGAAGATTGAGAAGGCCATCGTCGTCATTGAAAAAAAAAAGGATTTAATCTGACAACAAAAGATTGCGAGAACCACAAATAAAATCGCTTTTCAGTGTTTATTGAATTCCGCCTCAAGTCAAAAGAAAACCTCCTGCAAATTGCTGTAGTTCTGAATGATGCTCTGTCCGTTGGCATTGATCGACCTGGACAGTGGAGAGTTTACCGAGGGTTCCCCTATTCACACATTGCTATGCATAGTAATGCAACAACTTTTCAATTTTCTATGGTATCTCATAGCCAACATCACTGCATCCCAAGGTGCACATAATCAGCCTCAATCCAGAATACTTCTAGTTAACAGCCACTCCTCGCCAGGAAGAAACACTATTCCGCCCCTAGGAAGCACATCTCGTTCTTCTTTCGGATATTGGCATTGGTTCTGTTTTGCTTGGACTTTTGGTACACTATCCAGATATTTGGTGGATTCTTGATTGCATTAATGTATTTCCAACCGTATCTTTGGGTCAATCACTGGATCGTCGCCATTATCTTGTGCATCATACACACCATGAAACATTGCTGACTTTCACGTTATTCAACACTTATTTTCGTAAGGATGATCAAATTCTCAATGCAAATGACTGAAGAACTAACTCAGAACGTAGGCGAATTCCTCAATACCACGCCGAGAAGGCGACAAAGGGTATTGTGGCATTGCTGGGAAGTTCTTACCATGCCGGTAAGGAACAAAACTTTTGGACGTAAGTCTTTTACGAAATGTCAGTATGTTATGCCGGTCCATGAGAAAGCCAAACCAGAAGATTGTACCATAATACATAAGGGTGGCCCAGCGCCACCGCCAGAAATCTTCATGAGCAAGAAAGGATGGGTTAAGGATGTAAAACAAAGAAAAGGGTTGCGACTTTTTGAAAAATTAAGTGCAAGAAGAAGAGCACAAGGCGAAGAATTGAAAATGGACACAAAATATTGATTTCTTGTACAAGATACCTTCCTCAAGAGTGATATCTCCAATGATAGGGTTACTATTGATTTTTTAAAGATGTGTAATCAATGCAATCCGCATGCTCCCAACAGGGTGGTGAACCAACTCTGGTAGCTGAACCTGTACGATTGATTTCAGAGACAAAAACATAGAGGATCATATTACCCAGCTCAGGTGGATGCACCAGCGTATTTTCTTGGTAACGAAATAGAAGCAGAAGAAAAAAACGAGCTTGGAAAGTAACTCAAGGACGTGAAGAAGAGTCACCTAAAGATTGAAAGTAATTCTCTCAGATTTTGAGAAAGATCAAATCTAGAGACAGGGGCAGATTTACTCTTCGTCATGGCTGTTTAATCTAGGGATTTTAAACTAGTTTGAAGAACGGTACAGCTGCTTGGACTTTGTAGCGGAATATAGATACTAAGTAAAATTCTAGTCTACTCGAGTATTTTAGAAACTTTCATTATAGCTGTGAATGTTAGAGAAGTTCCACTGCGATTAATGATGAAACTGAAGAGAACATACCTTTTGGAAATAGAGAGCAGTTACATATAGCACTCAAACATCATCTTTTGATAACAGGGAAGTTCTTCACTCGAATAAGGAGTCCTGAAAGTGTAGCAAGAATCACAGGGAGTAAGTGAAATGGAATTTTCATGTAACGACTGAGTTGTCTCACTCGATCACGACATCAGAATAACTGAGATCTGGTATTGCGCCTAGAAGTATTAAGGCTGCCGCCTCATGCATTTGAAGATTCTTCTAGTGGTGTTGTATGTGAAGTTGTCTGAATCTGCTGCATATATCGATGTTGAGGTGATGAGCTGTCGTTAGGAACGAAATTTGAGCGCGATTCGCGACGCGCATAATGGTACTAACGAGACATTCACAGCCATATCCACGGTGACAATACAACAGCGATTTCAGTCAAGATTTCCTAAGATGTTGTAAGATATAGAGCTTGCGACTTTGCACTCTGGCCAATGGCGGCAGTAGCATGGTTTAGTAATGCCTTCCTCTCTTCTTCACTCGGAACTCGGCTATTTGTTTTGGCGTAGCGAGAAATGGCCCATCTTTCTAGACAACTTGACAGGAAGACTGAACGAAGTTTGGATTTCTAGTCCAACTAAATGGCTATGCGCTAACGATTATTATTATTATTATTTAATTTTAAATAGGCTGCGCGCAGGGAGTTTTCTGCAATCAAACGACAGTCGTCTCTGCCACAAGTAGTCTCAAGCACCAGACTCGTCGCAAAATTCAATTCATATCATGTCTCTTGAAATCGCATAAGAGAAAATGCTTCTCCGGCTTCAGCAACTTCCAATTATGTGGAATGGAGCAACTCAACTTCGACGTAATCAAACTTGGAGAGTGGTGGGCGTCTAGAGGGTGCCTTGTTGATAACAATACCATGGTTAACAAATGGCAGAAATGATAATGTTAGTGATCTAGAAGCCGGTGTTAAACCTAAAAATGACGAAATAGATGCTTTAATGTGTTTGTAGTTCAAGGCGGAGAAGAGTGGCAGAATGAGCAATCTGGCCCACAGGCATATCTTCGGCCCGCCCCCTGTACCCCTCATCTAGGTTTATGTTGCATCGAAATCACGAAATTCTGGTTTCCTCTGGGGAATTATTATCGGTCCCCTCAAGTTCTTCTCGTGCTTCTGTTCGGGGATTTTCCTCTCTTGCCAATAAAACCCTTGGGTGGTCTGGACCACCTAGTACCACTACTTCAAGGGCAGTCAAGGGTTCTTTCGTCATATCTCCTTTGAGAGAAGCCACTAGAACAGGATCTTTAGTTTGAGATCTGCACTGGTTGTCCTTGGCAGTCGATTCCTTTTTAAGTTCGATTACAGTACATCCTCAATCTGCTATGTATAAGCCATTCGTTGTTGGAGATTACAGTATGTCAGTACATATCAAGCACGACAGTCCGGATTGAGCTATTGAAAAGTTTCAAATGCTGTGTGGTTCTTGATAAACGGTGTTTGCGTTTAGTACCTGTTGCACTTTCCCCCAAAGCCAGTGAAGAACTCCGGATATGTCCGAAGTCGCTGTCTCCCGAATAGCTGAGTTATGTGAGCCCACTAAGATGATACAATTGGAAGGTTACCCCGGATTGTATGGCACATCTGTCATTAGCCTTACGGTTGTCAGCTCGTTCCAGTACCGGTTCGACCTAGATCTATGATGGCTGGACCGAGATGATCGTCTCCTGATGATGAAAAGTAACGGTACGACATCCATAACGTTACTTTCGGAAGTGGGGATGTGTTTAGGGTGGTGAGCTGGAGTAGTACGACCGAGGATGTGTGTGCCTTTGCAAGCGTTTGTTTACGCCCTCTAAAGCGCAATTGCGGGGGAGTGGGTGTGATCAAGATATTTTGAGTTATTGCAACTGCATGACGGAAGTATTTGCCGGAAAGAATTGTACCACTGTTCAAATGAGTGACATCAATACATCTCCTATATGTATAAATAACTCAGGACACTCGTTGATAGATATCTCCAACCTTTGTCTACCAACTTCCTAGCCTCAGCATATAAAAATCTCTCTCACCAATCCTTTTTTTATCGTCTATTCCAAACCGACAAAATGGTGGCCATCAAAAACATTATCCTCTTCATCTCCGCAGTTTCTGCCGCCGTTATTTCCAAGCGAACACCGGAAACCATTCTCGCTGATATAGCCACCGTCGATACCAACCTTAAAGCTCTCACAACTGCTGTGGACAATTACAATGGTGGATTCTTCCAACTACTTGCAGTCAATAGCGCAGAATCAACCCTGGACACTTGTGAGTTTTATTCCAAGCCATCACGACGCCAACCGTACTAACTCTCCACCTTAGCTATCAAGAACGCCGCCACAGACGCCAGCAACACATCTCAGCTTTCATCCGACGACTCAAGTAACATCCTCGCAGCAGTTAACAAATTGATCCCCGATATTCAAACCGCACTCGATGCACTCGTAGGAAAGATGTCAACGTTCGATTCCGAAGGACTCAAGTCAACCGTTGCGGGAGATCTAGCGGCTCTGAAAAAGGACACTGATACTTTTGGAAAGGCTGTCAATGCCATTTCTTCGTCAGATGTAAAGTCTGACTTTGTTGTGGCTGTGAGCAAGATTGATACTGCTTTTACTACTGCAGAGGCTCAGTTTTAAGGGAGCTTCTGGAATCTGATGATGCCATCCAATGATTATATTCCAACAGGGCAGTTGGTAGTTGGTAGTTGGATGGAAATTTGACTAGTTTTGAATCAGATGTTGGGACAACTGATAATTATGGTGACAGTTTGGTTGGAGAATGATAGAGATTATTTGATGATCTTGCTTCGAGGGAAAACTACCTTATTACTCATGTACTTATATTATGACAATCATGAAATGCACCCTTTATTGTCCAAGACCAAGTGAACATTCAAGAGTAATCCCTGAATCAATCCACCCAATCAATATATCTCGATGTCTTATTAGTCAAGTCCGAAATTCAAGGTCTCCAAGTTGATGCATCTAGACATGCACATACAGTACAATGAACATTTACAACATGTCAAAGTCATAATATGAATGAGTTGAATACATATTTTTGATTCCAGCATTTGGATTTGTGAATTTATTGTATTACACATAAATATCATGCTGCTGTCAAATCTAAAACACTCATAGTATTTAAGGGGTCCATTCGGTGTATTACTATTGGGTTAATCATATTACATAAGCCGAGGTTGATGACATCGGAAGTTGAGACTTGATGTCCCTCAACTCAACTGGATTTCAAAGAACAAAACTTCTACGAAGAAAGCTGTGTTACCAGCAGATATCATGAAATATGTTCAATTTCTCAAGCTTTGTGCAAAAGGCCCAATCATTCATTGACCCAACTCAAGCCCTCAACATTTCTGCTTCTGATCGCAACCCTGCCAAATCCACCCTCTTCCGCAATCAATTCCGATTACCAGATTCCCAGACCCCTCTACAAGAAATCACAGCCGAACTTACCATAGCCTCACCGAACCAATACTCACCGAATACTACACAAGGAGAGAAGGATAGGGATAGGGATAGAGGCTTTCATTATGCTGGAAAGTTGCACTTGAGTGAAGCATACTTGTGCTTCTCAACACAGCCTACAAGCTTCCTCCAAACTGCAAGTACGGGCACATCTTCTGGATTCAATGGACAAACACATGGAGCCGGACCTGGAGGAAATGGCTTTACTTTGCCCTTATGTGCCATAAGACGAGTAGAGCGACTTCATAGTCAATCATACCAGGTATGTGACCTTTCTTTTCGCACAAAATACTTGCTGACGTTGACCAAAGTTTGCCTTGGCTATCACAACCTGGAATGGAATTACAAATGCACCGGCAAAAGATGGCTCGAAACAGCCCGTATATCAACAAAAGATTACGATCAATCTCGCCGGAACGCGCCAAGCTTGCGAAAGGTTCTGTGATGGCTTAAAGAAAGGGTTGAAATCGGGAGTGGGAGATGTCGCGAAGATGAAACGTGTTGTGGCAGAGTGTTATTCAGAGTATCTGCTGCAAGGTGATAAAACAGGAGAAATTCCCGATGCAGGGCTTGGAATGTTGTTTAGGTATCCCGGTGATCTTCGGAAACTACGAGACAAAAGCAAGATGAGACTTTGGGGGGAGTATCTTCGAGATAATGGGAGGAATGTTACATTGATACGCCAACCAACGTTTCATAAGCTGATTCGAGTCGGTTTACCTAATCGACTGCGAGGGGAAATCTGGGAGCAAACCTCTGGATCGTTATATCTGCGCTTGGAAAACCCAGCACTATACACAGACACCCTAGCGAAATTTGAAGGACGAGATTCTCTTGCGATTGATGAAATTGAGAAGGATCTCAATCGAAGTCTACCGGAATATCCTGGGTTTCAGAGCGTGGAAGGGATCGACCGATTGAGGCGAGTTCTTACAGCATATAGTTGGACCAATGAAGAAGTCGGATATTGTCAGGCTATGAATATAGTTGTCGCGGCACTCCTTATTTACATGTCTGAAGCTCAAGCTTACTTCTTGCTATCCGCGATTTGCGACAGATTACTTCCCGGATACTACTCGCAAACGATGTATGGCACTCTGCTAGACCAGCGCGTATTTGAGTCTTTAGTAGAAAAGACTATGCCAATATTATGGGATCATTTGGTCAAATCGGACGTTCAACTTTCCGTCGTTTCCCTCCCCTGGTTTTTATCATTGTATATTAACTCCATGCCTCTCGTGTTTGCATTCCGTGTTTTAGATGTTTTCTTTTTAGAAGGTCCTAAGGTCCTCTTTCAGGTTGGCCTGGCTATACTACGCATAAACGGAGAAGAACTATTAGACGCCTCTGATGACGGAGCCTTTATTTCTGTTCTGAAAGGTTATTTCTCCAAACTCGACGAATCTGCACATCCAAAATCAGAGAACGCAAAATTACGAGCAGTCACACGATTCCAAGAATTGATGGTTGTTGCTTTCAAAGAATTTTCCGGAATCACACAAAACACCATTGCAGAGCAACGCATGAATCATAAAGACGCTGTTCTGAACAGTATTGAAAGTTTTGCGAAACGAACTTCGATACGAAATCTAGGCCCGGATAGCAAGAAGTTGAGCGTTGACGAACTGGGTGCTTTGTATGATAGGTTTTATGGTGTGCTTTACGAGAGACAGCAGAGAAGTCAGATGATACAAGAAGAAAAGGATCGAAGAGCAAAGGCCAGCAGAGCCAGCGTTATGGCTGGTTTGGGAGAGAATCAAAATATCGAGAAAGGCAGAGTGGGGCTCGGTCCGAGTCCTACCCTAATGGACTATGATTGCTTCCGAGAATTTCTTGCTGGAGTAACTAGATGGGCCGTCAAAGATTCACCGTCGCCCCTAGAAAAGGAGCCCGAGAAGGAGAAACATTCCTACTTTGGCAGTTCGTTGCGTCGTAGAGATGTTTCACTTTCCCCATGGGGCTTTGGGAACCCCGAACCGGCTGATCACGAATTTATGCAACGGCTATTCCGAAGGTGGGATGTGGATATGAATTCCGCTTTGACTCTACAGAATGTCGTGACAGGATTAGCCCACATCAAGGGCAAGGTTGATATTATGGGAAGCATCACGTACTTCTTCGAGCTGTATGATGATGATGGAGATGGAAAGGTGGATAGGGAGGGTATCCTACGTATATCAGAAGCTTTGTTGTTTCTTTCTCGAAGAGGTCTGGAAGGATCTTTAACACCTTCGCCATCTGTGGTTGGGCTGAGCGAATATGAGGCCGGTAATCCTGCACAGTTCAGTAGTCCGCATACAACGACACAAGAACGATTTTTGAATAGCGTGAGCGCTTTTATTAGGCGATGTTTCGAGTATGCGGATCCAGATCACCCACAAAATGTCGAGGACGAAGAGGAAAAGGATGAAAGCGTGGAAAATATGGAGGGGAACGCAGAAGATGCCTTAAATGATACAGATGGCCTTGTTGACCCCAACACATTTGCTGTAGGTGATTCGGATGATGACGACGACGAAGAAGAGGAAGAAGATCTCTTAGATCTTGGCACCGACACAAAGAAATTCAAAAACAAAAACGAAACTGGTCTCCCAATCATTCCCCCACCATCCAACAAACCCAGCAACCTCACTATTCCCTCTCGCAGCGTCTCCAAGGCACAATCAGAACGTGCCAACGCCGCCCTTGATCCCTCCAAACCCCTCCACATAACACTCCCTACTTTCCGTATGGTCGTCCTCGCAGACGAACTCCTAGAACAATTCTTCGAATCTTCATTCCCAGCTTCTTTCCGCATCTCAGACAAGATGGTCTTAAATTCAAACGCTACAAATTCTTCCTCTTCCTTGACTACCTTCACCAGTATGGGATTCGGCAAATCAACCGTGACTGCTGCAGCAAATGTTGTGAGTGGTCCTAGTTCTGCCGGGGTGGTACCACCTGGAAAGGGATTGAGGGGCGTGTTGGATAATATTGTAACGGATGGAATGAGAGTGGCTGCCGAAGTTCGTAGGAGAATGGATGAGGCGCAGAAGGAAATGGAGAGGAATGCGGTGCATAGACCTGGTGTACAGGATGAGGACGAAGAGGAAGAGGATGATGGAGTACGAGTTTCAGGTGGTTATGGTGGGGATGCGGAGAGAAGGAGTGTCAGGAGTGAGGATCGAGATTTATTGGAAGGAGCGGATGCAGAGGCGGGTAGCATCAGGAGTGGTATTGAGAAGATTGAAGGTGTGGAACTTCCGAGCAAGAATGGTAGTCTGATGCCAGGTGTTTCCGGGGATTCGAGGAGGGAAAGAAGTTCTAGTTCAGCAACGCAGAAAGTGGTGGAGTTTGAGCGGTGAGGCAGGCAAGGCTATAAGATGCATGTGGGGTGGAGTGGTTTGTTTCTTCGATAGCAACGAGAATTTGGTCTTGTTTTTTGTTACATGGTCATGGGACTTTGGGAATGATGGGATGAAAAGGGAAGGGATGGATGGGCAGTGGAGGGAAAGAGGAGAAGAGGAGAAATCAGATGATATGCATTTTCGAGGCGAGCGAATGAGCCAGTGTTTGAGTTAGGCTAGGGTAAGCAATGGGTGAATGAACGGGTTGACCGGTGGTTACTGTAGGCGTTTGTGGTTTTTTTTTAATTGGGTTTTATGCTTTGTAGTGCACTCTTGTGTACGCTTGGGTCATATAGGTAGTCTTTGGTATTAAGCAATTATATCATATCGTATTGTGTGATGTCGTCGTTTTATAGTGATCTTTGTTTCTGAGATTTGAAGCGAGATGTAGATTGATGGGTGAAAGCTAGGTATGGTATAGAACCCCCACCATCTCAAACAACCCACCCCGTTTGCCCACCCCACTCATTTTCATCCACATCATTCGCTTAAATCGAAATCTCTGCACACCCCACCTCTTTTCTTTCCTCTTGTCTTCTTCTCAACTCTGCAATATATATCTAAGAAATGTGACGTAATTCAATAAATACAACAAGATATCCGGCATGGTGTAGTGGCTAGCATTTCCGCCTCTCATTCAGAAAATGATTATCGCGGGGGACCGGGGTTCAATTCCCCGTACCGGAATTAAAAAATTTTGCTTTTTCTTTTGATGTTTTTGGTGTTTGGATGATTTGATGATTTTGAGGATTTGAGGATTTTGGTACATGGATAGATAGGATGGAAGGTAGATGGAGGTGGTTGGGTGATTCTTTTAGTGGGGAGGGAGCGAGAGGATATATAATTTTTTGGGTGGATGAATATATAACAGGTATCTAACAACCTAACAACCTAACACTACACAGACTACTCGTAGATAGAATGCTCAATACAACACAACACAACATCTAACATCCATCATCAGTACTACTACCTACACAATAGAATATTCATGATTCTTTTCCATTTTCATCATATCATACACATTATTTCTCAATCGCTTACCTGGTACTGATTAGGTAGCCTGTTGAAGTTCAAAAATTAGATGCCATTTACAAGCCTTCCTTCCTTTGCTATTGTTTTCTTCTTCTCTCGACTGCTCTCCTCCTTCGTGTACATTTTTGCTAGAATATTTTCAGATTCTTATACATATACTCGAGTACTATATGTATATATTCATAATGCCAACCAAGTGTTTCCGGGACGTTTCATCAACTATCAATTCCCTAAGCTTGGAGATAGTAGATACAGTCTCAATGTCAAGTGGTAGGCAGGTAGCTAGATTACCGCTAGGGATATCATTATGAAAATCGAAGAAAATCGAGACGAAAGAGAGAAAGAGAGAGAGATCCAGCTTGAAAGCCTTGAACATCTTCGTGAGTACGAAGAATTTACAAGAATCTTTGACTTGCCTGTCTCTGTAATATCACATTTTTATGGGTTTCTATTCTACTTTGTTTGTTGAGCCTTGTAAAATTTATTAGTCGAAGAGTATATATATCATATACTATATATCTGCTGTGCTTTCAGCTTTTTTACAATGTCAGACTCTAGCTCTGAAATTTTTTATTAGCCTGTTAATAACTACAATGTTCTCCCAAAAGATTCAGGGTCCTGGATATAATAGTGGCCACAAATGATTTCCAGAGTATTTGGGGTAATATGGCATCTATCATGATTGAGATTTTAGTTAAGTTATTGAGGGATATATATTCTCCCTTCGCATTGTATGTATCGCAACCGCAATCATATTCGATCTTATATTACCAGACTCGCTCTTTCCTCTATTTGACTTTATTTGAGTTTTGTCTAGAACAACAGATCTTAGCTCAACATCACAAAGGGGAAAACCCCCAAACAGCTGGTCTCATAGACACAACTTCACAAGCTTTGAAATATATCAGATCATCGATCTTATCTGATGAAGGGATTACTTTGCAGAACTCTTTTATAACGCTAGTTTTAGTTTTAAATTCGTGGTTCAGAACATTTCATGTCTCTTATACAATAATATTTTGTATATTGGCAATTTGGCTTTCGGAAAATGATATCTGATTTCATGAAGGTATATAGATCCAAAAGAATTGAGGTGAGAAATAAAGTTGGATACAAACGTAGGTGCGGAAACGTAGGTGCGGATGCTCTTCAAGCTGATCGAGTGATGATCAAAACATGCTGCTAATAGCGCTCAATTTTTTATAGGCCTGTGATTATGTCGGTTTCTGTATTTGTCATGGATATATACATGTAATTAATATATATTCCTTTAGCAAGAGACTTATAAACTCCGGTGCAGATGCATCTTCCATGATATCTTGATGTCTCACCTGTTGATCAATTGATACATTCTATCCGTTTGTATAAATGTGAAATTTTCTAATTAACTAGATGTATCATATCAGTATATACTTCTCATGTATATCAAAAACAGAGTCTTATTTTCAAACATTGCATCTTTGATATTTCTTATCCTGATCCAGTATATAATACATATCAGCTTTGAGCTATGGAATAAAAAAATACCTGAGATATGATATATCGAATTTCTTCAACAACGATTTTCTGGCATTTGATATTCTTCCTGAATTGAATATATAGTTAGTTGTCATAGTCTTTGCAAGAGAAAGTATCTTTCAGATTTTCACTATAATACGTGAAATCAATGGAGAAGTCATCAGTGAATCTGTATAATGAACAGAGAGGGAATCCGAGGTGGAGATAGGCAGCTAGTATTGTATATATAAAACGGCCATCTGTATTTCACTTTGTATTGTATAATCGATTGCGAACCAAACCAAAGAGATCTTTCAAGTATAGCATTACAAATAAATGCATCTTATTCTAATATTATATTACTTTGTAGATATATCAATTTTAATTACTTTAACCTATACAACAATCGTCAATCTCTTTTTTATATTTTCTAAACCAAAACCCGAGGTTATTCACAATTTCACATTTAATACAAAATGTAGAATTACAACGATACTTATATCAATCATTCTTTATTCTCAGTAATTAGAGTCATCCTCAATACTCGAGTAGGAAATGACGCAAGAGACTACTATCTATACCGGTATACCTCTCTTCTTCACCAATGAAAAAAAAAGTCTTTAATTAGTATATATCTAGTCTCACTAGACAACGCAACTCCAGACCCAAACTCTTGGGACTTAATGAAAGTCTGATGAGATTATATTATAGAAATAAAGAAATACTTCTACTAGTAAGGTAATTTGTTTTGGAGTACTCGAGTAGTCAAAGATAAGGCTATATATATTAGATAATAAAAACTCACTATTCTATATAGATAATATGAAGTAAAACCCAGCCTGAGCTGCCTAATAGTATGAAAAACATAATAGTCTATCTGTATTATCAAACGCCAATTCCCCTTTAGTATATATTATAAACAATATGGCAATAAACAGACTCATTCCTCATTCTCTAGATCCTTTTTTCTAATAATTATAGAAATAATGAACCTACTCATCTATCGCATTTTCTCTACTTTTCTTCTCTCTCACAAGTATACTCACTTGTTGTATATTACTAGCAGATCAGACACGAACTATAATGTACACTACCAAATCTAGACCTCTCTCTCCCTCCTAGCTCTCGGTTTATACGCGAGTACTAATATAGAAGGTGTTTATATATTTCTATTTCTAATTAATTCCCTGATAAAATTTGCTGATGTGATATATAATATATTTCAAATAATTTGACTAATATCTCCAAGTCATATATATACTAACTAGCTAGAGTAGCAAAACAACATACCTTCCTTTCCTCCTTTCCTCCTTCCCTCCTTCCCTCTCTACTAACCAAAGAAATCCAACACGATACATCCCCCTCTCCCTCTAAACCACCCACCCAAAAAATAATTTCAACCCACAATCCTCACCCCCTCCACCAGAAACCCCAAATCATCAATACAAAAACACCAAAAGAAATCCCAAAATAATCTAATTCCGGTACGGGGAATTGAACCCCGGTCCCCCGCGCACTTTTCAATCGAATGAATGAGAGGCGGAAATGCTAGCCACTACACCATGCCGGATATTTGTTATGTTATTTGTTGCATGACATGATGCGGGGTGTTTGAGTATATATAGGTAGGTTTGTCAGAAAATGAGAGAAATGGAAAATGGATTGTGGTGGGGTAGAGAGGGGTAGAGGGAGGTGGGGTGCCTTGTAAGTGTAAGCGAATGGGGAGTAGGTAGGAGTACAAGTAAAAGTACAAGTACTGAATGGAAATTGGATATGATATGGATTATCTAGGATGAATAGAAAGAGTCATTTGATTATTCTTGAGAATTTAAAAGTATTTATCTAGGTATGAGATGTAAGTACCGGTATGAAAATGAGAGTGACAGAGAAGTATCCAGACCGAATTTGCAATATAAACTCCAAATTCAAATCACCTCCCATCCCACAATACACACAATCAATACGACATATATTCCTTCTTGATGTCCCTCAAGAACTTCGCAACCAGTTCCACCACTTTCTCCGGTTGTTCCTGTTGAACCCAATGACCCGCAGCATCCACCAATTCTATGCCCCGTAACTTCGTACATACATCATTCATATTCTCCACGACACCCGGTTCCTGATAGGTACCCCAATCTCTCTTGCCACCGATAAATAACAAAGGAACATCAATTTTTCGACCTGCGAATAGTTCTACATCTTTCATCCATTGCGGATCGGTATTGACTCGATACCAATTCAGCATTCCTTGAAAACCCGTCCTTGCAAATTCATTAGCGTAGACTGCTAAATCCTCATCTGTCATCCATTTTGACATGCGTTTTTGGACTTCTGACGCGTCTTCTTTGTTCATTTGTTGCTGTACTACTTCTCGCATGGAGGAGTTGAGTGGCATTACATAGTAGTGTGGCAATTGTTGCAATTCGGACGCAGACCATGATTTCAATGTATGAGGAAGATTCTCACGCCAATCGGCAGACTTGAGGTAAAAGTAACCACGCAAAAATGCCTCGAGGTCTGATTTGGGGTAATACATTTCTGAAGCGGCGGGTGCGCTGGAATAATACCATTTATAGTGTTTACGGGGTGAAGGTAGACAGGCGAGTACTTTGTGGATATCTTGTGTTGAAGATGGTGGGTGAGGATTTGAGGGATGGGATGGAAGGACGGGAGATCCTTTGAAGGGGTGCGATATTATGATGACTCTTTTTTTTTACTTGTCAGAAGCGCTGGAATATATAAATATCAGTACTAGGAAAGAGGACATACGATTTGAAGAAATCCGGACGCATCAACGCGCACATACTCGCCACGACAGCACCAAAATCATGTCCCAACACACAAGCCACATCTTTGTAACCCAGTGCATGCACCAAAATAACGGCATCTCGAACGAGTCGCGTGATGGTAGTAGTATTTAGGTCGACCGAGGAGAAATCGCCAGTATCCCATCCGCTGGTACGTCCAGATCCTCTTTGATCATATGCTATCACGTGATACCCTTCGGCTGCTATGGCGGGCATGACTTTCCGCCATGAGAAGGCGAGTTCGGGGAATCCGTGGAGGCATAGTATGAGGGGATGTATGGGGTTGCCTGCGTGGAGAATGTGATATTTTAAGTCGTGGGACTGGATGTAGGATTCTGATATTCCTTTTGGGAGTGGTAGAGGTGGGTATGAATCTGACATTGTGGAAGATGGAAAGGAAGATGGAAGATATAAGATAGAAGATGGTTGAAGTGAAATGATGAGTGTTCAGAATAGGTAGTTAGGAAGATGATGATCAAGTTGTAGCACTGGCTGGTGTAGCAAAGACGCTGTAATATAAATGTGGTATTAAACTATACCCTTCCCTCATTTATCAACATCTAATTTATCTAACAGTTGAAGCAGCGTTCCAAAGTAAGTTGTGATTGAATTGCGGAGAAGTGATCTACAAATACCGCATTGCCAAGCTTTATTAATATTTCACATGATGGGAATGGGAACTTTCGCATCTTACCTGTTAATCATATCTAGTACAATCAATGATTTATTGACCTGTTGAGCTAAAAAGGATGGGACGATGTGGAGTACCTACCTAGGTATTGCAATCAATGCATGCGGTCTAAACTCACCATAGCTCAGAAAAACTCTCTCTCATATCCGGCTTTTCGCTCTCGAGCTGCCACGATCGATCAAGAAAATGAATGATGAAGATGAATAATGAAGATGTGTGTGCTGGTAGAGTAGGGTAGAGTAGAGTAAGTTAAAAAACATAGAAAACCTTTGAAACCTGCCTTTGTAAATAAGAATCTTATTTTCATACGGACATGGACATAACTTTATCTAAATCTAAATCTCACTTCTCTCTATCCACTTTCACTCAAGAATCCCATCAACCATTCTTGATCCTCCCTCACTTGTTCTAATCCACCCATTCTCCCATTCTCCATCTTCAAGCATAAAAAAGAATCTTGATCTACCGCCAACCCACTTGTTTTCTGTACACAAGCATCATCAGCCACAAAACAGACTCAAAACATTTGTCCGAGAGTTCCAAAACATCCCAGTGATTCCAAATTTCTTCGCCTACACCACCAGTCATTATCTCAAAGTGAATGGGTTGAATGGTTGTTACAGGATCATCATACTACATTATTGTTTCTACGAAGTCTACATTACAATATTTTCTCAATGCGATAAGCAACCTCATCAGCCCATAGTTGGCAGAGGTTTTGAAAGGCCATCATCACACACCTACAACCATCAACATGTTTGGGAATAGAAGGAGAAGAGCGACATCGAATCCGGTATGTTATTTGCATTCCAGCGTTTGTTTCACGAAATCATACGTTTTTCATGTTGCGCGACAGCTTGATCGCATTGGTCCGGAGATCTCTTGGGATTGATTACATGCAGCCACAATTGGAATAATTGCTAACAAGTTATATCTTGCAGCCATCAAACCCTAATGTCAGCGCATCTGCCACGACCGCCGCGGCACAGGCATTTCTATCCCATCGAGCATCGAATACGTCCTTGTCTTCAGCTGCAGCTGCTGCCGCATTGCGGTCCAGACCAACAACACCTACATCCGTGGCAGACATTCAGACCAAAAGAACAATTCGGAGAAACGGTTCGACCTCTTCTGCTGGAAGTTCTATTGGTGGTTCCGTACGTGGTCCACCAGGATATGTCTTTGTGCGAAGAGGAAGTTCCGGTTCTATGACCGAACGTACTTTTCGAGATCCATCACCATCCAGGTCCTCGCCAGTTCCCAGTGCATACGATGCGCCACCTGTACCATCAATTCCAAAGAACATAGATACAACCGGTGGCAAATCTTCAAGGCGATCTGCAAGTATGGATGCACCCGGACTAAGAATCGCATCACCATCCCCAACCAAACGTGGTGGGAGGGGTTCAAGTCTAGGGCCGTCGGCGACACCGTCGCGGGGGGTGGGTCCAAGGAACCCAAGCTTATCCAGTGTATCTGAGATGAATGACGAGAGTAGAGGGTCCGTCAATTTTTCCTACCCTACGAGTACAAGGCCAATGTCTCCTGAAGGACAAAGACGGCTAACATGTCCCCAAATTTCAAGTGCAACCCCCAGAATCGTTTCGCCAAATAACCAGAATCTAGTGTATGACCCTAACACAAGGCGCTTCTTGCCGCTAGTGGATATACTAGCTATCGAGCAAAGGCTTAGTGGAATTGCTAATGCACCAGTAAAGAAGAAGAAACGAACCCCGACAGCACAAGGTACTCATCTGGCGTCTGGAACTGTGGGCGGGAGAATAAAGGGAACGGCAGTGGATGCCATGGAAAAGGAATCGAATACATTAACGGTACAACAATTCATATCGCAACCTACCCAACATTGGATATCACAATCTTCCACTATACCCAAATTGCCCCCCATATCAGCTGAAAACTCTTGGGTAAATCCCGAGGCCGTATCTGATTTAGAATCTTATACCCAGCAACCATCCCCCTCTGCACTGACAGCTCTACCGAAGAAGAAAAAGAAGCGGGCCATTGTCACCGATTCTGATAGCGACCAGGCGTCGATTTTACCAAACTCTTCTGCTGACGAAAGTGATGTACCATCTCAACCATATGTATACAAAACTCGAGCAGGCACGTTGCTAGCGAAAAAGCCATCGGTTGTTCGTGAAGACAGAGAAAGGGAGGAGGAGGAAGATGAATCTCCACTACGTCCCAACCAAGGAGGGCTCTCGGTGAATTCCACTGAACCTATAAGAACCGTCTCCCCATCTCCGCTACCCTGGTCAACCGCTGGTAGGGGTCATGGTCGAGAACAGTCATCAACAAATTACGCACAAGAACGACAACATACGAGATCTGCAAGCCAACCTGCTCCAATGATCTCTGCGCCCACCCCTTCGACAAACGAAGACTCGCTATCTTCTCGTGGTGGTCGCGTGCAATCTGTTAGTCCTGCAAGAACTCCACATTTTATGACAACCCCCGAAACTTTGATGGTCAGACATCAGCCACCTCCACGATCTGTATCTCCGCGAAAATCTGCTTTGAAACATTCTTCGATATCCTCAAGCGAGATAAGAGGACCGTCGCCCTCCGATGGTGGTTCTCTGCGACCCAGTGAGATGTCTAATGACGAGGAACAGCCAAGGAAAAAAGGAAACCGAGTTAGCTTTGATGAGGGTAGTAATATAGTATTAGGTCAATCGACGTCAGTTGCTTCTGACTCGCCAGTCATTCCTAGTCCGCAGACAAAGCGTGGCTGGTTCAACATTGGTCGTGGAAAGAAAAAGGATACACCCGCTACGGACGAAGATGATGAGGTGATGAAGCCAAGACCGGCCCTTCCATCCTTCGGAAGTGTGAGGGAGAGAAAGACACATCGAGAGACAGAGGAACGACCTTTAGTCAGACCGCCAGAACCAATAGATACTGCCGCCTGTGACCCCTCTCCTGTATCACCACTGTTCGCATCTCATATGGGAGGTGTATTGGAATCTCCTATGGGGCAGTCAAATGATCATATTGCTGGTGCATTACTTGCTCAAGATGCGGGTTCAAAGAATACAGCAAATATTTCGAAATCTCGCGAGCCACTACCCACTGATGTAACTGCTATGGAAGAAAAAGGAGAGCTCTCAGATGCCAGCAGCACGTACAGCTTGGAGAACAATAATATTGGTATCGCTAGAAGTAACAGTTTTAAAGTTGGACCTGAAGACGGGCATGTCGATACGTATCGAGATTTGGCAAGTCCGACGAGAGACCAGTTTGAGGATAACCAAGCAAACGAAGGGATCCCAGAAATTTCTGTTCAGCTTCCTAGTCCAGAACCTGAAGGCACGAAATCAAAAGAATGGCTCGATATGCCCGGTGGTTTTCGAAATTCAGAGAGTTCCAGTTCAAGTTCTGGAGATCAAACAAAAGACGAGGTTTATCATACTGCCATTGAGAATGGTGTGATTGGTTCCACTGCTACGAAAACAGCAGAGTCAACGTCTAGTCCCTCTAATATTTCGGGATTTGAGGATGCCACACAACAGAGCTCGGAATATCATCCCGCACCAATCTTTGAAGAGACGGAAGAGGACTCTGAAAATGACAGCATTTATAGTGATGCTGCTGAAGAATTCGAGGAAGTAGACGACGGCGGTTTTTTGTCTTTAGATGCTGTGGTGGAAAGTCCTGTCACCAAACATGCCATTCTAGCATCTGATGCACATATGCCGGATAGCCCGACATCCAGATCGACGAAAGAAAGGGCCTACATGTCAAGCCTGTTGCAAAGGAAATCAAGTGAGCCCGATCCCGAAGAAGGTTGGGAGAAAGCTCAACAATATTGGAAGAATTTGTCAGTGGATAGAAAAAGGCAACTGGAGTTAGAGGCACAAAAGGATGCAGATGCCGAGGCAGAATTAGAAGAGGCAGCAAAGCTAGCTCCAAAGCCAAAGAAGACAAATAAAAAGTCGGTAACACCAGAATCGCCTACTTCTCCCATCATGCAAACAATGCAAGCATCTTCATTTCCCCCGATTCAAAAACAACCCAGTCCCGAGAGAAGCTACATGGTTCAGCCAGGATCAAAAGCAGGCCCCAATGGTCATGCTCTAACTGCTATGCGCTCATCTATGCGCGCGGAGCCTCCTCACGCAGAATCAGATGTTCAATTGAGGAAATCAATGAGAGGAGCGACGCAAAATGGTGCGGCTCAACCTAACGGAACACTTCAAAAGAAGCAGAGGCCTGCATCTCTTCCTCCTGGTGAGGTGCGAGCAAATCCTCAAACTGTGAATCAGCATCTTCGACTTATTCAAGGTGCTGCCGTTACTGCTGCCTCACCTCCTGTATCTCAAAGGAATAGTGCAATGGTGGCTCCAGTTCCTCTTCGACGTAAATCATCTGGCGATAGTGATACTAGTTTCAAACGTGCTAGACCTGCAACAGATGGAATAAGCATGAGGCGCTCCATGCGCTCTGGTGGTGAAGCATCAGCCAATGGCCGCCAACAGTCTCCCCTTAGCTCAAGCCGGTTTAGTCTTCGATCAGCATCGCCTGGTGGACCCCCCTCTGTCAGCATGCGTGGGACAATGCGAAATTCAATGAGGAGCTCCGACGACTCGGCTGCTCGAGCGAAATCTCCCATTAGGATACCTGGATTTGGCAGAAGTTCTTCGGCTAAACCAGCTCAAAAACGGAAGTCAATGCAATCTCGTGGAAGCCGATTTGCCGATTCCAGTGATGAAGATGAGCCTCGTTCCGGATTTAGAAGCCGTTTTGTGGATTCGAGTGATGAAGATGAACCCACATCTAAAGCCACCCGACCGGTATCATCACGCGGTGCACCTGTTCGAAGTATACCTCAGCCCGCCGGCTATCATGATGGAGATTCATCGGATCTTCCAGATAGTGATGATAATCGGCCAGCTACAGCTAAGAGCCCCAAGTCACAGCAAAATGGCAACAGACCATCGTCTCGAAGCACAGCTCTAGCATCCGGAAATCTTCAACGTTCTGGTTCAGGTCGCGAGATGATCAAGGTGGCCAATGGCCAAGGCACGATCGCGTCTACCCCCGACCGACCAACGCATGCCAGACGTGGGAGCATCTTGTCTATCTTCCGCAAAAAGCCAGATGTTAATAGTAAGGTTCGAAAATATAATGGGGAAAGTCCCGCACGAAGAGATACTCCCTTGGAACGTAGTAGATCTGATCTCGAAGCTATCAAACGACAAGACTCATTCGGTAGACCCTCAACACCCAAGTTACAGAAGAGAAACCCTCACGCCGCCGGACAAAATAGTGGTTCTTGGCCTCTTCCTAATGATACCGATGATATTGGAATCAAGATACCTTTTGAGGAAGGTAGACCTTTCTCTGCAGATGCAGCTGGTGGTATAGTGGGTGGCGAACATGCAGATGTCGGATCTGATCTTCGACCAGATGTTGAAAATAGGAGATTTACCGCCACGGGGTTAAATGATGTAGATGTGATGGCTCAAACCAGTGCGAGAAAAAAGAAAAAGTTCCAAGCGTTGAGGAAGATGTTTAGGTTGGATGATTAGGAGGCGGTAGCCTTCTCATTCTTTTCTTGTTTGCTAATAGTGTATACGATATTTTCCCATGGATTTTTCTTTTTTCTTTTTACTTTTACTTTTACTTTTACTTGTTACTATGTTACTTCGTATTTGGAGGGTAAGGGGGGCAATTAGGGCAAGGAGGTGGGGGTTCTAATAGATACCAATGGGAATGAATGGAATGGAAAGGAATTAAAGGGAAGGAAAGGAAAGGGGCTAGAGATTGTGCAAATGCAAATGCAAATGCACATTCTTTTTTAGTTTTATTCATTTAGCTTATCTTAGAAACAGAAGTTGTGAGATGATTTTTCTTTTCTTCTTGGTCTTGGTCTTGGTCTTGGTCTGGTTGTTTTTATATATATACATATATGTATTCTATGGGTTGGGTTGGGCTGTATTGGGTCGGGTTGGGTTGGTAATATGATATGGTATGATATGATATGTTTGAAATGGTTTGGGGTTTGGAGGTTTGGAGGTTTGGAGGTTTAATAATGTGGTGGATTGTGGTGGATTGTGGTGGATTTTGGGGGAAGGAGGAAGGAAAAGGGGAGGATGGAGAAGGGGAGGGAAGATGGAGGGGGTTATTGGGGGAGGTGTTAATGGGCGGTACATGGGGTAGGGGGGTACATGGGGTGGATAATGAATGTAGTTTGTAGTTTGTATGTATGTATATGTAATGATTTGAGTTGAAGTGAAGAGATGAGAGTTGAGTTGAGAGTGAAAGTGAAGTGATGAGAGTTGGGTTGAGTTGAAGTGAATGAGGGTGATGAGATGTGGAGTTGAAGTGATGAGATTGGTTGAAGATGTACTCGAGTAGATGTGTATATATAGAGGGAAAAGAAAGGAAAGGGGAAGTTCCGAAGAGAAGGGAAAGGAGGGAAGAAGGTAGTTGTTTTCTTTCTGGAAAATTATTAATTGGTGTTTATAATGTTTTCGAAATGTGTGTGAATTGTGAAATGGGAAATGTGAAATGGAATATGGGATATGGGATGGGTGAGATGGGATGGGTGAGATAGGATGGGTGAGATGGGGTGAGTGATATGGGATATGGGATATGGGATGAGTGAAATGTGTAGGATGGAATGGGTAGAATATATGTTTATATGCGTACTCTATGCTATACTATAAAAGAAAGACGCATAAGAACACAGTATGCAAATTGAAACCACTGGCAATTTAGAAAACGAAATATATCAAAGAAAGAGCAATAAGAAAATGATAGACCAAGTACCGGAATAAGAGTAAGTATAATAGGGAGAGAGGTGGATGGGATGTATAAGAAAAAGATTTAACTTGAAAGAGTAAATGAATCGAAAGAATATACGATATATGGAATCTAGAAGAGGAAGAGGAAGAGTAAGAGTAAGAGGAAGGGTTTGTAAGTTAATTCATTAGGTAGATGAGGTGGGGTTTATGAGGAAGATATAAAGTGTAGGTAATTAGCTAGCTAGGTAGGTAGGTAGATTTTTAGAGGAATGAAAAGAGTGGAAGGAGGAATAGATTATTTAGAAAAAATAAAAAAGGGGAGATACTAGATAAATAAATATTTATATAGATAGTAGTAATAATAATAATAATAGTCATAGCAGTAGTAGTAAATTCATAATCGATTTGATCTATATATAGCTAATGCTATACGGACTATACAATAAGGCCATGATTATATACAATATAAGATTTACTCGAGTATATAGGAAAAGTTATAAGACCTGCTGCCCTTCCGGGAATTGCCTGAATCGTCTGAAATGAGATTCTGTACTATCTAAACACTTAGAACCCGTGATATGTATGCAGATGAAGACGAAAATTAGTGTTATTTCGTGATCTCTGACTAATCTATTGTTTATATAGATATAGATATAGATGTATATTAACGAGACTAGTGAATAGATGGAGTTATAGAGATATTTTGTATTTTTTACTTAGTATTTTATAAGAGATAGAATCAAATAGTTATAATTATACAAATAAGTAAATTAAGTTAAATATTCTATAAAGAGTTTATAAATCAATTTGTTTTATTCTAAAGTATTTGATTAATATCACTTTACTTCACTCGAATATAATATAATATCTGAGCTAGTATTTGCAAAGCCACGAGGTGATATATATATATATACATGTATATATATACAAGAGTGATACTTTAGAAACAAAATTTTATTAATACTATAGAGAGATAGATGGAATATAAGTTATATAATAGAAGATGAGATCTGAGATTATGATTAGGTTAAAGTTATATATATATATTTATATACTCGTACGAAATCCCGTAAGTAGTTATGAAATACTCGAGTATACTACGTAAAAGATAAAACGGACCGCAAATTCGAATCTCGATGATTTATTTGGGATAGTGTGAAGAGTAACAAGTATAATATAGTATCGACTCACGTTTATATTGATGTTGATGTTAATTTTAATTTTGGGCGGAGATGTGTAATACTCGGCCCAAAAATGATGCGGAATGAGATAGATACTGTAGGGCTGATGATGATGATGAAAAGCGGGCACATAGATTCTTATAATTTACGTATAGTATATATAGGCAGACGCATGGAAAGAGATATATATAGCCAGGCTGTCAGCAGTACTTACTTTCTGGGTGATGTGATGTGATGTGATGGGATGAGTGAGGGATTAGTATGAGCAGATCGTTGGTTGTATTGTACGTATATGTAGATTCTAGATTCTAGATTCTGGATATAGATATGGATATGGACTCCGGCGGCTCCATGAGAGCTTTTGTTTTGGGAACTTTGGGGAGAGGGGGAGGAAGGGAGGTGAAGGTGGTGGTGGAGTGAAGTGGCGATGGGGATGGGGATGAGATCGAGGTATATACTGTAAAAACGTAAGAGGCACATGGCATATAACATGGTATACAAGGGTCGCGAAACTCGATCTTGAGATAGGCGCTGTTGACGTTATGATATGTATTCGGTAGAGTGGGTCGAGGATGATGAAGCTTAACTTTTAAGTACACATGGTAATCTTACGAGCTGTATGTTTTTGCATCTTGGGAGAAACTATGCTATATCATGAATGAGTGAGTTTTTTTCTATGCATAGGTACATATTATGATATGATATTGTATGTATGGTAATATATGATAACAATCTGGATCCCTATGGAAAGCACTTCCCATATCTTCCACGTTTGTCGCGCGCATAATCTTGCGGATTAGTGATACATCTGATTTTGCTTCCTGTTGAAGTTGGTACTGTATGCTTTTTTTTCAGTGGGATTGCGGCACAGAAGTGTGGTGCACTGATGATCATTCGTGATGCTGTTGTTATTGAAGATACCGATAGATGTGGAGCTGCGAGGGTGTACTCCGTGCTGTACAGTGCACCATACTGATTTGCGATGAAATGGAGATTATCCCAAAGATAGACTTGAATTTTAGGAAAGGGGCAGATTGTACCTGCATAACGGCCGTATGCATAGTTAGTATGCTTTTTTTTTTTTTAGCTCCGTTGAGCCGTTGAGCAACGGTCGTCATTTATTTGTCCTAGAAACTTCTTCAAGATAAGGGGCCACTCATTGCTAGGGCTTAGCGAGAAGAACCCCTATTTCTATTGGTTGGGATGAGCTTTAGGCGTTTTAGTACAGACATGGGTCACGGATTAGGAAGTCCTCCGAAAGTGGGGAGATTGCTTGCCGTTAATCTCCTAGACAAGCCTTCTTTAAAATAGGTCACTGTATAGCGTAAGCACTATTGGGAAATCAAACGACGGAATCAATAATCAATTAGTTGATACTTGTGCCTCATGCTTGTATCTCTGAACAAGGGAAGCGAACGCGGGTTGTCATGGACAAAAACTAGACTAATGATAACTTCAGAATTTCATTCTCGTTGTTCGTACGAAATATTGTGATCGGGATTTAGGGACGGGACGGAAATCGAAATGGTCTTTCTGGAAATAGATCGAACTGTTATCATGGTATTTAATTTGTGATGCATTCCTCCAATGTGATATCTCAACGGTACCTGCAGCAAAGCAAAGCCCTGAGCTAAAATGTACGTACAGCACTGAGAATGCCTTGAGCAAAGCCTAGTTGGATGATGATTCTTGTTTAAGTATTAAAAATAGCACGAAATACATCTACTAACACTTTCGACGTGAATGTACGGAGTACAGATCTAGAAATAATTTATGATGTGACATGAACATGATCTTGTAGTTGTATTATATCCGATGCTTACCACACTATTCAGGTTGCAACCTATTTCTAATGCAATGCAATAGAGTATGATACCGGGACGATCCGCCTGGGTGGGAGACCTCTGCATTGCCGTGTTTTATGTTGTTACAGTGTTTAATCTAAAGTGTTCGTAACATTTCTCTTGAAGAAATTGATGTCAATATCGAAAGATTGTGGACATTGAAGAAATGTACTCGGAAACGGACGATATATTCGATACATACATGCAAATATGGATATGGATAAAGGGATGTTCCGCGCAAATGTGCCGGATGCTAAAATCTTACTAATTATTTTGCCATATGAGACCAGTCTCTCCGTAAACAACATGGGAGCGCGTCAATCTGAAAAGGCATCATATTCCCATTGCTTGGGTTTTACGAAGTTGTCTCCATATGAAGAAAGGAACTCATACCAACACCAACACCATCACCATCAACATCAACATAACCGTTGACCAACACAAAGTTTTTTGTTGCTTGATTTGTTGCTTGATTTTTACGAGGTTATCTCCACATGAAGAAAAGAACTCACATCAACACCAACACCACCAATATCACCAACACAACGCTTTCCAAAATTGTCAACCATCATCTTGGAAATTGGAAATACTGTGAATTTAGACGCAGATAATCTTTTACGTGGAAGTTTTGATTTCAATTAATATTATGGTTGATTTGATATTGAAAGGCATTGGGAATGGGTTTGTCTATCTCGTTCATATATCCAGCGGTGGCCCCTTAAAACGATCGAAGCTTTTGCCGGAGTTATGAGCTAGTATGAGCATGGTAAGAACGTGGTATGGGTGAATCTAATCCTTGACCGCCATGTGCACTGTGTTCCTCTGGGTCTTTAATTGACCCTAAAATCTGACAGCCGACGCAGGCTCCAAACTCTAGATCATCTATCCCACCTTTCTCGAATTGGATTAAACCGAGATGTGGGAGGGAATCTGGGTATTGCCGGGCTCAGTTAACTGCGACCTTCGACTTTCCATTACCAAGGAATTGGAATCTTCATGGCCTTTATTTAGAAGAGAGCCTCACTTGCCACGTTTTGATTGCCGTGGAGACTGCGGCGTTCCGGGGATACTTCTCTCTTACCAGGTCTTACAGTATGTACTTCTCTTCAAGAATCCTCAGGCCATACTGAGAACCACATCATTTCAAATGAAGGTAATTCATACATGCACCAAGATACGCAATGCCTGCATAGCCTTAATTGGCAGTCATCACAACAAGATGCGGTAGGCGTTGCTCCAACGGCTTCTGCCTTTGCGAAGCATTTGTTAATGGATCCCAATAACTCCGTGACCAGGAGTTTGGCCCACTTCTTCATGGTCGTGGTTAGGATTGTACGAGAATCCCAACCATTCCTTTCTTCCGCTTCCCATGGGCGCTTGAGCGAGTGAGCGGAACTCCACATTTTGTTTCCGCATTGGCAATTTTGGAATCTATTTTGACAGAACCAAGCCTTCAAACTGGAAACCTGGAGGTGAAATCTCCAAGCGAAGTTATGACGCCGGCCAACTTGGTGAGCACTAACTGCCATGAACTTGCCGTGCCACATGGTCGAGATATGTATGTAGCAAGAGGACCCGAATCGATCTGGATTTTAGGGAACTCAAGGTTTCGATCAACTTTTGTCCCAACTGAAATTTCTATGCTTGTAGTCACTCATCAAGTATCATACTTTGGTTGTCATTCTCCAGTTATAGTCATTGATCTACAGCACTCTTTTTTTCTTTCCTACGATGGAGCGCACTGCCGAGAATAAGGTTGTTAAGAATTGTGGCACCCGATCACGCACCGGCTGCATAACCTGCAAGTAAGTTTTGATCTCCGGTGGACACACCTATCGTACAAGTTCATCCTATAGCCCAATCAAATTTAACATCCAATATTGGGCCGGGTTTGTGGATCAATCCCAACGCCAAGTGAGAATTTGATATTCGTGTTCAATCCCATAAAGTCCGTTGAAGCTAACATACATATCACACATAGGGTCCGACGAGTAAAATGTGACGAAGGAAAGCCCGGTTGTCAACGATGCAAGAAATTCGGCCGGCTCTGTGATGGATATGAACGCAAAAGCGCCAGTCCTCAACCACGAGCTAGGCCAAAGAAAGCTTCTCCTCGAATGGAGACCAATCAACCATCACCAACGACACTGGCCCCAAAACCCTTACCACCTTCATCGTCGATTGCATTCAATGACGAACAAGAAGCACTATATTTTCAAATATTCCAATGCGAAACCATCAATATTCTTGCCGATGGTCGCGACTCACCACTTTGGCATAGGATAATAAGACAGGCTTGTCTAGAGGAATCCTCAATCTTTCATTGCGCCATTGCCATTGCTGCTCTCGACCAAGCGTGCAAATCAAGAGCATTGCATTCATCGTCACAATTTGAGTTTCATCATCGTCATGCACTTCAACAATACGGCAAATCTCTCAAAGAACTGCAGAAAGTAATCGCTCGCGGTGATTCTTGTATTCGCACCACCCTTATTGCTTCTCTACTTATCTTCTGTTTCCAAAACTTCCATGGCGATATTCGACTTGCTCTAAATAATGCCAGGACGACGATAGATCTTATGTATAATTGGATTTCAAACCAGGCGGGTGTTCCTGCACGTATTGGATTCAGTCCCGCACCCAATATTGTGGAAAATGAACTGGTTGAGGCGTTCACTCGTCTCGATGGACATCTCATAAATGTACGTTCAGCATGTAACATCCTAACCTGACCTTCGTTTTGTATACCGCCCAAGCAAGGGTCATAAATCGAGGCTAATTTGCTTGTTTTCTAGTGGGTCGGTGTCTCTGCATCTTCACGCGACTTCATCTCTTTGGCATTGTCGAATCCTCTCAATACTCCACCAATCCCAAGCATCTTTTCATCACTCAAGGAAGCAAGACTCTCTTTGGATAATTTAAAGGCAAGGCTTTCCCTAGACAACATTTTGGGACGCATCACGCCGCCCTCAGTCACCTGCATCTCCCGAAATTCCATATCAGAAGATCCCTCCTCAAACGAGCCCCCCTTTTCAAGAGAATTGAGAGCTTGGACATCTGCATTCCGACCTATTTTCGATCTTTCTCAATCCAGATTAGATAGCGACCCAAACGACCACAGCGAATTCATCCCAGCCGGCATATTGCGTGTTCATTCTTTAGCACTACAAATTGTGTTTTGGTCTTCCTATCACGCCAAAAAGAACATCAACATGATTAGTCCAGCCCATTCTTACCCATCCCCCGCCTCTGTACCTTCTTCTTCTCCTCCTCCGTTCTCCGATAACGACAGCGAGAAACACATTCACAATTTGCTTTTACCCGATTACTGCGAGATCATCACCGTTTGCCGGGCGATCGTCAATCATCCGGCTTTTATCAAATCGTTTATTTTTGGAGGCGGAATTATACCTCAGCTTTTTGTCGTGGTGTGCAAATGTCCAGATTTGAATGTACGACGCGAAGCAATACAGATTTTGAAAGATGCGGGAGGGAGAAGAGAGGGGGTTTGGGACGCCAAGACCATGGCACGTGTTGGAGAGGAGATTTTGAGGTGTGAAGCTCTCGATGATAATTCGAAGAATCATCAAGATTGGGATCGGGATAGTCTCTCCAATGGAGATTTTGATTTCGATCCCACGAGAGGGGAGAATAGTATGTTGAGCGGTGTGCAGGCTTGTGGGTGCGGTTGTCAAAATGGAGGAGATGAAATTACGCTGCAGAGATCGGTAGATTGGGTGGAAATTCAACTAGCGTGTACGGGGATGAAGTTAAAGTTACCGATGGTGAGACAGAAGAAGATTCGAACGTATGAGGACGTAGATGAATATGCTGGGAGGATGTATGGAGAGGAGGTCGAGGAAATGCGTTTGCTGGATTGGGTGGAACAGTTTCTTCATCCGCAGGGAGGTGTGTGATTTTGGTAATCTATTTATATGACGATTCTGGATATGATATGATACGATACGATAGGGTTGGTGTTTGGGAGTTATGGGTCGGTGGGAATATACCAGTTATAGAGAGATTGAAGATCGAAGATCGGACGGGTTTGGGTTTTTTGTATATATATGTAATGATTAGATGTATAGCATTACTAGTAGAGGTACTTTTAGAAATAGATGATAGACTCAAGAAAATGTATACACTACTTAGGTTTAACTTCAATTTTCCCGGAAGTTGTGTGACACACTTTTGAACAGTCAAAGTCATCTGATATTAGGCGAGGGGTTGTCACATGGGCTAATAAAACATATACACCAACTTCCGATACTCACATTTTATTCGTCCAACTCTTAGCTGAGATTATTCCAGCTCTGATCACACAAGAGAACCAGTTTATCGATGTACATGAGACGGTATCACGATAATGGATAAGAGTTCTTCTTCTCATGCCACGTGTACTGTAAGATGGTTGTAAGATGGTGATTATGCAGATGTCTTGGTGCATGAATACTAATCTGATTCGATCGTATGTGTAAAGAGGGGATTATATATCCTGTTTCTCGAGAGCACTTGCATTTGTACTAAGATGGTCGATGAATCAATATGGTATGGTAAGATTATGTATTCATTGTGACATCTAGATACGAAAAGGAAGCGATCCCGAATGCCAAGCTTTTTCTTAGATAGGGTAAGGAGCTAAAGTTTAGTCTTTACGCTAAGCACCTACGACCCTACGACATCAACAACCCGTATGAACTCCAATTCACAACCACAATCACAATTACTACCGCCATCAATTCCAATCCGCAATCACGACCAAAAAGCGAGATTTCTACACGCAATAGATTGCGATAATTACCATCATAGAAGGAAAGTTATTGAATTGAGGAATATATCTCTTTCGTCCAACATCTATCAGAATCGCGACCTACCATCGAAACCCCACCATGTCGACCATCACAACGACCCCCTCGTTCCTCAAACTTCCTTCGGAGCTTCGCCTTAAAATATGGTCCAACCTACTCCCTGGACCTCGCACCCTCCCTATCCGTTACTCCCGAGCTAACAATACCTATTTCACCACTTTTCCCCCCTCAGTTCTCCTATCCATCTCATCCGAAACCCGCACTCTTTTCCTCGAACACTACGTCCTCCTCCGTCTCAATTCCTCCTATGACTCCACTATATACATAAATTTCTCCCTCGATACGTTGTGTTTTGACCACGAAGATTGTTCGCCGGCGGGAGATCTGGCTATGGATTTTAAGAACTGTGTGCAGAGGGATTTGATTCAACGGGTTGATATTGATGCGCATTTATGGGAAATTTTGCGGTTATTTCGTTTCGATGATCTTTCCGAGATTAAATATTTACGCGGGTTGCGAAATCTTTCGTTGTTTTTGAAGAGTCATGAAGAGGATTTTCATCTTTACTATGGGGAGGGATATGAAAGGAGTCAGTTGTTGAGGGAGAGGGATTTGTTGGATGGTAGGATGTTGTTTGAGGGCCAGACGACGAATAAGGATCGCGCGCAGTGTCACTTGTATGTAGAGTTGGTGACGAGGGGGTTGGAACATGGGGATGAGGAGTGGATTAATGGGAGACCGAGTGTGCAGATGTGGATAATATGAATGGAGGGGTTTGATAACGAATAATGAGAATGGAAATTTCATCTAATGGAGTCAAGGCTTCAGTCCGAACTCTACTATAATATATTCCTCGTCACCTCGCCAGATTACGATTTCACCGGAAGAGATATACGTTTGAGGAGTCTATGAATGGACTAAGGGGTAAGAAATACTTCACGAATATACCTCATGACTACAACTTTTACGACTTATGAACTATATTAAGATAAAACAAGTATATATTATATCTAGGTGGGTGTATGAGTACGAGTACTTTGTTTTGATATGAGATGAGATGAGATGTCTAGGTACTATAGATTGTAGATTGTGAGTGCTGGTCGACTGCGTGGGTTGGGTGATCTAATTTGGAACGGGGTTCTTGGGTTTAGGTTTAGGTTTAGGTTCGCGGCTGTAAAGTGTCTCGAGGATTGTTTGATAATAAAAAGTCATAAAGTTGTTCAGATGGATTGTATTGTTTGGCTGTTTTTCCATTGTATAACTGTTGTACTGATAAGTAGGTGAGTAGTATATATCGTTTTTCTTGGAGTTCTAGATGACTAGTGACTAACCAGTGCGTACTTCTACTCGTAACCTGTACTCTAAGAGCTCTCGATATTGGAAATTTGGCATCCGGCTGCCGGGTATCACATTCCGGGCTTGGTGAGAACGTTAAGCGGGTCTCTTATCTTACGATAACACAGAAAGTCGGGGTAGTAGACGTATCCAGGCGCGTGGAATGATTGCCAGCGACGCGACATAGTCGATTTAGAATCGACTTCAACACGATAGTTCTTGGGCGAACACTGTTTTAGTGACATCAGTACATCTACTCAAATCAACTACACGCTAAAAAACTTATTGTGATCGGCCGACTACTGTACTTCAACGTCCCGCAGATCTGCCTAAAATTATGAGCTACTCCCCATTATCGACTTTAGCTCTTCGAATTAATGAATCAAAAATATGTCGAGTTCGAAACATACACAAGAGGAACGGCCATCTCATTGCGAGAGGTCGAATTTCACAACCAAGGAGGATCTGACTACAATGACAGTAGCCCCCGAAAAACCATCCAAATCATTGGCAAAGCTTGCCAGACCGAGGAAACAAAGCAATACCACTAATATTGCTATTGGAAAACCTTCCATGAGGTTGGATAACACGAAGTCAAAGCAGTGTAAGTGTTTAGAAAAAGTTATTCAAATAACAAAATTGACAACCTGAACGTAGATTCGTGGAATCCAAAGGCAACTCTGATACATTACACGACAGCCCCTCTAACATCCCGAATATCTAAACCCCCTTTGGCATCAACAAACGAGCGACAGCCTAGACCTCTACAGGAATTACCTCTACAGAAGCACGAGGCTATCATATTGGAGGATCTTCTTTACGTTCTGATGGGTTATGAAGGACAATATATTCGATTCGCAGAGAGCTATGATTCGTCTTCCGAGAGAGACCGTCTTGCTGGTCCCAATTTCACAATTCTCCCCGGCCTGAATGTCAGTTTGCAAGATCTTACTACGAAGATGTTGAAGATGGCCACCTACTACATGGCGATTGAGAGTTTTCTGGAAATTCAAGGAGAACGAGAATACGGATCCATGAATCATGCTCTATGTGCTGCGATTAGGAAACATCTGCAAAGTTACCTCGTTATGGTCGTACAACTAGAGACTCAATTTCTCACCAATCTCGACTTCACATTGAACGTTTTGAATTTGCATACTTTAGCAGCTAGTCACATGCTGTTCCAGATATATTCACTTGGACGAGAAATATTGAAACAGAATGCAATTTTGGAAGAAGACTCTGATGGTGACGTTGACGATTTTGATAACATTCTCGAAAGTTTGCGGACAGGTGAGGATCTAAGCAAGGGGGTTGCCATGAACAAACGACTGTGTATCGGTGGAAATGTTTTGCGTCTCCTCACAACGCGACTTGATAGGATGTCTGGAGACCCTGCAGCCCGAGCTATTCTTACTTCCCTATTGAAGGAAGCCAGCCGTCCATATATGTTGATGCTAAACGAATGGCTTCACTATGGCATTATCAAAGACCTGCACGGGGAATTCTTGATCAAGGAGCAAAAGAGTATTGGAAGAGAGAAATTGGAAGACGACTATACGGATGAATATTGGGACCGCCGATACACTCTTAGGGATGAAGTTCCGCCTCAGCTGGAAGCTTTCAAAAACAAAGTTTTGTTGGCCGGAAAATATCTAAATGTGGTGCGTGAATGTGGAGGGATAGATTCAAACAAGACTCTTCAAAATCTCCCACAATCATTCTCCTTTGACGATATTCGATTTTCGGAAAATATCAACAACGCCTATACGCATGCGAACGAATCGTTGTTAAAATTACTCCTTACAACTCATGAATTGCCCGCTAGACTGCGGTCATTGAAACGTTATTTCATGCTCGAAAGATCACATCTTTTTATCTCGTTCCTCGAGCTCGGAGCATCCGAGTTTCGAAAACCTATAGACAAGATTAATATGAGCAAGGTGGAATCTCTACTGGATCTTGTTCTACATCAGCCAGGGACTGCTCAAGACGCTTTTAAAGAAGATCTTCGTGTTGAAATGAACTCAACTAGCCTGATTGATTCTCTAAACCGAGTGGTTAGTATATCTGGAATGGAGCAAGGTGAAGCGCTTGAAGTACACACTGCTCAGCAAAGTGAGAGTGAACGGATACCCATTGGATTTACATCATTGCAGCTAAATTGCTCGGTACCATTTCCCGTATCATTGGTCATCAGCCGAAAAACAATCTGGAGATATCAGGTACTATTTCGATTCCTACTCTCACTACGATACCTAGAGAGACAATTGCTAGGGAGTTGGCAATCTCAAAATAAAGGCATCAGGTGGTCACATAAAACATCTAATAACGAGGTCGAATATTGGAAACGTCGCGTCTTTGTTCTACGAGCTCGAATGCTTGTATTTGTTCAACAACTTTTGAGCTTCTGTACCTCCGAGGTCATTGAACCGAATTGGCAAATTTTGATGGCTAAACTCGAATCAGACGGATCAAGTGATTCAAGACCGGCTGTTAGTACCGTAGATGAGCTGATGCAGGATCATGTCAATTTTTTGGATACTTGTTTGAAGGAGTGTATGCTTACTAATAGTAAACTTTTGAGGGTATTTGTTTTGTCCATGATCGCCGATTCTAGATTAAGCTAATCCCATTAACAGAGACACACTAAACTTCTACAAACGTGTACCCATTTCGCGTCATGTACAGGACGCCTATCCAAGGAGTTGGAAAAGTTGGATCCAGACCTAACAGGATCGAAGCGGCCAGCAACAATGTGCAAGCTACAGTGGGCACACTTCCAAACCGAAAAATCACGCTCCAGCTCCGAGCACTCGGCATCTACGATAGGGGAAAGACCGCCTCTGGACAAATTGCGCGATTTGATGGATAAATTCGAATATAGCTTTGGGAAAGGTCTGCAGGGTTTCATCGATGCGTTGAATCATTTTGCGGCTACGGAAACGGTGGGTTTCTTGGGTCTCTGTGCGAGGTTGAGTACGGTGAATCAGGGGACGGTGTTTAGTGGGTTGAGAAATGAGGAGGGTGTGGAGGATTGATGGGGAGGTTTGGAGATTGTTGGATTGGTATGTTGTTCGATGGTTTCTTACATTGGGCACTCCATTGAATAGTTGGGTGCTGAAAATATTGGATAGATAAGTAAGTGTTCATTATCTAAGGTAGGTCTGATAATTGAAAATATACAATCTAAATATCTGGTACGAAATAGCTTCAGATATGCAGGACCTTTTTGTCATCTCATGATGAGAAGTTGAGAAATAAGAAGAGACTGCAAGACAATACCCGCTTTGCAATGGCTTTAGCTCTATCAAACGCTAGCTCAGCACTAGTGGAGATATCAAACTTCCAACTAGCATCCATAAACGGTCATCCAACAAGTCTAAAACTAAATTACACACTCTACTCGTATTCGCTCCTCTCTAGATCTGACTTTCATTTCATCTACAGTGCCTAAATCCTAGTCTACCCATCAAAACTTATTTTTCAAGAAACAAATATTGGGATTTGCAAGTCATATATTGAAGCTTGTAGGTAGAGAAAGTAGATTAAAGTTATTTAACTAAACTAGGAAATGTTTATACGTGCTGTAACCTTACCGTCGTTTTTAGAATCGACAGTCGTGAGACTTCTCGCTTGCCTGCCGATTTGTCGCAGTTTCTATTACGCTTGGTTGGATATGAAGAATGCTTATGTGTGGAAAAGGTATTCTGAATTCATATACACCGCGAAGGAAGACATGTTAATGATAATTGAATCTGCAGGTACATATCCATATTTTAGAGCTGTTTGTGCTACGAATAAAGTCCCTTTTCTTTTAAGATTTTTATAAATAACATCGAGGAATTCGTCCCCGTCTACATCTCATCTCGTACGAGAATTTGAGATCCAATGTCAAATGATCACTACGTTGCAAAGCCAAACGTCGATTTTCTTTTCCTGGTACTTTTTCCCTCGTGGATAAATTTCGCAAGGGAAGTTGGTATTTACGTCTATTTTGTTATACTGGGTGGGTGGGTGATGTTGGTGGAGGTTGTAGATACGAGATATTGGGGATTTGGCGACTTGGGTCTTGGGTCTTGATAGAGGTTTGGGTGTTGGGAAGAGGTGAGGTTATTTTTGTACGGTCTAGGACTTTAGGAGAGCGATGTGAGATGTGAGATGTGCCTGTGATGGTGATGGTGATGGTGAAGTAGAGAGTGGTTTCTGCACTGATACCGATATCGTACTGTACCACCTCCGGTTCTCGAAAACCGTCTTGCTTTTGGCGGAAAACTCGGGATGGGTGAGAGATGAGATATAGAGGGCTGAGTGTTAGTGTGCCAGGTTGAGGTTGGAGATGGAAAGGTGTCATAATTGTGTGATGTTTGAAGAGCTATACTCGAGTAGATGGCTTGGGATACTGGTTGATTGCCAAATAGAAGAAAGCGTTTCATTTGAGTGAACAATATACATCTTTGCGTATTGTTTACTTTTACACATGGTACTCCCATGGAGTAACGGAGTGGTATGATTTGCGAAGCTAAGTAATCATCGTGTTCCCGAGAAATGATGTGGACTCTACGTTGCGCTACTAGTACTAGATACTAGAACTCAAACTGGCTTAGAGGATACTGTAAGTTCGGATTCTTAGCATCCCCATGTTTATACAAACTGTTCAGCCCAGCGGACTAGATTAGTCTATGGCGAAGTACATGCATAGAGAGATTGAGTGCGCCAAATTGTATCAAGACAAATTGCTTCGGGTGGCTTCGCTTTATACAGAATGTTCCGCCTATATCGCTAACAAATACTGGAAAACGTGATGGATTTCTATATAGCCTTTTCTTTTCGTTGCTTGCAAATGATGCAATAAATCGTCTGGTAAACGTAAGGTTTCTTGTATCTGATATCTATTCATAATGTTGAATCTGTTTTGAAATCTACGCTGAAGAGACATGGACATTACTGTCGATTTTGAAGAGTCAGTAAGTAGTTCCACTCGATCTCGATCTTGTATTTCTTGTACGAAAGGAAAGGCGCGTTGTAATACTAGGAAGTTTAATGCTCGAAGTGTATACCATCAACAACATCGAGTACCACGATCCGTTGAATACGCCCAAAATCCTACGGTCGGGGATTCAAGGTAGTGATGATGCACGACGATGAAGCGACTGAGCAGTGACGAGAATACCTTATTGATGCTGGATTTCTTGCGTGTTGAAAACTATTAAGAGGCGAGTAATAATACTTATATTGCTCTAGATAGCGCGCTTATGATATTAGACACAGAATTTACAAAAGCTGAAGAGAATATCTTGGTTAGGATAACCCTGATACTTTCCCCACCGATCTTCTAAACTCCCCAACGAACGAGGAAACTATTTAATACCCTTCCCAAGCTTACCATTCTAGATCATCACTCAGCACTTTCGACCACCTTAGCAGTTCAGGAACCATAAGCCACCCCTTCTCTCACATCATTGATATTAACATCTCCAATACCAACATCTAGCGTCCAAAGACTATCCAACGTTCTAAAATGAACATCGGAGCGCAAGGAATCGCAGATCTTCTACTTTATAATCTGAAATCTTATCTATCACTTGATGATGCTGCGCCATGATACTCTTCCGCTATTCATTCATCTGCGTTTGATATCTTCTAACACCGATAATAATCAGGTAGAGCCATCAACTAATTGTATCAGTTTGGTGCATATGATCAGTAGCGAGGTTCATGGGAGTCGGAAACTATTTTTGGGGAAAATATGAGCCTGTGAGGTTGTAAGGTCTAAATATCAAGTAAAATACTCAATACTCTACTACGAGTAAAGGAGAATTAGAAGAGCTGATGTGCTTTTTGAGCACCTCATACTCAGTTGATGCGAATTACTAGCTACGACAATCATGTATGCATTTTCTATTTACTCGTATATTCTTCCACAATAAGATGAGAATGGAGGCTGGATAGACTACGAATATAATGATTCTGATGTTTTATTGCTCTTGCTATAGTATGACTATAGGTTTAATCCCTACCTCACCTCAACAACTCACCCACATTGAAGCTGCATACTCGAGTACAGTGCGAGTATATCTATGCTATGATCTAGAAACTTCCTGGAAAGAATACAGTAGATATTTGGGAATCGAAACGAAGGTTTTACCTTCCTTCTATTACAGTGTGATAGAATAGATCGAACTAAATCTCTTATCCTAGCACTATTACATTACATTACCCGCGAAAAAGGAGTATAGGATTGGAAACAAATGATATATTTATAAATATAGAAACAGAAAGTGCGAAGGAACTACTCGAGTAGGGATCCAGACTATATTTGTCTTGGACCCTTGGCTGCAAATAGTCATGGTGGGTTGGTTGGATTAGATTATATGATATGCAGATGTACATATTGTTACCACGGGGTGAAACTCGAGTACTTTATCAATCTTTGAATCCTAGGAGTATATTAAGAAGTCCCGAATATTGGGAAGAGTGGTGTGCAGTGGCAGGGATGTATGGATCGGTTTGGGGAGTTGGGTATGTTGGCTGTTTCTTTGGTTGCGTAGGGGTTTTAATGTACGATTATAGAATAACGGGCTATCAATATCTACAGCTGAAAGATCTATTGGGTATCATTGGCTTCATTTCGTTGATCTGTTTAATACCCGCCATTCAGTGTCCCTGTACATGTAACATATCCATCTTTATCGAAATATCCATCCATATCTTTCAGACGTAAATCATGCAATTACCAACATTCTATCGTTACAATATAAACTCAAATACTCGTACAGTACTCTCAAAAACCTTTACAAAACGTCTCCGAAACTCGAAAGTCGAAAGTTAACATTTCCAGATCAGATCCAGAATCCCCCTCAACGTCAAATCTGTCGCTATCGCTTCTCGCTTCCACTAAATAACTGCTTTGCGAAGTACCAATGAAGGTCACATTTTCGTCCAGTCGAGGGACTTGTATTATCCGTCACTAACTCTAATATACCAATTAGTAAGTATACATTACATTACATCTCGACTTGTCGCTTGTTGATCGTTATACATACTTGACATATTTTTCTATCATCTTTCTTGAATATTTCTGCGTAGCCAGATCCTCTGATCCTCGAGGTGTTCGCCAAGTCGATATCCTGTGCTTGCTTGCTAGACCCTCAGCCGAGGACTTGTTGCGGATTTCGATGCGGTATCTTATTTCGGGGTTTGAATCTTTCGATGCGGTATATTATTCAATCTTCCCAAAAATCCACCATACGGAGATTGAAAACCCAGGTATCCGGCTTCAGCTTTTCGAATAATGTCACACCAGCAGTGCATATCATATCATCCAAAAGCCCTTCCTTAATCACAACTACCGATTCAAACCATATCCCATACCGCACTTCATCTAGAGACTGTTGCCGAATATCCTGTAAGAATTTGTCAATAAACGCATTACAAGTTGCAACCCATAGAAAATATCCATTCCTTCTCCACATCCACGAAATAGTTTACAAACGAGGAGTAGCGCCGGGTTCAGGCCACTGGTATGTGGATATTCGTTCTGCATATATTGGCTCTTATATTATTGCCAGCGGCGGAGTTTCACTTTATCAGTTTTAGCGTCGGAGCATTTGAGTTTCCAGCTCGGGTCTCCGTCAAGCTGTTGTGATAATCGATTCTGAAGTGAAATGGCATCATGAGTGAACATCCGGTCGAGTAATTATATCCAACTAATCCGAAGATGATTGCGGGAGTTTTCTCACGTACATCATATCATTACCGGTATGATGAATGGTAAGATGAACAGTAACAACTGCCGCAGGAACAGGCTGTTATTCCGAGGCTGACCGCGGTCAGTTTTGCTGATGATCATCGTCACCGGTCGAGACGTAGCTGCTTTGGATAATTTGATTGTTGGGAGTATCGTTCTGATGGTATTTTGGTCCTCCTATTGTGGAAAAACATCTCCCTTGTCCAGAAGAACTGGCATAACCATTGTCATCGGTGACTGGTGTTGTGGTATTATCAGTGCCATTGTGGAAGAACATCTCCCTTGACCAGAAGAACTGGCATATCCACTATATCATCGGTGACTGGTGTTGTGGTATTATCGCTTGGCCAGAAGAACCAGCATAACCACTATCATGAATGACTGATGTTGTGGTATTATCAGTGCCATTGTCGAACACCGGTGCCTGGTGGAGGGTGGTGTACAACTCTGGATACACTCGATGTATTTGCCCCAGCTCGTATAATTCGCAGGACCATGTTTTTTCCATCACAGAATTGCTGGCGTTGGGTCGTGTTTTTGGCTCTCTTGATACCTTATCGGAATTCTTGAATCTCCTTGTCTTCAAGTCTTCAAGTTTTGCTGTTGTGAAGATTGATTTTATTTTTCATTCACTGCTTGCTCAAGTTCGTTATTGAGTGCATGCCACCATGGTCCTGGCTACTCTATGAAACCTTGGCTTTTGCGAATGAAAATAAATGGTCAGGGATTGGTGAATTATTGTACTAGTATTCTTTGACTAATGAGGAAAAGAGAAAAAGGTTGAGGTATTGAATATGTGGTGGAGTTCTTGAGTCTTGATGGGTATTGATTGTGTACTGTTGTTATTAATAGTCTTGATGATGAAATATATGTTATGTAGGTATTGAATGTGATGCTTGATAAACATTTCGTTCCAATATAAGAGTTGGGAAGAGAAGTTCACACTTATGGTAAGTAGGTGGTAGAGTATAACACATTACTATATACTATATTCATGGCAGTAAGAGCTCCGACAAAGATAATAATAACATATCTTTATACTCAGTGAAAGTAAAAGGTCTTCCTCCCAAATAATATATCCGTCTCGAAAAGTTATATATATACTATACAATTTCTCTTCAGCTTGGAAGTTAAAAGAGCGCAGGAAGTTTATTCTATAATGCTGAATTGGCGTTTGCAAATGGAAGGGTGTAGGATGGATGCATCGTTGACGAGAAGAATCATCGCATATGTGCTGGCGCCATTGTTTGATGTTGATGAATAATTTCGACGTCGCATCGGTATTTGCTTGCAATCGCCCATGTCAAATATTATATGGGCTCAGACTTTGCATTTGAATTCATGACGATGCTTTTATTATAATAATTATATACTATCCTTCAGCTACAAATCCTGGTGATGTACTGGAGTAGTACACACTACCATATTATTCCCCCGTTTACCTTTCATCTTCGAATTACAGCATTCCCTCTACCTCTACTCTTGACTTCTGGATTAGTATTAACCTTCCCTCAAGAACTAAGTCCTCGACCTGTTGGAATCCCTTTGAGTTTGTATGAATAAATACTCACTTAAGTGAGTCCTACTCATCTTATTGAAGTCATAAAGCTCGTGAATATCAATATAAAAGTTTTCGCACTTGTGGTACCCAGAGATTCAGATAAAACTTAAGTATTGGTGAAATCTTTTTCGGAGCAAGTCCGCGAAAGAATGAAGAATTCGGCTAAGAAGTGAAATTAAACAATTCGGAGCAACATTCAACATCATTTACCCAGTACTGCTCTCAACAACGCTTCGAGCAAACAGTTGAGACTTGAGATCTAATACTGTACTGGCAAACTTCCAAACGAAGGCTGGTGCATCTTCTGATCAAGTGGAACATGTCTCTCTTCATCGGTTCTCGATTTCACTAGAGATCTAGAATGTGATAGACTTAGAGAAAACGTTTAAACGTCAACGACTCCTGTCAACGTCCTGTTCTCGGGTGATCCACCGATACCTGCAGTTCAAGGACTCTTTTGAACACAAGTAAATTGAAGGTCCATCTTTTCAATCGGTTTTAAATACCCCTCACCGACATCAATTTGCACCAACTCATCATTGAAACCCATTGAAGATTGGATGAGCATCAATTTCCTGCTTAGGAAACTAGGTACTACTCGTGTAGTCGGTTTACCCTTCGGACTGCTCCCCTGAAATGATCTGGGATTGAATTTTTCCATCGATTTCCAACACGAAACTCACACTCATACACAATCTTCAATCGTTGAGGATCAGACAATTGTGTTCCCTTGAAAGTGCAGCCAAGCCTTTCGGTACCGAAGCTGGTCAATTCTTCAAGGAAGGCCATGCGGGGTAGCCCACTATCATCTTTGCGTAGAACATGCAAACACCCAAAAGCGCCCCTTATGCCCATTTTATACTCTGGATTCGTAATCCTATTACGATGACACGACTTTGACTTGCCTTATCCTCCCACATACCCCTTTCTACTAAGGTTAAAAAAAGTTCGGTTCATCTATAATGTCCGACTGTTGTCACTTGTTTTGTTTGTTTCGATATGTGTATCCTCAATACTCGAGTATTCATGCCCAGATAAATATCTTGTGTGCATGCAGGAAGTAGCAGGGTGTACGCGCTGCCTGTACCTTGATAACTTTGGCCAGTAACAAAGAAGTAGCTAAGGGTTTCAAAGACTCTTACTCGCCCAATGTCCTTGAATGTATTGATATGATCCTTTGGTTTACCTTGGTTAGACCGTGGAATATCCACAATATACCTAGTCAGTGCACCAACCCGCACTTAGTACGTACGGCACTTACAGAATACCCCAAGCAACAGGGAAACCAGCACTGGCTGTATCGACAGAAATCAAGCTTCAACTATAAGAAGTTTCAATCGTTCCCTACTTTTCGTGTCTGTTCATCCAGTAATTCATTAGTTCATCTGTTCTTGTACATACCACATTTCGAATTCCCATTCGCTATTTTCCAATAATCATAATGAAGATCACTCAAGCTACCCTCCTCGCCTCAGGCTTGGCCTCAGTTGCCTTTGCTCAGAACACAAACTGTACCACCGCAAGCCTCAACACCACTGCTTCCACTTGGACTGTAATCGAAACCGATACCATCTTCAGCATTGCTGCAGCAACCAACCGCGGTGCTTGTGACATTGCTCGCGCCAGCAGAATGCCAGATGCTGAATACATCGATACTGGCTTCGTGTTGATTATTCCCGCCGAAGTCTACGACCCAGACAACGATTCCTGTCTTCTCACTGCCTCAGACGATACCACCGCATGTCTTTACGGAGGACCTCACACTTACACCACTGTCCGTAATGATACTGTCGGTATAGTCATCTACTGTACCGGAGTACTGGCACCGTACTATCGAAGGGCTAGGGCAAGCCTTAGCGAAAGGGCTTCAATACACATATAGTCTCCATCATGTAGAATAGTAATCAACAAGCTTTTTATTGATATCAACACTGAACACCCGTCGGACTTTCTACCATCGTAGATCTGAAAGGTGTTCCCGTTGATACCAACAGATACTGTTGGCAAAATTGCTATCAAATTCAACATTGATGTTTCCGTCATCTCAACCGATATGCTCGGCGTCACATCGAATGACGAAGTTATTGTCGCTGGAAGCATGATGAAATTGCCCCAATGCAGTCCTTCTGGATGTACTGTTCAACCAATCCAGTTCACTTACGGTGTGTACAAGGATTTGGCTGCGAAGTACAATGCGACTGTTGGTCAAATCTTCGCTTTCAACACTGGATATAGATACAGTAGTTCAGTTGAATTTCTCTCGCCCATTCTTACTCTTCCAATGAATTGCCAAGCTCTATCCGACAATATCACCGTTATCTCTTGAGACACTTGTTAAGAGACACTTGTGGATGTGCATTCAGGACGTCAGTGTGGTATTGAGGCATACAGATCTGGGACAAAAAATAGTGAAAAGTGTTTCTCGCATGTTGGATGATATTTCTCTTGGGGAGTGCAACGTGGCTTTGTGATGTTATGATATCCTGATTCAAAATGTTAGCAATTATATGTTTGGGGGTTCAATGTAAGATGGCATTGTGTATTGAGTAGGAAATACAAAGATATCCTGTCTCAAGATAGTTACTGAGAATGAAAACAATGAATGAATTCTTTCAGTATAAATAAACATCATATAGACATATAGACATACATTTGTTTTTGGGGTGACACCACCTTGACCCAAAAAACCTCCCGATATAAACCCGAATGGTGGCCCTCCTTCCTGTTTGATACCCAAACAAACAATATATTTCCTCTTACTTGTGGTTACTTGTGACTCATCGATCCCACAATGCATCCACAGTAAAAGTATGAATATAACCCAAGAACAACTTACATCCTTCACCAAATATACAACAAACAAAGCAAGTTGGCGCAGTGGAAGCGCGCCGGGCTCATAACCCGGAGGTCCCCGGATCGAAACCGGGACTTGCTAAGTTGAAAAACATTCTTTTGTCATTTATGGGTATTTTGGGGTTGGTCTGTGAAATAGCTGTATAACAGAGTTCACAATTGTTTTTTTCCAAAATTTGATGGGATATATTTTTATATATATGCAGGATACCACTCCAGCTCGGATGGTTTATCCGGGTATCTGCTCGGGAAAGCTAGTGGGGGGACCTGTTTGGTGGTGGACACAAGTTCCACCAGATGCCCACTTATACCGAGTTTATCTTCATACTCAGATTTTGGACACCATAACACAACATCGAGGACTCAAAGAATAGTGTACTATATCACAGCATTCGATACACTAATACTCTGGTAGAAGATATTTTTATTGTTGTCGAGTAGGGTTATCTGTTTCCGGGTTACAGTTCTTTTTATTTGTTAAGATGGAAGCAATATATGCCAGTAGCTGCATAGGCTGGAGGAGATGGGGGAATGGGGGAGGCAGACCGGTGTTTGTTGGAGCAGCTGACGAAGTGGGCGCTGTCTTGCTGTTTGCACCAGTGTTTGAAATATACTACTGTATGATTTATCTGTATATTGCCTCATGGTAAACCGTCTGTGAATGAAATACACTCGCGCGATGACCAACAAACCTCAGCCAGAAATTGGCTTGTGTAGTCACATCGTCACCGGTTGTCTGATTTAATTAGTTTCCGTTAATTTTAGACCAAAAACCGTCGAGATATTCTGTCCAAAGCGTATTAATTTAATCCCAGGTAAGGGAATTGACGTTATCTTGGTCGATGCTGACGAGCTGTCTCATTAGCATCTACTGTAGAGCAAGTCAGGATAGGCACTACAAGCAAGAATGCGGTAAAGATTTCCATGAAAGCGTTGATGTAAGTTATAAGTTCACTGTGAGAGCGCATATGCACAAACCACCTTCTTGTCTCTTAGTATTTACAGCCATAGTTAGCAAATACTCGAATTTATATAAGAAAGAATAGTTTCAGGCTATGATGAAAGGATCCAAACTTGACAACGAGATCCCACAGACCTCAAGATATTCATTACTTAATTCATCAGTTAAAATCAGCTTTCATTAGATGATAGTACGTCCTGTTGCTATTCGTGCCTCGTTGAGCCCTTGCTTCATCTCGTGAAGTATAGCAAATTAGCAATTCATTGATGCTTTGAAATAATGTAGCAGGATCTGCTCTTCACTTTTTGAAGATTGAAAATAGTGCCGGGGATGGGGATACATGGTATGTATTTGGTACCAATGGGTAGTTGCGGAATGGGGGAAATTAGGGGCTACATGCCATTTGATGACGTTTCGAAAGAATCCATTATGATTCATATGGAAGTCGTCTCTCTGATACTTCGAGGATTAAACAAAGTAGGAATTCAAGCATCGTGTCAAAAAGATGGTGGCTGTACATTTTACAGAATAGGAGATGAATTATTGGTTAGAAGGAAAAGTTGGAGAGAAAGGAGGAGCGATAAGGCGAGGTTAAATTTGGCTTATTCAATATTGTTACAGGCGACCTGGTTGCTTTTTGCATAGGGAAGGATATCGAATTGCTTATATTACCTCCTCACTGCTCCCATTTGCTTCAGCCTCTTGAGGTTGGGGAATATGGGCCAGTGAAGCGATATCATGCTTTTGAAGTCGATTGGTACACTCGGGTTGGTATAAGGCGAATTCAACGAGTTGAATGGTTAGAACTCTTTCGGAGAATCAGGTCAAAGGGCCTTGCAGCTTCTAATATTAAAGCTGGCTGGAGAGGAGCTGGTTTAGTACCTTTATCCCCACGAAAATTGCTTGATTCGCTTCTATTTAATCCTCCCCAACTGCCGTCTACTCCACAAATAAGGATTTCTGTCAAGACCTGGATCTCTCTGTACTTACAAGCTCTCCTCCATATGGTACAGAGCTAAGGTAAACGAAGCAGGTCTTTAATTCAGCTCTAACAGGCAATGATTCTCCTGCATCACCCATTCGTCGATATGCCAAGCGAATGACTAGGGCTTGTAGAATCTGAAAATGCTGAGATAACCCTGCTTCGAAAAGAGCTTAAAGAGTACAAGGAGCTACATGAGACGCGAAATAAGAGAACTAAAGGCAAGAGAATCAAATTACAAGGCCAGTTTGTCTTCAGCACAGAGGAAGTACAACAATTCGTACGCGAGGCAGAGGAAAAGCCCAAGGAGAAAAGGCTACGAGGGCGGCCACGCAAACGTCCATTTGAAGAATTTGAGGAGGGAACTGAAGAGGAGCCAGAAAACAGTTCAAGTAGTTCAGAGTCAGAATTGAATGAATATGTGGCTCGCAGAACAAGATCTAGAGTAGAATAATGAAAATATTGACCGAGTTCCCCAGATGACCGAGTTCACCCGAAGTCATGTTATCAATAAATTCACAGATACCTTGCCTGATATTTGTAGCGGCAGTAAAAAGGTGTTCTTTGTTCGTTTAGTGAAGAAGTACATCAAAATTGCCATGTAAAATATATACTTCATTAGCAACCATTGGATAAGGCGAAATAAAACCAAGGGTGATAATGCGTCTTATCATCCACCCGATTCAAAATTTTCGGGAGATATTCCGTATGCAATTCCTCCTGAGCATCATCACTGAAATGTCTCGGATCGATCCTCACCCATTTCGCCTTACAATATTCCCAGTACGCGGGAAGCCACCCAGCCTGGCCAAAGTCAATGATTGCTGCCACTTTCGGGTTTGGTCCTGACGCCAAGATGATGTTGGGTGGGGCTAGGTCATTATGTGTGAACACAATACGTGCTTTGACATCAATATTGATCCCGCAAGCGTCTTGAAATTGCTGGACAGCATTTGCCCCATAGTACGGCCCAGCGAGCTCTGGCCGAGAACGAATAATTATCTCGTTCAGCGGTTGTTTGCCTAAGCTGCCTACGAACAGTGTCCTTATATTAGACTTGCTTGCATATCGGAGGGGTAATTAATTTACTCACCAATATAGGGATCATGATCATCTTGCTTTAAAGTCCGCAATGCCTTCATGATTTGATTGAGTTGCTTACAAACGGCATCTTTCTCATCTTTTTCCATAGTAGGCCACCTATCTTGCAAAGTCACTCCCTCTATAAAGGACATGTAAATGAACGTCTGATCACCGTCCTTGGTCCAGCCAAAAACTTCGGGAATGGGGACTTTGTCTTGCAGACTCTCGCGAACCATCATCTGAGTCTGAGCCTCTATAACTGTGACATTACCTCCGTACTTAACAAGCAATCCCAGCGACGAAAAAATGACGGGCGATGGGCGATCGAAGTATTTGGCACGGGGATTGCCTGTCTTCTCATTGCGGGCTCTGACCTCCGCTGGAGTAGGAAGAGTAGATGCGCGATTCTTCTTGAAGAAGCTGGATCCGGGGAATATCGTCATCTGATCAGAAATAGAAGAGCCACTCAAGTTGGAGACTGAATTAGAATTACCTGCTGTTGAGAAATTATCTACTATCGAGGAAGGAGATAATGACATGATTGATGGAAGGTACTCTCGAATGCTTTGAATACTTCAGTGTTGTTGACACAAAGAGAGAGTGAACTTATGTACGGAGTACCTACCGAGACGCAGATTTGTGGGGACCCCATCGTAAAACAAAACGCAATTATTGATTTAAAAAAATATATATATATTCAATGTGATTATTTTCATCTTACATTTTCAATATTCCTTCTCGATTTTAATATTTTCTATTATTATTATAAATCTACAACTCTTAAAACTTCTAGTATCTTCTAATATCTTCTACTAAGTATATAATTATATACTCTTTCAAATTCTAGAATAGCTTTCTAAATTTTTAAAAAGCTTTATTCTATTACTATTTTTCTATTCAAAATATTATTATAAATATTATAAATCATTTACAAACTTATAAGGATCTGAGAATGAGATAACTATTAGGTGTGCTGCCTGAGGCAGCTAGGCTAGGCTGAGAGAGCTACTAAGGGAGATACTTAAGGAACTTCCTTTTTCAGCTTGAACCTCTTCTCTTCATAGTTCACTACAATAACTGACCGTGACAATAACACCTAGGTGGCATCTCACACTTCTCTAATAATCATTCTTTTGGTAAAAACACAAAGTACCAAAATCAGTATCAAGAACAACTCTTTTTTTAATTTATAATCAACAAGTACACAAAGTACCATTACCTCATCATCATGCCCACCCCACCTAAGACCGTCGACAAGAAGATCCCTTCTCCCAAGGCCAAGAAGGTCTCCACCCCATCCACCTCCTCCACCTCCTCTAATACTGGCAACGCGAATCATGACCGTACAAGCTGCTCGAGCAGTCACAACAGGATTGGCGGTACCCTGCCACCACCCCCTCCTCCTCCTCCTCCAGTGGCTTTCAGGAGCATTTCCGCCCCGCCTTCAGCTCCAGAGCCTCCAGTAGTCCCATCCAACGGTCCTCTCGGATCCTTCTTAGTCGAATTGCTGATCTTTAATGGCTCACCGTTTAAGGATCACTGGTCGTTCTTTATTCGCTCCCACACAAGTTCTGACATAGGCGTTGTGATTCACGCGACGGGCGACGTAAGAAATGGTTTCGAGTTCCAGCTCAAGCGTAGCCATGACCTCAATACTACCGGAAACGTTCCTACGAGAAGGGTCAAGCTGCAATGGGTTCAGGGTGAATACTTCAAGGAGGTGGAGATGCTCAATTTTGGAGTGCATAAAATCGATACTGTGCCTGTCTGCCCTTTCGAGGCCAGCGCACATAAGGAGAAGGCTCCTGGAAAAACTTTGAATGCCGTTGAGGACACGGCTCAACGTGGCAATAAGATTACCCAGAAGGACTGTCAGTCATGGCTTGTGGCGGCCGCCGACCACATAGTGGAGGACGGCATTTTTGATCCTGAGGTTGGTGTCTACCTCCACGCTATCAAACAGTAATGGTCTTTATGAGCAATCTAGCGGAGCAGGATGATATAGTTTGGGGGCCGGCCCCCCCTGAAGAATTGGGATATAAGTCTTACGTACTTTCTCTATTGTTTGAATAACTATTCTGAAGGAGTTTCTGGTTTCGCTCTGCTTTTGATACACGAAGTTTTATAAAGGATTGTTGATTTTTGTTTTGATTTATTGGTTGATGTCATTTCATGTTCGGGGACAAAGGACGCCGAATGGTGAAGGTGGAAATTTGCTACTTTCAACGGTGTTTCTCACATTGACAAACTATTCAATGATATTGGAGTTACTGCACATCGTAAGGGTTGGTAGAGGGATCTTTTCGAGCCGTGTAGGCCCCAGGATTTAGGTAATGCATTCATGGAGTATCTTGATCGGCATTAAATATAAACCTCCCAGGAAGTCATGGTTGGTGTAGAGCTCTTTCATAATGAAGTCTTACTGAGTAGATGGTTGGAAGAACTAAAGGTATATTTCAAATACAAAATAGAAAGAGAAGTCCAGTGAAGCTATTCGTAAAAACCAAATACTTGCAGGTTGTGGGATACTGATCGGACATTCATTCGGCATACCGCCAATCCCACACCCAAACACAATATTCCGAAGAAAAATTTCTGGTCGCCAGAAGTTGAATTTCGGTCTGAATTCAAACTCTACGGAGTCATAATATTATATACAATACATACTGCTCTCTACGAGTTAATATAGCATCTCATATAGTGCCGTCCAAGGTTATCGACCTGGAAAACACGAATTATACCAATCCGCAGGTTCTAGAGACATCTTCCAATCTTAAAAACTGCTTTAAAAGAAAACAGCATACCTTTACCAATGAGGTACCATCAATCTTCAAATTAGGAAATAAAGTATATATCAATGATATTAATCTAGTAATAAAGGTTTTTAAGACTAAACTTGTTGAGTATGAATATACTGAAAGAATACAACGAAAGATCATAATCGGTCTGGTAGATGCAATCGATAGATATATTGATTTCTTCGCTGTAGGGGATGAACGAATTACAGCTAGGAAACTGAGCACTAGAGTTATAGAAATCCTTATATTTATTATCAACTATGGATCCAATTTATTGTCGAGTTTATTGTATATACTATCAGTAATAAGAAGTGTGGTTTCTTTGAAGATACAAATCATTATCAAAACCTACGTGGGGATCTTCAAAACCTTCAAAACAAGTCAAAACGGGGTGGGCCAAGAAAGCTTATCTATACCTCAAAAGGCTTTATCAAAGGTTTTATCCAACAATGTACACGCCAAATAATGGGCGATATGAATCGCCCGGAGCATGGACTATAGGCTACTAATAGTTATCAGCCCTGCAGCCCGGATCAGCCGACCAGTTTTATATGCACTAAGAAGCGCCCTTGTTGGGGCAATTATAGGTCTAATATTGGCAGATGTCCTTATTATATCTGCCACTAAGATAGGATGGGCTATTATATCAAAGAATCTAGTAATCTATAAATTACTCTTCATACAGGAGAATAAGGAAATTATTCTTTGAATCAGTTGAAGTATACAAGTGCACCAATTGGTAACGTGGTACAACTACACAGTCCCCAGAGTCCTAGTATTGATATGCACACTGGATAGACTTTCAGTTGATATTGCAAGTCACATGGAAACGGAGGTACAGGCATAGATAAGCTAATCCCCAGTCAGTTGTAAACCCTCCCGATACAGAGTTAACCCCCACAATGGCACAATCATGTGGGTAGTATCCTTTCTCGAACCAGTCTACAGTTTTAGACTTTTCAATGTTAGCGAATTGGTACAGGAGATTAAGGCAAAACCTATTATAACCCGATATGATACCGATTGCCAAGGTTGGTGTAATTCAACAAGATATACCAGGCTCACTTGCTATGCAAACTGTAGTATTCGAAAAGATGCACATAAAGGCTTACAAAAACCCAACTGTACAGCAAAAGCACAATGTACTAATTGCTTTAGACCTTTCGTGGCAGGATACCAGAATTGCCCAGCAGCATCTAAGGTGGTGGATAATAAAGTCACGGTATCTACCAAACCACAATTTAAGGCTATACAAAAACCAGCTTTGGTAATAGAAGTGGTAATGCATATTAATCAGAAGTCAAAGAACAACCCTAAGGAAGAGTCTATCTCAGATATAGTTATATCCATATCTATACCCACTCTAATACTAAAATGCCGGGGAATATAAATCATTGTATACAAAAAAAGCGGGGATAGTTCAATAGCAATCCAACTCAAGAAAGAAACTATAGTATCAAATCGATCAAAACGGAAATCAATTATTAATACAAATTTCAATAAGGAAACCTTTACTAATAGTTAGCAAGATATTGAGATAGAAGGAACTTTACAACCCGATTTATATAAGTAGACACCTGATATAACAAGGTGATATGTGTAATCACTAATAGCCCAGAATATAGGATCTAATGGTTTGCTAAGCGAATATAAACAAAACACTAAAGGTTTATGATACCTTATTACAAATGGCATTTGAAGACAAATCAAATATTCTATGTGTGCAGGAATTCTTTATGTTTTTATTTATAAAAATCAAAATATACCCCGGATAAACCCTATATATATCAATAAACTCATAAACAAAAATATCCCTTAAACAAAGAGAAGCAAAACGATTCTGAGTACTGACATATATCAGAAAAGGTGCAAAATTGCAAACTCAACAAAGACAACCAATCAAAAACCGCAATATACTCTGGATAGACATAAATAGACACTCTATACTAAATATATATTGGGTACCTCGAATAGAGCAGATGCTAACATATATCACCAGATTACAACTATCTCCAGGGTGTTTTATTGAAAGCGATTTCAATATCAGATATGAAATATGGCAACTGGAAGCGAAAAGTATCAATAGAAAACACAAACTAACAGCCTAGACAAAACTAACTGAATTAGATTATATTGAAAAACGAAGAGCACTTACCCACTCGGGCGGAAATATACTCGATCTTACCTTTTCCAACATATCATTCACAGAAACCAAAATATGATATAATTTACATAATGATTCGGATTATTTTACTCTGGTAACAATTATTTTAGGTAAAGGACTTAAATCCTTCGATTAGTATAACATCCGTATTCCAAAAACGGAATTACTGAAATTGGCAGGATTAGTAGTCAATGGAGTGGTATATATACCCCTAAATAACTTTCTAGATTTTCTATAGAGAATAAATCATTTCGTGAAACAATTGATTCAAATATTTATGAAAGTAATCGAAGCAGTGGGGACTAAGGATAAAGGAAAAGGCAAAACAGTATCCTGGTGGATATTAAAGTACAAAAAGGTTTACATTGAACACTTACACAAACAAGTTATATCAGGACAACTCTCTACCATAGCAACAAAAGAATTCAAAACAGCAGTTAGAACAGTCAAATGCAACTATTGGAGATATGTTATAGACGATATCTCCAACGACAAGGATCTATACAAGATAGTAGGCTGGTATAAATTAGTCCTGAACCTCAAGAGCCCTTCAATCATTTCCAACGGAGTAGTAATAGAGAATTCGATGGAAAAAGCCGAAATACTCAGGATGAAGGTTTTGGACCGATTCAGTACAGAAAACAATCTGGAGTATGATCTATTAGGAGATCAATAGGAAGGAAGTGGATCACTACTCTGGAATTCTTATATTACAATAAAAGAAATCGAAACAAATGTTATCGGGATATCTAGTACATTACCAGGAATTGACCGAGTTATAGTTAGACTTCTCAAAACCTGCTGGGAATACCTCAAGAATTCACTAAAACAACTCTTCCAAAAATGTTTTGAATATAGTCACTTCTTAAAAACCTGGAAGCTAATTGAAATGGTTATGTTGCCCAAAACCGGCAAAAGAGATATAATATTTGCAAGGTCATAAAGATCTATAACCCTATTCTCCTGTGTAAAAAAAGATTTGGAAAGAATAATTGCTAAACGCATAGGCTGAATAGCCCTAAAATATGGTATCATTAGCTTTCAACATGGTGGGGCCCTATCTAAACGTTTTGTAATGGATTTAGTGGCATTTTTCATATACGATATAGAAATGGTATTATTAGTAGAAAAAGAGGTAACTATGATTACTATGAATATACAAGAGGTATTCGATATACTGCTCAAAAAACGATTTCTAATTAGGATAACAGAACAAGACTAGCCCAAAAACCTTCTTTTTCTAGTCGACTCCTTTTTAACGAAAAAGAAAGTTAGAGTTAGGCTTGAATAAGCTATAATCAAGGAGTATTCAATAGCCTGCAGAACTCTGCAAGACTTTTTCCTCTCTCCAGTTCTTTATATACTGTACCTGGTGGAATTATTATTGGGAAATACTACCCTCAGATTCGGATATACAGACAATATATACTTATATAGAATATCTAAAATATTGGAAAAAAACATCAGATTTCTCACTAAAGATATCCAAGACATTATAAAATGGGAAATAAATAATTGTGTTGTTTTTGCTTTAGAGAAATTGGAAATGATATATATCTTTGCAAGAAATAGTAATATAATATCAATTATCAGAGTGAATAAGGAATTTATGATTTATCTGATAGTGATTACAGAAATAAACATTTGTTTAATACTGAGATAACTGGGAGTGTGATTCGATTGAAAGATAAATTTCCAAAGATATGTTATAGAATGTACAAATAAAATCAGGGTAATAGCAAAGTATATATGAGATCTAACTAAGGTTGTACAAAATTCCTTAGTATATTTAATACGCAAGGCAGTGATAATATATGTAATACTCTCATTTCTATATGGAACAGAGACCTGGTACAGAGAAAGATTCAAGGCTATACAAAAATCCAGGTTTAGGCAAATACAAATACAAGTCAATATCTGCCTAGACTAGTATGTAATACAAATCGAGAGAATCCTTATGATAACGATACGAAGAATTATATTGATTTGGAAAACCACACCAGTAACAGTTCTTTATCACGAAACAGAATTCTTTTCAGTTATAGCAGTTTTCGAGGAGGTTAAACTAAGGTTTGTTTTATGTTTACAAAGTATAGACAAGATTTACCTGTTTACAAAAAGAATCGAATTCTCTATGATTATCAAAGGACAAGGGTTGGACACAAGACAAAGAGTGAAAACCAAGATCCAAAGACTCGGTTTTTTCGTTTCATCAATTTTAAAACCCACACTCGAATTATCAAAATACACACCTAACTACAGAACAGATTTCACAAAAGAGGTTGATAAGAAAACAACAGTAAAAGCCTTCAGAACCTAATGGAAAAATCTATTAGCTATGGACATCACTATCTTTTTAGATAAATCAGAAAATTATATACAAAAAAAGCACATAGTAAATTATAGATATATTACATACCTAAACAAGAATTAGATATTGGCAGATTCAGGTTTTATTAATACCCAATCCTATATCTTCGATATAAAAGTAATTGGGGTATAGATAGGTTTTGAATGTATTCTCAAAAATATTAGATATACAAACCAGAAAATCTGGATATACATTGACAATGCTTTAGTTATCTGGTGTATACGAGCCAATGCCTTTATATCATTATAATAGACTTTCAACAATTGTTACAAGGCTATAGAGGAATACAACATTCAGGTCAAGTGGTTACTGGGATATGAAAATATTGAAGAAAATGAAACAGTGGATTACTTTGTAGACCTTGGAATCAAAAAAATCTGATAGAATACTAAACCGGCTTTGCAATCCATTTACAACAGAATTCGATCGATAGTATACAATTTCAAGGAAGATGCCTACTAACAATAATGGAATTCTTATAAGCCTGTTTTTTTGCTATAATATAAACAATGGGATCTGATATACAAAATCAAATCACTGCCCAAACTTCTACTTTTGCAAATAATTCTATAAAGGCTGATAACCATCAGAACCTTTTATGGAGACTTCAAATGGTATCACAAGAAATTCAAACATGCAGGAGATACGGAATACTCCTACGGAAAACCCAAAATCTCAGTATACCTAGTCCATTACCGAAAGGCAAAAAACATTTTTGAACAATGGCTGAACAAACCCTCTATATTATCAGCAATAAATATGGAAGGTATCTACTATCTATATAAAATCCTGAATAACCTTAAGGAATTTGCTGAGTTTCTAAAGCTAACAAAGTTCTACGAAAACATATGTCTAAGGTAGAAGACTACAAACCTGTATTTTATAAACAAACAACCTAAACACTGTAACAATATATATTTATTATTAAAACCGATTTGTAATGTATGATATAAACGAAGCTATCAACTCCTTTTGCAGAGTGTATATAGAGAAACAAAATCATCAATAGGTATGAAAAACCTGATTGAATATCAATAAGATATGCGAAAGCATATCTGAGAATGTTTCCCGGAGTATAACAAATATTCTAATCACTATATTAGAAATAACCTATTGAATCATCGGAACTTATATAACAGCAGGCCTACAAAACGGATACAACCGTTTATATCAGGCAAAATAATAGAATTATTTCAATTGGTGGAGGAGAGAATGTACAAATTGGAAGGTAACATACGATTACTGGGAATGGCCGTAAGGCTTTCACTTTTCTTTCTAAGGCATTCTTATTTTATGTATTGTAAGATTATAGCTTAGAACATCTGCATATCCCTAGGGAGGTTCTGAGGGCAGCCATAAGCTGCTCTCCTGATGTAAAATAATACTACTACTACTACTACTACTACTACTACTACTACCGCCAATCCCACTTTCAAAACGTGGGGGTCATGCATGGGGAAAGATGGGGGTGGAGCAGGAAGCCCTTGCATTTTTTGCTTCTTTCCATACTAATAATGTGAAGAATTATGAATTCCTTGTGCGAAAAAAAGTCCAGAGGAATCAAGACTGGGTTATTGTTTATTCAAAGAATCAAGCACGTCGACGACAAAACAGATCTATTGATGCTTTTCATATGGAATCACGCCTGCTTGGATCTCAATATAGCGATAACAAGACCTAACGTATCCAATTAGGTCTTCTAGAGCAACATTTACCTACCAGTACTCCAACCTACCCTACCTACTCCTTCCTTCCATACCAAAACTCTCAACCAAACGTCGCATCACAATTACTTCTTCAACAACAATGAATCCCCTGACTTTTAACACTGCATTACGGAGTACCTGGCTCAACACGGTCACCGATCAACACGGTACCCCGCAATTCCCCGCATCTACCTGCACCTCCCCCAAAACCTCTCACTTGGTACATCTAATTCATTTCTATCACGGGGTAAATATACATCCACTACCGAAATTGTATAAAGCTCACTGTTACACTCATCAATATCCATTATAATTGTACCACATTCTCTCCACACCTCCCAAAATGTTATCTCGCATCCTCCTCGCCGCAATAACCCTACCCACTCTCCTACTTTCCCATTCCTCTCTAGCCACCAGCATCTCCCCCATCCAAGAAAAAACATGCATCGTAGAACCCTGCGCCCTCAACGGCGACGACGCCCCAGCCATCCTCCAAGCATTCTCGGAATGCGGCCACAACGACGGCATTGACACGCACGGAACCGTGATATTCCTCAACACCACCTACAACATCCGCAGCGTAATGAACACGACCGGACTATCACACGTCAAAGTTGATCTACTGGGTACCCTCTTATGGGATCAAAACATTCCCTATTGGCTTGCGAACTCGCTAGCCGTGGGGTATCAGAACCAGAGTAGCGCTTGGTTATTTGGAGGCGATAACATTCATTGGGATGGACATGGATATGGGACGTTGGATGGAAATGGAGAGGTGTGGTATGAGTATATCAATGGGACGAATAATTATCCGGGACGGCCGCATCAGATTACGTATACGGGGGTGACCGATTGTGTGTTTGAGAATATTCGGTTTGTGCAGAGTCAGATGTGGACGATGACGATTATCCATGCCAAGAATATTTTGTTGGAGAATATCTATGTTAATAGTACTGATGTGCGGCCAGTCGGCTTTGAATTTAGCAGTCTTAACGTAAGTGTTCATTTCATGCGACTAGATGTTTTTGGAAAAAATAGACAGATTAACGAGATGTCTAGACTGATGGCGCCGATACCATTTATGCGGATAATATTACGTTCCGTGGCTGGACAGTAGATAATGGCGATGATTCCATCTCTATGAAAGCAAATTCTACCAACATTCTAATCGAAGATTGTGACTTCCACACCGGGCTCGGCGTAGCCATCGGTAGTATCGGTCAATATGGTAGGTCCATCCCTAACCTATCTTCGAGTCCCTCACTCATATTAAACATCGAATCACAGACAACAGATACGAAATAATCGAAAATGTGACCGCCCGCAACATCCGTTCCTACAACATGCGATACGGCGTCTACATGAAAACCTGGACTGGAGTCTCCACCGGGTAAGTCACCTCTGAATCTCACTCCCCACCTCTTTCAAATCTCAACATCTCCCCTCTCCTCCCCACCCACCACTAACCCCCACTCCCCCTGCAGCTACCCCCCCAACGGCGGCGGCGCCGGCCTCGGCCACGCCAGCAACCTGACCTTCTCCAACTTCACCCTATACAACAACACGGGAATCTTCGCCATCACCCAATGCACATCATACAACAGTGCCAGTGGCGGCTGCGACACTTCACTATTCAACATCCGGAATTTCACCCTCTCGAATTGGTCTGGAACAGCCATTAGCGACGTGGTGGCCGAGATGCAATGTAGTGGGGCAGCGCCCTGTACTGGGGCTGTCATTGAAGGGATGGGGGGTTTGTTGGATACGGCGAATCAGACGAGGCCGGCGCAGTATCTTTGTGATAGTGTGGTGAGTCCTGTGGGGTATAATTGTACGGGGGCGCCGTATGGGGAGAATCCTAGATAGGGAGTGGGGAGACGGAGGATGATGAGATGGATGGATGATGTGAATATTGTAGAATTGAAAATACCTAATACACACAAATTAAACACAATTTGATGTCGATTTTTTCGGGGAGGGAGCTCAATGGTAATCGTAGCTATGATTCCTTGCAAAAAGATTGTAACAGTTTTTTCTTCTTGTTCCTCTTATCCTAGGTTTTAAACGAGAGCAGGAACATTTGCCTTTTGCCGGTGTTGTAATTCTATACAAAAGCAATATCCTGAAATTCCCCCAAATTGTACCCCTAAATCATCGTGTGACGAACCCAAACATATCAAACATACGTACATTTCCCTCACTCCCACCACTTCTCATCCAACCTCTCCAAAAATCCCAAATCCACATTAATAAAACTCCTCCACAAATCTATTTCCTGTCTCCACGATCTCATTTGCACCGCATAAGTAACTCCCGCCACAATCTTTTCCAACTCTTTCTCATCCGTCCCCATGACCAAATATTTATCTCTTTTCGCCACCACCTTATCCCCAAACTGTTTCTTGAAAGGCGCTATCCGATTCTTGCAAGCCACGTGCATACTAAGCTCCGAATTTGGCATGTCTTTGGGAACAAACAACCAAGTGAACACGCGCCCGGTGAGATCGTAAAAGGTAAACCCATCACGTTTATCGTGACCAACTGTTAGAGGATAGAAATAGGGAGCACTCCATAAGCGAAGTATAGCAAATTTGGCGTTAGGGTGTGAAGTTGAGAATTGTCTGGCAGTGGTTAGGAGGGGTGGGAGTTTGGAGGGATCCTCAACCCAATAGGGCATTTCGAGAGAAGAAATGATACTACGCATATCGACGAAGAGATCGGGTTTGGAAGGACGAGTGGCTTCAGTACCCTGGAATGCCCGACAACGGGCTTCTGGTAAGGCATGGCTGCGAATGATGCCAGACTTGTAAACTGTAAAAGGTGTGTCAGTGAGTCCCGAGATGTGCAAAAGAAGCGAATGACTTACGTTTTGCAATAATAGGTCGGATTTTCATATCCCATTCCGAGGGAAATGATGTGTAATTATCAATAAACTTCATTTCCCTACAGGACTTGTCGAGTTTGGCGTAAAATTCTTTGGTGTGGTGAATCGTAGATTTGTCGGTTCTAGTATCTGGGTAATGCTTGGCTCGCTCCTCTTGATTGAACATTAAAGAGTCTTTGAATTCCTTTCCCTCTTCTGCATCGAGAAATTCTGGATTGAAGAACGGGTATACCTTACCAACAGCTTTCTGTGCATCTTTCACGCCATCGGCTGTGACATTCATCCAACTCATCACCTGGAAATTGAGCATTGTTGAAGAGGATTTGAAGAAGTCTCTACCGGTAAGATTATACCTCCAGGATTTATGGGCCATCTTCTTCATTTCCAAATACCGCTCTTGTCCATTGGGGGTAAAATCCGCTTGATGCCAAGCTTTTTTGAAAGCTACACATACGAGTTAGTTTTGCTTGGAAATTTAAAGAGAAGAGTCATACCTCTAGATGTTGTTTTCTCGATGAATCTCATAAACTCTCCTTCCAAGTCATCATTAGGATCGTCATCTTTACGAGCCTTCTCGAGTGCAAGTCTTTTTACAACGGCCCAAAGCTCCTCTGGAATATCTTTTGAGTAGTCCTCCTCGTTGTCGTCATCATCATCACCGTCATCGCCATCATCCTCGACAGAACCATCGTTATCACCATCCTCGAACGCCTTTTCATGCGAGCCCTGAGACTCATCTTCTGAATCTCCAGCGTCGTCCGAGTCTTCGGAATCTTCTGATTCCCAATTCCAGGTTCCTTCTACAAATCTTTTGATGGAAAAGTCCTCTTCCTCAAACGCTCTCAGTGAGTCCTTTTTACCAACGGCAACCAGGGCGCTCGATGCCTCTTCGGCTCGCTCCTCAGGAAATAATACCTCATCTTCCAGAGTATCTGCTTCGTTATAAAAGAGATTACTCGGCCATGAGTCTATCGGTTCAGTCGGTTTCGGTCCATCAATTTCACCATAAAAGAATGTTGATTTTTGATCTTGAAGAAAGTCCCATTGGCTTATGAGTTGTACCGTGTCACCTGGTCTGACATCTCTATAATGGCTGTCTTTATCTCGATACAGCGTTTTTAAAATAGAAGCCGCTGGTTGGTACAAGTCTTTACCATTGCCACACCGGAGTGCTTTGATAAGCATCTAAGCTTTATTAGTAGATAGTAATAATTTTGATGTGACAACTTACATGCTGAACAGTGTTAAACAATCCGGGCAAGGTCTCTCCAGGCTCGAGATCCCAAACATAAATATCATAATAATCTTTGAACGAAAAGTTCCACTGGCGATGACGATCCATTTCCTCGAAAAATTCAGGTCCAATTCTCTTCAAAACGTTCCACACGTTTTTGACAGCTCGTCCAAGACCGCTTTTCTCTCGCCATAGCCATCGTTCTTCTTCAGGAGGCTTCACCAATAATTTACCACTCTCAGCATCCCTGACAAGCAACACTAATTGATGGCTTTGCATGGATAAATATTGAATGAATCGGCGACTTGCTTGATCGTCTCGTTTGATATGGGCACAAATCACGTTTCTTGCTTGAAATATAGCATGCTGACGTCGGGTTTGTTTGCTGCGACCTCCTTGTGAAAAACTTACACTGAGATCCTTGGCATCTGGATCTGAACTTTCGTAGTACATGATGAAGCCCTATTATCACGTCATTAATCGGCCAATATTAAGTAAGACCGATGAAACTCACTAGCTGTAGGGACTGCTGCTTCAATCTATTTCCAACCCATGAAGCCCAATTTGACGCAGGAAAGTACCCCCAACAGGCCAAGATGTTCAGCTCAAAGAACTCTTCCCAGTTTCGACAAAGCTCGATTGCAGTATTAAGATTACTATCTTTCGCAATGATGGAGAAGTGTAACCATCCTCCACGACTCATTGCTTCATCACTGGGATAATTCCATATCGTTCTACCACAAATCTTTACGCGAATCTTCTTGCGTATTTGTCGAGAATTCGTAGAATCACCAAAGTCAATGGCACCCCCTTCCCCAAGAATGTTTTTCATAGATGGAGCCATTCCGGGAGCCATATCAAGCATATTCTCAGCTGCCGCTTCTCGGGAGATTTCTCGTTTTGAACGCCATGTTCCAGGTAATTCCCCACGCTTTTTACAGCCTAATCTCATCTTCACGTCATAAGGGTCAGCAAGTTTGGCTTCATGGCTTTCGTGATCATCAGTGTCATCATCTTGAGCCTCTGGTTCATCCTGCTCTTCTTTTTCTTCATCTCCGGAGCGAAAGAAATCTGCGCATGCATCACGGATTTCTTGAAGACTGGGCTTCTCCATTTTGAGACAAACATTTCTCAGAGCGGTACCGGTCACTTCTTCGTCTTCAAAGAATGCCTCGATACTATCAGCGCGAAGAGCTGCTGGGAGTAATGCGGCGTGTCCAAGTAACAATCGGCAAAATAATAAGTGCTTGATCTCAGACACTTCGAGAAGCAGTCGTTGAATTTCGAATTCTGTGAAGGTTCGGGTTGTTTTTTGAAGATAAGGATTCTCTATTGTGCCAGCCACCATTATCCCGTTAACATTATCAAAGTCGATTTTGATTCCTCGGGCCAGCCTATTATGCATGTCCTCTCGACTTTCGATGAGAGATTTATCAGGGAGCACTTGTGGTTTAGGTACCGGTTTGCTGCCACTGGCGGCCTGAGAGGAAGCGGCGGTTGTAGCTGCTGCATTCTCCTTCTTCTTCTTCTTTGACTTTTTGGATAGAGTAGAGGACTCAAGTTGGGATATAACTTCTGCGACATTAGTTGTGTTGGGAGTTGGTTCTTGAGACGCTACACTATTCTCGGCCAAACCATTCTTGTCGGTTTCACTTGAAGGAGGTCCTTCCGTCTTTGGCTGTTCTTCTGCGGACACCCACAAGAAATGCCGCATGAGGTCTTTCATGAATGGTCAGTTTGTATCGATTGGACATATAAAGTGAAGTTTGTACTTCAAGCTGTGCGCATGAAATATTTAGACTTGAGATTAACATACCAATGAAATTTCCTCTTCCATCCTCCAGTTCATCTTCAATAGGATCCCAATCCATATCATCCTCCGTACCCTCATTCTCCTCTACCTCCTTCATCTTCTCCTTGTATATTTTCTCCAGGAAAGTATCTTGCTTCTTCTTCTCTTCTCGTCTCATTTTCTCCTCCATTATCTGTTTTGCTTGTTGCCAATTTCTCTGCCATAGTTGTGCTTCTTGTTTTATCTTCTTTTGTTCCTTTTCCCGATGTGCTTCTTCATTGTCCTGGCATTCTCGTACCCATTTGAACCATTGTTGGTTTCTATACAAGATCTGGTAGGAACAGAATTAGCACAGCGCCGTTAGTGGTTGTAGAGTGTGAGCAAACCTCAGCAGTTCTTCTCTCAAGTCTCTCCAAAGCCTTGGTAACATAAGCTTTCTGATGTGTGAGTTGATCCAGGAATTTTGCATGCCCATAGTCCATATTCTGACTGAAGAATCGACTATGATGCAACCTTCTCGCCCGTATTACCCTTTCCAGTAATTGATACTTGGTCCATAACCAATCATGTAGTTCCTTACATTCTGCCTCCGTTGTTACATCCTTGAAGGTTTCATTTCCGAGGGAAGTTTTCGTATTTGCAAAGTACAGGGGAACCGCTCTGTCCAGACGCTCAAGTCGAGCTGTGCGAAGTTTGTATCCACGATAGAGACCTGAAGATTATTATTAGGTATGGTATATCTTTCTCGAAAAGTTTCTTGGGAAACAATACCTTGACATTGTTTGGAGTGGAAGCTGCAAAAGAGTCCATTTACCGATGTAGCCGTCTCCAAGCAGCGTTTCTCATCAGACAAGTTCAGTGCACTACACTGTGTAAGAGAATTGATATCCATTCCTGTGTTTCATTGGCAAGATTGAGGAGATATGGAGGTTCAATTCTCCGTCCCATGCTGATGGTATTTCAAGAAGCTATAGAACGAACTAGTGGTGGGGGGAGGGGGCGAGCGACCTCGGAGACGCGTTTCGTGAAGTGCCATACATGGTTGTTACCGGTACACCTGATTTCTTGATCTTATGAACTTTTTATTAAGATCTATAAATCTGAAATTTCAATTTAATATAACTTCAAATCGAATAAGCTTTATAACAAATTGATTTTATAAATTCATAGATTTATAAATTTAATTTTGAAATAATTTAAATAATTTTTGATTAAATTAAAAATGAATAATCTAGAATGTGACGGAACAGACGGCTCTCTTCCGCCCACTGGCTCATACTACATACATAGTATGATATGACGGCTCTTTTGGACCTTCCTTTCACAGCTTAGAGCCCTAGCTCTATAGCTCTAGACCTAGGCATCTTACGCCTAGGTCTCTTTCACCCTTTTTGGCCTAGCCCTTATGGCTCCCAATACCTGTATATATAGTCCTCCTTTTAGCATCCTACATAGCTCTTCACTTGTAGATTCTAAGTACACAATCGGAGTCCTGTTTATACCCTTTTGGTCACATAGAACTATAATATCTAAACTGATTACAATTAGTTTTTAAATAAAAATTCACTTTTGTTTTTCAAATATGAATATTTTTTAATATAATTAATTATAAATTGAAAAATTATTCAAATAATTCCCTATTATATAATATAAATTTCATTCAAATCAAAACTAGTTTGATAGCATTAGTATTATAAATTGAATATTAAAAAATTGTATTTAAGATAAAATTCGATGAGATCAAAAAAATCATGTTTTGGAAGCTAGTTATGAAATTAGGTGTACTTGAAAACATTTAAATTTAAATCAATAGGAACATTGAGAGCACTGGCAGATGAGGTACTGAAATCAAGCCAATGAATGATTTCACACGAGTCACATAAAAGCGAATTCATAGAACATTCCTGTTATTCTGTAGTCTTATGCTACATCAAACATATACAACCATACAGACCGTCTACATATTTGAACAATATATCGAACGAAAATGCTTTTGCGTATTAGTATAACAGACTCGACACTACAAAGCAGAGTTGCTTGTTTTGAAGAAACTTCACAAAGGTCTCTTAACTTGTCTCCCAAAGACCAGCATAAGGGTACGCATACTTACTACACATGAGTAACACAACCGAAACCGATAACTCATATATATTATTGAGGTATTCACGCCGGCGAATCATTCGCTCACAGAAGTTTCTTACTCGATCTGGATTACATACCGGCGGTATGGTATCTTGAAATCGTGCCCCTATCTTTCTGATAGGTTCGTCGCTGCTGTCGACTCACGTATCCGCATGATCTTTCATTTCATTGACCTTGAGGGCAAGTTGGAGACTGGCAATAAATGAATTGTTTATGTGAGCGAGGAACATCAGACCATATCAGGAAGCTCAAATCCGAGACTACATGGCTATGGCCTTGGTTATAGTTTATCTTATCTGCTGCCCGTTTTGAGTGGTGTCTGTAGTCAGGAATCCTAAGCAGTGGATACAAAACCATCGTAGCTGCGAACCGATCTCAGGTAGATCTCCGCCAGTCATCGTTTTGCCCTTGAATTTTCACATGTTTGAAAAAATCTGTTGACTTTTCCGACGCGTTGGTAATATCAACGGCCGGGAAATTAATCAGAAACCTGTACCGCTTGAAGCAGATTACCGTGGGTGTAAGACTCAGCGAGCAAGGCTCCGCGCAGCATTTTCGTATGACATAATATCGTACTCGAGTACTAGTCAGATGCAAGGACCCTTATTTGCAAAAGATGGAAGGGACGAATGCAGGTGGCTTAAATTAGCAAGACTTTATTCCGCAATACTGCAGATCAGATAACGCACGTAAATCTGACACTGTCCAACGGAGATATTCGATTTTTTCACAGTATTACTTTATACTCAAGGAGACGTTGTCCTACCCCCCTTATGTAACTCGTCTAACTCTCCAAACGAGGATACGTCTCTGTACAAGGTGACAGGTCGTAACTGTATCATAAATCGCTCAGGTGAGTCAATGACAACATCTTTAAAGGGCTTTTAGAGTGAGTTGGCGGTTTTCACGTGTCTGAAAACATACCCGGAGAGGATGGAAACGGAGAAAATAAATTTGATATTCAGCCTATCACGTTTTGGATGCGACCCATCTGATAAGGCAGTCTTGTTTCGAGGTATGGATCTACCCAACGAGAATGACTTAGACGACGGTCAAGACAATACTTTCAAACAGGTTCTGATATGGGTACTTTTAGGTACCTTCAGCTCTTATTAAAGTTCGTTATCCTTTCAGCATTTCATTAGATTTCTCCAAGTTATCCGCTCTTCAAACTTCTCGACAATGGCCTATCTTCCTTATGTCGAGCCTGGGCTTGATATCATACTTCCCCTATCAACTTTTGTATTCATACTCAACATCACTCGAGATGTTCTTGACAATTTCCTGTACTGCGGACTCATTGGTGAGATATTCATTGGTATACTCTTTGGTATGCCCATTACAGGGACTTCATGGCTTGGAATAGAAACACAAGAAACCGTGCAATACCTTGGATATCTCGGACTTATTTGTCTGGTGTTCGAAGGTGGACTGATTACCGATCTTGGATTGTTGCGAAAGACGATATGGGTAACGCTCTCGGCAGCAATGGTAGGAATACTGGTGCCCATGGCTCTCTCGTTTTCGATAATGTGCATGAGGTTTGATACTGTCGAAGGCTCGGGATATCCAACAGCTTTGGCGGCTTTCGCGGCAGGAGTCTCTCTATGTTCTACATCATTGGGGTCCACATTCATTATTCTTGCATCAGCAAACTTACAGAAGACTCCAACGGGTACCTTGATTGCTGGCGCCGCGATGATAGATGATATTATAGTCCTTGTGATGGTCAAAATCGTAACGGCACTTGGTCAAGGACAAACAGATCCATGGAACATTGCTCGCCCTGCCGTTTCCAGCCTCGGCCTCATTTTTGCAACATTTTTACTGGTACCATTCTTCATCAAACCATTATACCACGCTTTCCGCTCCATATTCGCGAATCAGAAAGTTGACCTGGAGAATTTTGGCGAGAGTTACGATACGGAAAAGGGAATATCACGCCATGCTGGCTTTCTACTTTCCACACTGATGCTCATAGTTCTCGTAACTATCGCTGCATGTGTGGAAGGATCCATATTGCTCTCAGCCTTTCTAGCAGGAGCAGTTGTCAGATATACTTGGCAATGCGATTCGGACATGGAGAAAGATCGACCTACCATCATGTTTGAAGGATACTACAAGCCAATTATGGACCATATATTGGTTCCTTTCTTCTTTGTATGTGTTCTGTCTGCAACTACGTAATGGGTGTTGAAAGATCAAAGCTTCCGAAACCCTTACATTTCATCTAATAAGATACATACATAGGCATCAATCGGATTTTCCATTCCAGTTTCTGAGATGTTCGCAAGTTCTATTGTGTGGAAAGGCATCTTCTATGCAATATTAATGTTCCTAGCCAAAGCATCAGTCGGCCTCGTTCTTTACATCGAATACTTCACCGAAACATCGAAAGTCCCAAAAATTGCAGCACCGAGTGAAACCGAAGAAATTGCCCAACAAGACGGATCACCAGACGAGCATCATAACCACCAAACGAATCCACCACCAAAAGCCCCTCATCTCGATGCCATCATCGTAGGATCAACCATGATCGCCAGAGGAGGCTTTGGATTCCTCGTTGCGTCCGAAGCACAAAGCTCAGGGATTCTAAGCTTGCGCACCACCAAGGCGGCGAGACTTCTCGAGATACAAAACTCCACCGACAAACGAGGATTCCACACATTGGATGTGGTTGAAGATCAGATATTCTTGGTGATTATCTGGGCATTGGTTCTATGTACGGTTGCTGGGCCTATCGTATCGGGTATTGCGGTGCGACGAAAGCTGGCTGGGGAAAGATGCGAGTGTGGGTTATTGTTGGGTCCTCGAACTTTCGGGGAGGATGTGGGATGTCATCTTTGTTTGTAGGAAGGAGGATGAATTGATGAGTGAGCGTGGAGTTTTCAATGTTGTGCGAGGGAGATGTAAGATGAGACAGACAGATCGTTATGGGAAACGGAGTTCGATGGAGTAGAGAGATATGTTTATTCGGAGGAAAGAGTGGTGCCTGCACAATGTTATTACTATTTAGATACCCTCTCAAAATTCTACACTCGTTTAGACTGCCACTTTGGCGAGTGAGATACATGTAATACTTTTCCCATTGAGACGATCAGCATCGAACCTCAACCCTCTACCATACCGTTATAAATTAGGGGAGGGATATTACGATGATTGATGGGGAAGCGGATGTACTCGAAAGCAGGATGACAGATGACAGACATTATATCGCGAAGCGTTTAGATTTCATAAAATGTAATAAACTACTCGAACTCCCTTTGCTTTTGAATGTTCAGACATTGCGAGGTACAGTTTGAACTCATACAGTAGATTATATCAATATATCTCTTTCTCTTGACACACAAACGATTTTCTCGAATTTCAGATTTTGGCTTGTCATATAGCCAGACAAGCCATATACATCATAGTCAATTGAAAGACTTCCATGCTATACATCCATTCTACATAAATGATTGAAAATACCACGTGTATCAAATAAAATATCATGTAAGGATAAAACCATTTATTCCAAAATCCTACGAGGCATCTAAAGTCAATACTCATAATATCCAGCGAACCAAAACACAGTACCAAGAATGTAAGACAAACAAAAGAATGGCTCCAGCAAATGACCCCAAAGCAGCATATTCCCACGCACGCACTCAATGCGACTGGATTGTGTCTACTTCCCAAACCTGTCACCCAACTAGCCAGATAAACTCGGCGCATTGCATGCAACAAGCACCGCTTTCTTCTCTTCTACAAAACCACCAGAATGAGAGTCACCGCCATTGCAGTAAACATGCCAACCGCCATCAAGCTCTGCACGAAACTGATCCAAATTCCTCGACCTCCTTCTTTCGGTGGGGTTCTCAACCCGCCTTCCTTGCTTGTGTGTGATGGGATTGTGCCGTATCCAGATGATGAGAGGGCGGCGCTTTTCTCGATATCGATCGTGTCAAATGGCTGCTATATGTGTGAAGCATTTAGTGGGTTGTATTTAACGATGGAAAGGAGGGAGGATGTGAGATTACCATTGTGCTGGAGGGCTTGGATTCCTCTGTAGGAGAGTTTTCTGGAAGACGTTTGTATTCCATCTTTGCGGCGGAGGTCGGAAAGGGATATGGTAAGTGAAGCATGAGGTTAAAGTCTTGGAAAGGATAGAATAGATCCGTCGTTGCGACGAAACCGTAGCTGGTGAGAGAAGTATACTGATGTGAAATAATCAAGAGATGCTTGACCGAAGGTTTGTATATTTCTGACTTAGCCCAACATTGAAGTCTCGAGGGAGCGGTCTTCTTTTCTTCTAGAAAAGCTCTCCTCTGATGTTACACTAGGGTCCTTATCGGCCAACTGTGCAAGCAAAAACATCGTGGTGTGCAGTCTGATAAGCTATGAACGTCTGCTGCAGATGGCATGTGATGATGCTTATCTTTGGGCAGGGTTGCAGAAAATGACACACTCGTGAATTTTCATGCAGGATATACCCGGTACACATCCGCAACAGCGAAACAATAGACAATAGGATATTAAAAGTGCGAATAGGAAGAGGTTGATTGATGAGATGGTGGGGAGAAGTATCAGCCGGTGTGAGTGGGTAAAGCCAATATGATAAACATGGTAAAAAGAAAGAGAGAGGTCGTGTGAGGCCTACATAAGAGAGCAAGTGATGTTGTGCTTGTGAACTATATGAAATCGTTCTTACACAGCAACGGAAACTACGACCAGATTCTGCTCTCGTCCAAGACATACATATTAGGAGGGTTGCAAATACTGCCACCAAATATATGACCGACTACTACTGGTAGAATGCGGTTGTTGCAAGATAAGAAGCATTAACGTCGAATCACGTAGATGGAGGAGAGATGCGACCTCCTTAGACCCTTAGACTTGGTAGCAAGGAAGCTGGTAGATGAAGCATATTGTACGAAGAAAAAAGATACTTTGGGACAAGAAAATCGAAATTAATGCATGCCTCACTGGTACTGACCAAGAGTATTCCAATGAGTTCCACATGAATGAATGTATAGAAACGACAAACCCTGGTGCTCTATTGGTCGCATCATCGATCTGCAAACTGTATACCATGGTACATGCGCAAGTTCATGAGGAAGCTAGGCAATGCTTTCAGATGATTCTTTCGAGACGGTGATGTCGAGACTCCAGCACATTGCAAGCAGATCTCCAGTAGCTTATAGACTTATACATTAGAAAGCTTCTGCCGTCTAACACATTCAAAGCCATGATGTCTGATGTTTTAGACAGCCATCGCTCCTCATACTCGCAGACGAAAGATAGACTCTTTAAGATAGGATGCTTAGGATGGACCTGGATAATCATGCGCGTTCCTCGAGTAGCCCGGACGGTCTAGCTAGCAGTTTAACGGGTCTTCAATTCCACCCATCCTTTGTAAGATTTTGAGTTGCACATAGGGAGGAATATTGGAGGCGGTGTTCGACTTCAATTATGACAATTGAACCCTTCTCGTCTGATTTCGTGGCATATGGAAGGAGACGTAGTATCGACTTCAAAATCGGCTCGGCATTGCATGATAGATACAAAGGGCATTTTGAGGAATAGATTTCGGTAATGTTGTATATTACGACGTGCCTGCAATTGCTGCGAGAGTTGAAGAATTATAACGACAGTGAAATTTGCTCGGTTCGATAGAAAACTCTTCCATTCGATTCAGACACAAGACACAAGTTTCCCGACGATTACCAGGGCATGCGCAAATTGATCATCGCCACATAATGTAGAACTGAAATGATTGAGAACTTTCCTCAAATTGTAGAAATTGTAGAAATTGTAATGTAATTTTTGTACTGTACTGGCTGGGGGAGTGAGATGAGGCTTTGGAAGTTGGGATATCGCAAAATACATAACCAGGACTAGGCTCAGGCTTATCAAACAAATTCACAATGCTGGTATCACCCCAGAACTCCAAGAGCCACCACCATTCAAACCTCTCTCAAGCGTGAAGGTGCTCCAGTACACTCTCGAGGAGTCCAATATCTGTTCTAAGAATCACTATTAAAAATCGTTTTTATTCCACGTTCATAATGTACACAAACAAAAGTACGCTTCAGACTCAAAACAAGGCTTTTCACCGCATTATTTAACCTGTACCTATACTCAAGCAAGTACTTCATGTTTTGTACAATGACAGGCGTATACGTATACGTATATCATATAGATGTACATATAGTCGTATAGACGTAGAGGCGTATAGACGTATAGATGTACATGTACTCGAGTAGTCGTATAGACAGACGTATAGGCGTACAGTACTCGTAAGGTAGGACATTGTTAGTCATTGCCATTGCTTCAAAGATGGCTATGGCTATGCCTCATCAGTCGTCGTCACCCATGATGTCAATACACTGCAAAGCCACATTTCACCTGTAGGTCACATGTTTCACCATTCGGCAGCGTTGTCATTATATATGAACATTCACTCATTCTCGCCATCTTTGTGATTCACATTTACGCTTGACATTGATTCTACTTCTCTTCACTTCTGCTAAAAGGTTACCTCTCGAGGAAACCCACCTTCTTACACCATACAGCCATACAGTACCTAATAAATAACAACATTCCACCACAACAACACAACAACACAACCATTTTACCACAGCAACATCATGACCGACCCATCACATACTACAGCTAAGCCATCAGCTTGGGAGAAAACCAAGACGGGCGGTAAAGCTGCTTTTGATAAAGGATGGACTGCATTCGAGAAGTTGGGAGGACCAGTTAACAAGCTCACAAATAAGATTGGATCTGAGGCTTTCTGGCCAACAGCGATGGAGAAAGAATGCGAAAAGGCTGCTCGTATCCTCAAGTCCTTTTGTAGTACGTCTGCTTGATACATCTTTGACTGCAAACCGAACCGTCCTCTAACAATTTGATAGAAGATGGATTTATGGCGGAGCAACAAAAAGATGCATCCCAGGACTCAGACACTAAGAAGAAAGTCCAAGATGGCCCTAGTAAACCACCCAAGGTTCTTGTCAAAATCCCTCAAAAGGTTATCAAGAACTGTGTCGGCCTCGCAATTTATACTACAATGCGGTCTGGGCTATGGGTATCTGGAGCTGGTGGATCAGGCGTCTTGATTGCCAAGAACGAAAATGGACAATGGTCACCGCCATCTGGGATTCTCGTTCACACTTTAGGCGTAGGATTCATGGCCGGAATTGATATTTATGACTGTGTCATTGTTATTAACGACCGCAAGGCTCTTGAAGCATTCAGCAAATTACGTGTCTCTCTTGGTGGTGAGATATCCGTGGTGGCTGGACCGGTCGGCTCGGGAGGAATACTGGATAGTGAATTGTTGAAGAGTAGAAAGCCATTATTCTCCTACATGAAGAGCAGAGGTTTATATGCAGGAGCACAGGTTGATGGAACCATAATTATCGAACGCAACGATGAGAATGCAAGGTACTATGGGGAAAGGTTGCCGGTAGCACAGATTTTGCAGGGAAGAGTCCCCTCACTTCCGCCAACGGCTGAATTATTGATGGAGGTCGCGAAGGATGCAGAAGGAAGGCCAGATTTAAATCAGTCGGTCTTACAACAAGTTTACGATAAGCCGGCTCCAGCAGACGTGGAAGTTGTGCATTCAGGAGAAGCGAGTGCAGATGAGAAGAAGAAATATGGAAACCCGAACACGGCCGAAGGTTATGCGACTCAGCAACAATTGCACGGATATCAACAGCAGCAGCATCCGGGCTATACACAGGGTAACGATCAATATTATCCTCCCCCACCACCGAGACCACTGCCTCACCAAGATTTCAACCCCTTGGCAGAAAATCCTCCGGCTTACTATCCGCCTCCGTCGGAATTTCCACAGCAGCAAGCAAGCGGTGCACCTGCAGATAGCTACTATGCACCCGAAAAACCACCCCGCCCAACCTAAAGAGACATTAGGATGAAGAAAGATTATTTCCAAGATAGATTGGCTTACTCATGATTTATTTTCCGTCAATCCTGGAGTTGTCCTCTGATTAATAGCTACAGTAGTCACGATTGGTAGTACTTGAATGACTATGATACACCCATCACATAGAACATCTTTTCAAAAGATCCTCAACCAACCAAGTTTATGCTATGATTAACCTCAAGTTGCACCAAATCATTTGGACCACGTGTGTAGACGCCCAATCGTCATTGTGTACCACATCTGGTGTACGAGTATCGTTCAAAGCATGCTGAATCGAATTGTACTGGAGATAGTTGCTGGCTCCGCGTCCGCGATAATACCAAGTTATCAACATCAAGCGATGAAGAATACTACTAGCATTATTCCCTTAAATGGCTTAAAACCAGTTTTCATATTATCATAATCTATGACGCAGTTTTCATAGAATTAATAATAATTAGCTTAAAGTTGAATTTGGAAGCCCAAATTAAATGATCATGTTCAACAAGAGTCATATGAAATATATACTAAAACATAAAATATAAAATATACATATGCCCGAGTACTTGAGTACGTACAAAGATTGATCAAAATCTCGGCTCGGAATAAGTTGTATCCGCTACTCCCGCTAAGTTTACCAAAGGCATTGTACATGTGGCTGGACTCCTCCCATTAATAAGATTTCATTCATGCTTCTCGCTCTCGGGTCATTTAAGGCTTCTTCACTCTCATCACATCATTCTCGTTGCTCTTCTTTTGATATTGATTGGAATACTATGTACAATCGGAACTCATCAAGCTGTGCCACGAAAACCTAGGCTCTCCTGAGTCTCCTCCAAGCGTCGTTCATGAACAATACTTCAGTCGGAGATACCCAGGAGAAGATATTGAGATTTGTTCAAACATGCTTCCGACAGGTTGTGTAAATTTTGATTGCATCTTGAATAATACACAAACCTTTAATATGTTTAGGTGGCTCAGACAGCCGGCGATGCGTCCATGACTGACCGGGATCTTTCCTGAATGCAATCTCGACCATTTTATTGGCCTTTGATCTATCAGCGAGAGCTTTCACTTCTGATATATCATAATCTGATACTCATATGCTACGACTGCTCATTTAATTGGTGCTACCGCACCAATACTATGTTAATTAACTATTGTAACACTGCTTCTTCTTCAGACGTTAATATGAGCAGTGATGGCCATGTCTCGACCTATAATAAGGTCATGCACTGATCGAAAACACTCAGCTGAAGATTCTTTAATTGTACGTTCCCAATACATAAGGATCTTTGATTTCCATTCTTTCAACTTTTCTACCTTCGCCTTGTGTTCCTGCTTGGCATGTTTACCTGGTGTCCAACACCTACGACAAATTCTTGTTGATTTGCAATCAATGGTTAAGGGACCATGGAGGATACAGGTCGTCGAAGGTTGAGATACAGCAACTTCACTGCTTGAGCCGTTTCCAAACTCGCACATTTACATCTGGGATTGTGAATGAGGCCGAAAGAGCAAAGCATAGCACATGGCAGTATAGTATCCTAACTCTTGAGGTGGTATTGCGGCTGCAAACTTTTGTATTCGTGCTAAATTATCAAAAAGGCAAAACTTTTCTCATCCCAATCCGAGTCAACGACAAAGCATGACATTTCCCGATTATATTTATCAACCACAACCTATTCCCACTTCATGTCCTTCAAACCGAATCAACATTCACCCTTCCCGCCCTTCTCAAGTGTTCCAACGGTCCTTCGCTTTGACGGCGTGTCTGAAGATTGTCGGACTGCAACGCCAAGCTGGAGATAATGTTAGTCACAGTACAATTTGACTGGAAGCGATGTCGGTACTTGATGGTTCAACAGCCAGTACCACAAGCGCCACAAGCTCTTCCTGGGATAACCCAGACTTCCTGCCCATTGGCAAGACAGGTTGGACATCTCACTCCTGGCATCTAATTCTCTGTTAGCATCAATCCACAGTTGTATCAGATGCAACATCTTACACCGGGTATTTCAATCATGCCAAAGGGCCCTGAAATTTCACCAAATGGTGTTGGCTCGATGGAAGGAAGAGAGTACATCTCTTCTTGCATGAAGATCTCGAATGGGGTCGATTGGAAAGACATTTTGATTGAAGTTGCTTGAGAAGAATCTTCGTTGATAAACAGATCTGAGGTGGATGTATGTTTGAATAGTGAATAGTGAAATTGTTTGGGTTGGTGAGCTTCAACTTTAGTCAAGTGGAAGTGGCCAATATATAATGTTTTGGAACGGAGTTAAGAGCCATAGCGAGACTTGATATGTTGCTCATCGATTCTTTGGCAAAAGAAAAGATGGCTTGTCTCATGATGTTGCGGCTGCCTGCATCGTTGGCTATGAGCTTTGGTCGACGTCCTTGTATATCTGCATCTGCAGGTAATCAAAAGGGTAGTTGCAATTCCGTTCCAGATTAAATGGACCACTCGAAACCAGGAGCAATCGTGTTCTTCTTGGGCGCAGTCTTACGAGAGGCACAAACAATTCCAGACATTTTACAGCACGGCCTGATGAACCTCCTGAGCGACACTTGTTATCAACGGTGCTAGTGACGGAAAGCAAGGTAAATTTCCGTGCTATATCGAGTCAGCAGACCGACCTATATGCATCGGTATTCTCTGGTAATCCCTTCGATCTACACGCAGCAAATCGTCGGTCAGTAATAAGGGTATATTGATAGGTCGATCTGACCTGGCCACAAAGAAGAAATCATCACATCAGGTTATCATCTCGATAAGGCCGCTCTTTTCGTCAACGAATGATATGAACAGTGTACCTGGAAAAGCCTATGTCGTCCAGGTTTCCAAGAGCTAAATAGTGGCCAGGCATTAACGCTTCTCGATTTCAATCCAATGACCTTACACGTCCTGTAAGAACCCGTGCGGCATGAGGAATTCGCATGGTTTCGAGGGGTGTGTTCGGAAAATTCCCAACAGTTGAAGAATTTTCTTTTGATAAGCGACCCTCCATGCAGCCTGCAAGCGCAAGTTACTTCGATCTTGTACTTTACCTAGTTTTAACCTAGGCTTCCAAGATCATTGCACAGATAAAGATTATCAACTTCATGCCCGCATATTATGTTCACATTCCAAAATCCATCATCAGCGATTTTGCCCGAGCAGTCTCAATATGGCCATTTACCGTGCCCCCCAACTAGTGCTTTGGAAGATTACAAAGCCACTCCCAGTCATAAAGTTGGGGGTCAGAACGTGAACCTTTGTGACAGATCATTTATGACGAAATGAACGAAATGAACGAACAACTCTTTTCTGACTCGTCACTTTTTCGGTGTATGTCGGATGATACATGTCAAAAGATTATCTCTCTATTCACAACGGCAGTTGCAAGTCTTTCGTGTATATGTGGCTGGGTCTATACCATACTGTCGGAATCGCTGATATGAACCATCTGGCGCTGATCAGACCCCGAACTTCTAAGGCACAATATCATGGATCAAGTGTTTACACAACGATATCAATCTTTGACATCGATCAACTCAAAAGCACGATCCACCAACATTCTGCGTTCATTCAAGAAGATCATTATCGAAAGCTCATGATCCAACAAAAAACAAAATTCTCCGAATCCTATAATATCGGCAAGGATCTGTCAAGTGACAAACTTTTTGATACCAGGGGGGCGGGAAAAGGTGCGTTGTGTAATGATGATCTGTGTACCACATTACACACAGAGTGATTGGACAGCATCCGGAGTTATTCCTATTCCTCTACAATGCGCGAAGATAGTTCTCGCAGTGACCCTTGCCATGCACTCAATATGTGGGATTTGGATTTAGCCCTGCAGAGTTTCCAGACAAGGGACCATTGATTTGTACACAGCCGTTATTATTTGTGTTACATCTAGTCCCACATATATACTACTCTACTATGTTATTGGCTCACGCCCGAAATTTCGAGCAACCTAAGCCAACACATCAAGTGCATGAAACACATCAGGCATATATCATACATATCACAGGCAAAGCACCAATGGATCACTCATCTTTGCATCTACCTAGGTACATAGAGTAGATGGCTAATTTCTGGTTTTCCCCCTTCCACTTTCTTTCATGTCGCTACCCATATCATATGTATCTTCGACGCCAAACTCATCCTGAGCACATTTCACTTTTCTTATTTTCCGAATCTTCCGTCTCACAACATAATAGTCTTCTATGCTTCTTCAACTCAATTCGTCTGTCGATATTGTATTGTAATATCAGTCTCGTAACATAACGTACGTACGCTACATCACAATCTATGCAAATCAAATTGGCAGTCCTGGCTTAATTTGATCCAAGAAATTTCTATCATTAGGCCTACCTACCTTACCTGAAGCCCTAGATTTTTGCATCCTCGGTAGGTTATCGTATGATATCTGCGTCTAAGTGACGTACGTACATGCGCGACGCTACCATTATTTTTCATCCTTCAAAAAAATAGATTTTGAGCCGGGCGGGGAGTACGCACGTCTGGTTTATAAGTTAGCCCGTTCTTCAATCCGGAAAAGAGGTTCCGAGCATTTTTTTAATATAGAGTCCGGATAGCTGCATGCAGGTGACTCGATACATCGGAATGGGGCGGCGGACGAACCGTTGGGTTGGGATTCGCATTGGGTTTTAGTTTTAGTTTTAGTTTTAGTTTTAGTTTTAGTTTTACTTGTGGGATGAGATGGGATGGGATGAGATGAGAGGAGAGGAGGCGATGAATTGAATTGAAGAATTATCTCTCATCATCTTTCTTTTCAATGCATGATTCGATTGTTGAATCAAATCATTGGCACTTTACTCGTTTTTCACATGATAATGATATTGATATTGATACTCGAGTATTGATATTGATATTGATATTACGTCGCATGTATATATATATGTCGAATCATGATATTATTATTATTATTTTTGATCAGTACTATCTATCTATATACCAATCCAATTATGGGATTTCACATGATTAGCGTGGATTGGATTGATTTGTCTGTTGTCTGGATGGATGGATGGGTTTAGTTTCAATACCAGCTTCAATACTAATAATATCAATACTAACATCAATATCAATACAAATCTCAACATCAATCAATACCAATACTGAGATTTGCCTTGCCTTATATTACATCATATCACATCACTTATCTCTGTGACCAAAAGGGTATAAACAGGACTCCGATTGTGTACTTAGAATCTATAAATGAAAAGCTATATAGAATACTAAAAGGAGGACTATATATATAGGTATCAGGAGCTCTAATAGCTAAATTCAAAAAAATAAAAGAAAGACTAGAGATAAGTATTATACAATACCTAGATCTAAAGTTATAAAGCTAAAGCTTTAAACTATAAAAGGAAGATCCAAGAGAGCTGTCTTATTATGCTATATACGTAGTATGAGCCAATGGACGGAAGAGAGCTGTCTGTTCCGTCACAATCTCGTTTAGAATTATATTTATTTTATTTATTTATTCGAGTATTTTCTCAGGCTATATTACTACTTGATATAGAAATAAATAAATAAATGAATAAATAAATGGATATAATTATAATAAATAGATACAATTAATAGAGTAGATATATATATACTCTAAGTAATATAAAAATAACAAAATACAAAATATGTGATTATAATATACCGGTACTAGTACTTGAGTATATATAAATCAAATCAAATCAAATCAAATCAAATCAAAACAAGCGAATGCGAAAATGAAAAGAAATGAAATTAAATGAATCGATATAATATGAATCGATGTATTGTGATATATTATGATATGATGTGATGATAGGTAGGTAGATAGATAGTTAGTTAGTGATTATAGTAGTAGTGGTATACTAAGCTATGATTAGTTAGTTTAATTGGTGAGAATTGTAGTTGGGGTTAAGATTGTAATTATGATTATAATGAATTGGGGTTGTACAAAGTGTGAGAAGTGTGGGAAGTGTAGGGTGTGTGAGGTACAAGATGGGGGATGAGATGAGATTAGAGATGAGATAGGGGTATGGAGTTGGGAATGAGATATGAGATATAGATAAAGTATTATATAGAGTTGTATATCTATAAATGATTAAAATTAGAGCTTATTAGAGATTATAATAATATAATCTACTCGAGTATTTTATTACTTTATACTAATAATAAGAATAATTGATTTTATATATATAAAACCCCAAAAACCCAAGTATTAAAAATCTAGCCAGTTTAAAGTTCAAAAGTCTCAAAAAATAAAAAATAAATTGAACTAGAACCAGATCTATCTATCAATCAAATGCTAATGGGGGTATCATTTTCCTTCCCTTCAATCCTTCCTTCCTTTCTTCTTCCTATCTTTCGTTCTTTCTTCCTTTTCTTACTTTCTTCATTCTCCCTTATTCATTCTTTCTCCCTATTCATTCTTTCTTCCCATTCGTTCGTTTGTTCGTTCGTTTATCCAACCATCCACCTAACCAACCATCCCTTACTCTAATAATTTCCCTTCCCAACATATCATATCGTATCATCCATCACCAGCACTCGCTGAAACGCTCGCAATCAATCCAGATTCCACATCTCATTTACCAGAAACGCAAAAACGCAAATGTAAAACGCAAACGCAACTCTTCGCACATGAAGCATCAGGTTCCGACTCCCTATGTCGATCGGACCGAGTGAAGAAAGAAAACGAACAACACATACATACATACATACATACACCTAATCATACAAACCAAGAAAACGAAAGGGGCACCCCCAAAAGCTGGCGTGTACATCATACCATGCCATACCATACATTAATTTAAGACAGGAACTTCTCAATCTTAACCAATAATAAGCCATCCGTAGAGTAGCCCTTGGCATCTTTCAAGGGGATTAATCGATATCCTTGTTGGAGACGATCAAGACGAATGCAAGCCCATGCGGCTAGCTCATCTTTGGAATAATTTGCGTCTTCGACTTTGAATCTGTGAGGGAAAGAGGGGCTGGTTAGTAAAATGATCTGCAGTTTAAATGTTGATTGATTGATGAAGAAGGAAATGAGTAGAGTAACATTGCATGCACATGATGTAGACGTGGAAAGCAAATAATGGAATGATTAAGAAATATGAGAGAGAAGAGTGAGGTGATGGTTAATGATTGCATGCATGACCAAATCTTCAATGGATGAGCACAAACCAAGAAAGATTAGGAGTGTGGTAGTCGAGAAAAGGCCATGTACTACATGAGATTAAGCAGCTAGGGACCGAACTCGTCAATCAGCGGAATGGGCTGAAAATCATGTGAATGATTCGACAGAATGAATGTTGCGGAACCACACCCGAGCAGCCAAGAGTCGGAAAGACTATTGTACTACTGCACCCTTAAATTAATCTGCATCGATACTGCGAGCAATGCCAAGCCGGCGCCGGGCCGCTGCGTTGTTGAAGTTTGAAGAATGAACCGAGTGGCGAAATTTTGATATATATGTACCAGGCACTTGGGTAGGTAGATGTTTCAAGAATCTGAGCGGTGTGACATCTTGCAGTTTTATGAATACCCAACCAACAATCAAATTTTGTAGATCCAGACCTTGTCTAGTTCTTTCGTGCGTAATGTGCAGAAGTATAAATAGAGAAGTGTTGAAGAAAAGAGTAGTGTAGCATGTACTAACCTTACAAAGCTTAACGCCTCCACCACGTTCCTGATACCCTCAAAGTGAAGGGTCTCGCCTTCGAAATCGGGACGACTGCCCGATTTATAAGCCGTCTTGTGTTTGTGTTCACCTTCTTTTGCTTTGCCCCCATTTTCGATTGGTTGCCCATTGAGCTCTTCTTGGCTTTCAACATGTAGCTCGCATTTGACGTATGGATGAAAACCCTTCTCCGTCTCACCGTCAGGAAAGGGGATCCGTTGACCGGCGAATATGGTGATTCTCAAATCGAGAGTCTTGTAAGGAATAGCTGCACAGATGTCGGATGTTGCATCCTCGCTGCGGTAGCCCGGGGATTTCAGTATCCACCCTTGGGACCCAGCAAACATCCCTTCATTTAACATCATACCTTCGTCCAATGTTTGCCAATTCAAGGCGACCATTTGAATACCCTTACGCCAGCAAACCGAAGGGTCGAGATTGGACGAGTCAAATCGAGAACCAGCTGGAAATGCTCTCATGAAAAAATCGCGATTATGACAGAACATCTGTTCTCGTTTCTGTTCATGGAGTTCCAAAATCACCTTTTCACCTACGGAAAATATGTGGGAAGGTTTTGTGGCCGCTTTAATATCAAATGACACAAAATGCTCGCTGTGAGTATAAATTCCAAGTTTACTGAGGTTTTCGCAGATCTTTGCCTTCTTTTTCGAACTTCCTCGATCGTCTTCGGAACCGGACTGTCCAGATTCTGCATCCTTTCTCGATAACACCGGTACCAATGTATTGGATGACGTCTTCTTCTCCAATGCGCCCGTAATTGCAGGAGATAATCCATTCGTACTCTCGTTCGTAGCATCTAGTGCATCTTTCAGCTCTGGAGCTTTCTTAACCTTGACCAGAATCTTGTTAAGAAGCTCATCAAGCCTAGGGACCCTTTCTTCTGGATCACATGTTTCGAATGGCGAATCGAGTAAGATGCCTTCCCATTCTTCCTTCATAATATCCACCATTATTTCCTGTTGTTCATGATCGGCGTGAACTTCCAGGCTGACTATAATCGGAAGTGGACTTGTGGTGAAAGCATTTTCTCGAATCGTTTTGCAAACGGCTCTAAATCCGACAGGTGCTGTCAACGTCCAACCATGTAAGACCAAGGGTTCTCCGAGCATCGATGATCGTATTGAGGCCGGTCGTCCACCATTCTCATCCTCATCCACGACCTTGAGTTTATCCCCTGAGCTTGTTTTTGCAACCTTGTGTTTGGCACTCTCAATTTTCTCTTTGGCACTCTCGATCTTCTCTTCGACGGTCAATATAGCTGCCGCAGCTCTACTAGAAAGTGTACTTCCAGTCGCTGAAGCTTGCCGTTTGTGGTCGGTTTTGTTCGAGAATATTGATTTGTCGTCTCTCTCTGCCGGTTCTCCATTGTGTACATCAATTTCAATACATCGACAATTTTGTGTGAGGGCCTAATGGCACTTAGCAAGGAACCGGAATCAACCCCAAGACTAACTTACTATCTTGTATGCTTCCGTAGAACTCCTCGATAGTAACTGATTTCCTTGAAGATATGTATTATGACTGCTACTGATGTAATAGTTGGTGATTGGCTTTGAGAGGTTTAGCTCCGGAATACGTTTCATGACCTCTAATGAATGGCTATAATACACAGACTCCAGAAATTGTTCAAATTTGTATGAGTCTTTATCCAGTTTGACTATATGTCCCTGAACATCTGCCAGCCATGATTCGAACCGTTCCCGCTTTAGAGATGATTCGGCACCTCGCAATTCATCGAACACCTTCCGTAAATATTCCTGAATTTCGTGTGAAAGATATATTTGTCGTGGAGGATCTCCTGCGGTGGTATTGTTGAGAGGTTGAAGATGTACTCCGTGCCCAGGCGTAACCATTGTAGACATGGCGATGAGTTTGTGAAGAGAGAACTGTTTTCCGGAGGGAGTGAGAAGGGGCATGGTAGATATCCTAATATGAAGGCAAGTAGATCAGCAAATGAATCACGATACAGCAGAATGGAACCACAAATGAATGCAAGACACTGGGTCCAGCATCTAATAAGTTTCTTAGCTTTTCGTGGTTCATCTTCATCTCACTCACACGTTGACGTGTTTTCAATCCTACCTATTAAGTAGCCCTGCTGGTGGGGGTTGGTAACAGCAATCAAACAAGATGAAAAATGGCTTACCTCCGAAGCTTCCTTCTCAAAAAAGAAGCCATCTCTCCTTACCGTGAATAATAGAAGTCAGTTGAATGCTACATGAGTGAGTGAGTGTATGATGATTGATCTTTTTGAATGGTATGGAAATCAGAGATGGATTTGTTGATCATCAAGGGGCCAGGGCTAAGATGAGGCTCATTCAGCTGCTGGGTACAAATGTATGATGTTTTGGTTGTTATCCTCAAGTGCTGACAGTCTAGTGGGTACAAATGTTTTGGTAGGTGGTGAAACAAGAGATAGTCAATCGGAGGGAGGGTATCGTGAAGGGGGGGGAGGGATGTGGGTAAAAATATAATCTGATTCATATTATTTATCATTTGTATGGAATTTATGGATAGACAAAGTTTATGAAGGTTTATTTTTAAATATTTTGAAGCTCTTTGATATTAAGGAATCCACTTGTTCGTTCAAAGCTAAACCCGGCCCGTACCTTTTTTTTACTGGTATTATAATGCTTGGCTAGGTATACAGCATCTCCAATACTTCTACTAGAGTATAACCAATATAATATACTACCACCCATACTGCACAGCCACACCTCTACAACCAACTCCACAAGAACTCCATAACAAGGCTGAGCCCCGATTACTGGCTTCGCCTCACGCCTCACTTAAAGAGATACTCATTACCCTCCACATTTCTAATCACACATCTTATCATAAGAGGCCAATTCACTATTACCTACCCGAATATGGTGTTGGTGGTAGGATTGATGTTGATCCTGGTAGAGTTTATGAAAGTATGGATTGGTCCGGAAGCTTGTACTTATGTGATTGGAGAGGGAGAGGAATGAATGCTTCGATACTCGATCACCAAGATGGGATGGTTGATGGTGATGGGTGAGGTAGGGGGGAGATGAGGGCATTCAGAAGAAAAGAAACAGTGTGTGTGTGGAGATCTGAGGAGACTCGGTGAGATGTACAACATATTTATTTACAACATCGTCGTTGCCCTAAAATGAAACAATTTGCATATTATCCAAATATATGGGAGAAATTGTACCTGTTTAGTTTGACGCATGGCTTGGCTGTGACATATGGAAAGAGGATTGATGCATCGAGAAGTCTCCACGATATCTACTATACATACATAGTTTCTCTTCGCACCCGACATTATAAGCTTTTGTCTGATGGAATACCTTGCGAATCATCTCCTTCTTCATGTGTTACATTAGACAATGCTACCAACTGGTTGTAAGGAACTCCTATGTCTTCACGATCCCCACTATTGCTGTCTAGCAGGAGTCTTTTAGACAAAACTCTTTTTCGAAATTTCCAATAAGATGTTCTTTATAAGATCTTAATTCATTCGAAAGATTGAATTTATTTGAGAGATTTATAATACTCTGGATTACAAAACCTTAAGAATAGTTGTTACATCTTCGTAAGTGCTGAAAATAACACACTTTACTTTTCATATTAGATGACATAGCTCCTTCCATGATGGTTCAATATATACAACACTTTACAGTTGCCCTTCTTTGCAGTGGTTGGCCAGCGCCCTTCCTCAAAAGAGAGTATACATAATAACGGAGAAGACTACCGATACAAGAAGGAACCACCAATTACAGATCTCAAGTCGATTTATAACCATTGATTTTCCTTTCCCTTCCTTTTCTCTCTAAACAACATCTCAAACTACATCTCTTCATTTTCGATGCCATTCATTGACCACCACAAGATTATTAACTAATTCTTATTCTTTTGGTACAATTGGCAGTCCATCCATTTCCTTTCTAAGAAATACCTTTTTAGATTCGATAACATTCAACAATGCCAAACATTATCATCTCCATGATTCTGGTTCTTATATTTGAACTAGTTGGTTATTACAGTTTTAGACATTTCAATCCCACTCCCACTCCCCAAAGGAGAGAAACGTCTCCAGGGGCGGTCAATTAAACTCATGGCGAACACACCACTACAGTCTGATGAGAATTCACCAAGGGTCGTACTACCTGTAGACGAAAGTGTGACCTTGGGTCCCTACAACCAACCCAACATTCAATTGACTGCCACGTCAAACTTGCCCTTACCCCCACCAAAGGAGTCGGCTCTACCAGATGGCATAGTGTACGAGCACTGAGTCTTTCAACCTAACACTGCCCTAAAGACTTTAATATCAAGGGTTACTGGGGTCTTCAACGTCAAATCTTTTTCTGCAAAACCTCGCACACCCACATCCGTCAACTCTCACATTGTCAGTACCACAATATTCGAGCCAGATGTTCGTGTCAAGAAGCCTCATTGCGCACATGAGAAATCTACAGTACCACGATTTACTAGCGACAACAGGTAAGAGCCATTCAGAATCGATTATCCTCTCTCTTTTCTGACAATGGGCAGACCAAACCTCCAGAGTACTTACGTGCCATAATTCACTCTGGAATTGAGATCGAAGGAACCTGCGGCTTTGGTGAGGCAGGTGTAAGAGTAAGAGATGTAGATATTGGCCCCAGAACAATAATCAATTCGGTATTGTCAGTGACAACAACATGTGATTCTATCATCAAGCTAACTCAAAATAGCATCGGACGGCCTCAATAGACTGTGTGTACATTATCGAGGTATCAATATACCCTTCGACGCAACCTCATTACAATCCTCTACAAATCCCAAAAAGCAAGTGTGGATTTCAAAGAAACCCTCGAGAAAAGGATGGTATAGTCATGATTCGGGATTCACTGTATGGGTAAGATCAATTGTCTGCTACTGGAATGTTTTCTGACCTGTCATAGATGGTGCAATATTGATAGTGAATGGGCGCGTTTCTTCATTATTTCAGTCGAAACTGAAGCATCGGTTGTTATTGTCGATGAAGACAACCTACTTCGCGAAAGACCATTGTGGATAGGCCCGGATGTTTTTCACACGGTATCAAGGCTACATTCTATTTTCGATTCGCACTTCTCTGGAACATCAAGGGATGAATCAAGTCTCTGATAACAAGCCATGAGGCATTCTATTCACTTGTGGATCAGCGATAATATGACCTTTAAATGGGATGAATTGAGCTAGTGGTACTGTAATACTAGCGACGACCTGAATTTTGAAGGGTAGCCAGCGGGTTCTAATTTCTAAGTTCTCATGTTAATGTTTGCTTTCTTTTTATTCTATTGGTACGAGTAGTTATTTAATAGATAGCGAGCGCTTAATATTAATTCATTCATTCATCAACTCATTAATTCATGTCTATCTCTCACTCATTATACTCGAGTATGTTGTAATAATACGAGTGCATGTTGCAAACTTGTGATTATAGTATTCGAATTTCGAATAAAGCAATGAAGAACCAGTATATATTGGATTGCAAGTAAATACTCGAGTACATCATGGCAAACATCCTTTTTTGACTAGCTAGCGACAGGATAGATAGAGAATCGTCACTCGAAATATATGAAAACTTGTTGTAAGATTTACATACTCACGATTCACGATTCACGAATATATGTCGGCCCTTGTCTTGGGTTTACTTATATATATAGATAGATAGATACCTAGGTTTGGTCATGAAGTTGGCTTCTTATGTGGTATGCGGTATGTGTACAATATTGGAGGGTGGGGTTGGAGTTGATGTTGAGGTTGAGATTGGGGTTGAGGTTACGGTATGTTGAATGAAGTTGGTTACTGTCTAGTGTCCAGTGTCTGTCTATCCATCCATCAGTAATTCAGTGAGTGGTGTTCCCGAAATCCATACGTAGGCTGCAATGGGCTAAATAGCAACGGGCAACGAGCAATGAGTAACGAGCAATGAGTAACGAGCTACGAGTAACGGGATGGATGTGTAGGTGTAAGTTTACATCGAGTCAAAAGTATATAAAGACACCGAGATCCTCGAGTCAATTGAATCTCTGTCTCTGTCATCCATCCAAACACCACAATATCTCCATTCCTTCTTACCATACTTTTCTCAAGCGCTTTCCTCCCAATTAACTTAATTTCGGCCTTTCCCACTGCTGCTGCTTCATCCTCTATCCCAATTCCACCAAGTTTAGATCTATAATATACCGCTCCCACCAATTTCGCAACACAAGCCCCAGGAACCATTTTACGTTTTCGTTCTGCTCCAGGAATCTTACATTACTATTCGCCAATTGTTCTTGCGCTTTTAATATTCTATATCGCACGACAAATAGTCATTATCAACCATCATAGGCCGTCACCACACTATAAATTATCCCTCTCTCATCATCCAGTTTTAGCAGTACAACAAATAATAGAATAGTGTACTTCTCACCTACCAAATCCCATACAAACACAGCATCCATCGATTTCTCACCCTCCTACTCCCTTCCCTCTACAACCCAAATGGCGGTTTCCCCGCCATCTTTTCAGCTCTCGCTCGCGACTGGCACATCAAACATCTCGATCCCGGATTTCGAAGGACGTCTCGCCTCCTTCGGCGCCGGTATTGCCGCAGGCCACGCAACTCTCGATTCTATTCGATTCGATTCGAGCCGTGCTCTCTCTATCTCCATCCTTCCACATACCGGTAGATCATGTCATCTTCCCAATATACGCTATGCCATATAATAATACTCGGACGGATCTATCGCCTGCGAATTCGCGGCCGAGCTACAAGTGTAATATGCGCCTGAACTATATTTTAGCGGTATGGCTATTGGAGGGAGACATGCCGCGAAATATTATGAAGCTTGTTGGTGGGATTGATGGGACGGTGTGGGCTGGTTTCATCCCTTCGCTTCTGTTGGGTATGAGTCTGACGATTCAGTATCTTGAGATGCTAGGGAGTGGATGCTGGGTTGTTTGAAGAGCGATGGTGCTTATAACTGTAGCGCGTTTCTATGGGCGGAATATATGGCGTATTCTGATGCACATATTTTCTATGCAAATCAAAGTTTCTATAAATATTTCAAAAACGGATCTGCAGATCTCGACGTTCCCGGTTATGATTCATGAAGCGAATGTTTGAGATTGATGGGCAGATGGCAAGCATATCATGGGGTTCCGCAAATGCCTATGTTAATGTATCAAGCGGTGCAGGATGATTTGGCGGAGATAGAGGATATGGATGAGATGGTAAAGAGGTATTGTGGGGTGGGGGCTAATATTTGGTATGTGAGGAATGGGGTGGGGGGCCATTTGGCGGAGGATATGAATGGGGTTGTGGTGGGGTTGGAGTGGTTGAGTGTGGTGTTGGAGGGGAGGTATGATGAGGTGTATGGGGTGGATGGGTGTGAGGTGGAGGATGTGGTGTGGGATTATTCGACTTTGGTTTTGTGAGGAATTTGGGGAGGGGGTGGGAGGAGGTTTATTATTTATATTTATCTATTCACTCCTTTATTATTCACACATTACCTTTCGCTAAGGGCTGTGGTTACATGTCTACAATTATCCTCTCAATCATTCAGATAAATACTCTTCTTGCTCAATCCATTCCAAACTAAACTATCGATCTATCCTCTTCCTCTTCCTCTTCCTCTTCCTCTTCCTCTTCCTTTTCTTTTTCTTTTTCCTCATCCTTTTCCTCCTCTTCCTCTCCCTCTTCCCCACCCCGCCCTTCAATTCACATCTCACTTCTCACTTCTCGCTACTCGCTAAAGTTATTATTACATTAAACCACGTATTGAAATATAATAAGGTATATTAAAATCTTGTATTAAGATCTAAATATATAATCTAAATGTGATGGAACAGACGGCTCTCTTCCGTCCATTGGCTCATACTACGTATATAGCATGATAAGACGGCTCTCTTGGATCTTCCTTTTATAGTTTAAAGCTTTAGCTTTATAACTTTAGATCTAGGTATTGTATAATACTTATCTCTAGTCTTTCTTTTATTTTTTTGAATTTAGCTATTAGAGCTCCTGATACCTATATATATAGTCCTCCTTTTAGTATTCTATATAGCTTTTCATTTGTAGATTCTAAGTATATAATCGGAATCCTGTTTATACTCTTTTGGTCATATTAAATCTGATATGAAATAATTCAATATAGCTTCATTTCTTTCACCCTAAATCAATAATTTCAAATTCATTTATAACCTTATCTATTGAAATTTTCAACTATATCTATTCTCTTTATAACGTTTCATTTAAATCAACTTGAATAATATCAGTATTCAATAAATTAAATTGATTTCAATAGTTTCAATACTTCAATTTTCAATAAGTTTGAATAGTTTCAATTGTTATATAGATCAAGTATTAGCAACGACGAGGGAGGAGAGGACTAACTAGAGAGACCAGAGAATGAGGAGATGAAGGGATAGCAATTGAGAGGCCCGAAAGAGAGTATCTATCGATATCAGAGATCTTTTTAATTTCAAATCTCAATACAATTTTTGAATCTTGATATATATACTAAAGAGGATATTTACAAAAAATGACCGATTTGTTCTTTTTAGAAGAATAAATAATCCTCTTCAAGAGGGTTATTTACCCTCCTGAGATGCCTATAGAGATATTCTATCATTAATTACAATCTTCAATCTCTTAAATAAACACTAGTATTAATTCCATAATAACCTATTACTAGTACCCCTGAGTCGCCAAATTGGCTCGGTTGCAACTTGTACATCTTAGAAGTAATGTCCTTAAAAGAACTACTCGAGTAGATGTATTATCTTAAATACTCGATCGAGTATATAATATTCTATTGCATCTCATTTCCTCGTTGAAATAAAAATGATTATATAGTTCGAGCACGATTAATTATACTCGAGTAGTAGTATATTTACTTACTACTGAAGATCTACTCGAGCAATGTCTTATTCATTTAAATATACTTTATAACAAAATAGCAAAAGATATCAATCGATCAAAGATAATAATCCTGATATCCTCTTCCTTCCACATCCGTGCATCCCACATCAGCCAAAATAAGGCCCACCCCAAAAACATCCACCCCCTCCTTCATCTTCCTTTCATCTTCTCACCCTAACTGGTCCTTCCGCCTCGCTCCCCATAAAATATAAATTAGGATAGATCAAAGATCCAAAACAATAACTAAATGCCCGTTCTAGGAATCGAACCTAGGATCTCATCATTTGCAGATAATTATTAGCAAGTACTAGTGATGCGCTTTACCGCTAAGCCAAACGGGCTGTTTTGATTGTTTGTTGATAAGGAAGTGATGCTTTTTTAGGCATATCATGAGAGCAAAGCAATAGTATGTGTCATTTTGGTGGGGTGGAGCCATTCCGGGGTTGAGGTACTGTAGGCGAATACTAGGGTTGGATTGTGGGCCCTTGCCATTCAACTAACAACCTTCTAGCCCTGGCTTATTATTTATTATCTCATTGTTGTGAATAGAACAATATAAATTGAGGGTTCTGGTTCTACGATAACGTGTACCGGTATACCTAGTTGATCAGCAGACGGGGATTGGAGATCACATGGTACGAATAACGAGCGATACAGGTAACCCTCCAAACTTGGATGTACCGTACTTCGATAATCACTCGATGGATTTAGGCAATCTTATTCGATAATACAATAACACCACGATAGCTGGATTTGAAGAAATCAAGGTGTACTGTACCTCTGTATTGTATTTAATGTGGCTTCGCCTTGGTCTACTCAATGCGGCACATCACTATCAGGCTGTCAGCACAATTCACACAGTGTAACATTCTCGGTCTGAATCACGTCTCCTCTGATATCAGCGAAAGACATCCTCTCATCTCATTATTAAATACACTCTTTCACTAACTCAATTCTGCGCCCTCTTTCCCCCCATCCGTTAACAATCAAGCATCCAAACCATGTCTCCCCTCACACAACATACCCTAACATTCCACCCCTTCCCCCACCTCCCCCTCGAACTCCAACACCAAATATGGTCCTACAGCCTCCCCGGACCCCGCATCATGCGCATAGACTACCATCCACTCCTCCCCACCGGCCAATATGCGCCCACCAAAACCGCCGATCTCTACCACACCTTTCCGCGCTCATACGGGAGACAATTCCCCATCCCTCTACACATCAACCGCGCATCTAGGACCTACGCGCTCTCGCACCTCACGCTTCGATTCCACTGCTATTGGAATTTAAAAATCGACGTGCCCTATATCCAAGCGAAAGGATGTTCAAAATCCGCTGCGCGGTTTAATTTTGCGCATTTGGCTGGGGCTGGTTTATTAGATGGATTTCGAAATTTAGCGCTAGATGTGGAGATTTTGTATGGGAGTGTTAATTCGCCTGATGTGTACGTTTAAAACCCCTCATTCCCAAACTTAGAAAGATGCATTGCTCAATATTCTATTATAGTGCGGCATCTATACAGCAGTGTTTGGATCTCACAAACCTGTATCTCGCTTACCCATCGATGGGGATATGGGATGATGCAGAAGGACCCGATACTTCCAAGGCGTGGTCGATAGGACCTCCGTCGGAGAGCATGGTGAGTGTCGTGTCCAGGAAAGCTACTATGACGAAACTTCCGGAAGATGTGTTGGGATATCTTAAAGATGATGATCGAGTGGCACTCGAGAATTTGCCGGGACGGACGTCAAAGCTAAAGATCGATATGATTACGTGGTTGTCGATGATAGAGAAAAGGGATGTATGAGCTTAGATTACCTAGTAGCTCATACTCGTTGCACCATACTTAATACTTTAGCTATTGTTTTCGGCTGTTATGGGATGGGGGGTATAAGGTCGGGACTACCGCTGGCGGCAATAAGGCCTTATCTTATGGGTAGATTTAATATCCCTAATGGAATGAAAGTAACCAAAAATTCAATATTCAAGACAAATTCAACAATGAGAATGAATTCAGTGTTCGAAATAGCTTCAACGTGATCAAGCTCTCGATTCCATCTCATTCTCCCATTCCCTGCACCATCTCAACCAAAAGTTTCTCATTCCCTTGACCTCCCCTCTATCTTCTAGACCATCTCCTCAATACTAACATCCTTCTTCACAAACCCCTATATACTCTCCAAAACCCCTTGTGTACTCTCTAGATCAGGTTATCTATCAAAAAATTACAAATCTCAACGTAATTGAAGTAAAGTATCAACATCGATTTTATAATTTCGGTGCATCTCCAAGTTCTGCAATGTCTCCTTGGAAAGGCAAAGGTGTTATTTTGTGGTGGGCTAAGCATTGATATACCCGCCAGCCTTACATTGTACGGTGCCGTAGAACTATGTCAAGACAGATCTAATGTTCCACATGTTACAGCCAATGTTACCAATCATCGTATCTTGACGATAGATTTCTGACAACGGTGTGTGGTAGAGAATGGAAGATGGCGCAGGGCATTATCGATGTCAACCTTGACGTGAACTCAATAAAGGCGTTGCAATGGGGGCTAATTCCTTGAGAATTGATGGTGACACAGTTGGCTAAGAAAAACAAAAGATACGCTGGTGTTCAATGACCTGCATGGAGTAACACAAGCGGGTAGTTTACGAGGCAAACTGCTGAATTCTTAGAGGATTCTGCCTTCCAAGGCTGACTACGAGAAGAGATGATCAGCTTCGATGGGAGGTAAAGCAATGATAGGATACTTCCGAAGACGTCTGATGCAGCGCCAACACCACAAACTCAGTTACCATGACCATCTACTCTATATGAAAGATCTGCCTTGCAGACCTTCCAAGAACTTTCACAAAAATCAGGTATATTTGTGGATAAGAATCCCCTTTCTTCCACGGTCAACATTAGCGATCAATTAAAGAGTTAATTCAATTTTCATACCGAAAATCACACCGTGATTCAATCATCCACCATGCCGACGATCTCAGGACTCATTGAAACGTCAATTCCATCGAACGATTCCATCGACAAGAAGCCCAAACGAACCAACAGCTGGGATAATAAATATGCAATTGTCTACGATGTATCCTCACAAACACTGTCGAGGACAGTATCGAGCACAGAGCGTAAAGCGATCGAAGGTGTGACATCGATATTAGTGCAGAATAAAGAGCATTGCTGATATTATTACAGCCGACCATACTTGCATCAAGATTCCCAAGCGCCCTTTGAGTCCTCTGCAGAAAGACAACGTTTGCATATTCATACCATTGAACTCAACATCAGGGTCGGATGTTCTCGCAGAAGTCAAGTTGAGCAGTCTTGGATGGAAAGTCGCATTTGAGCGGTATCGGGGAAACATCAACGAAATTTGGGTAAAGGGTAGATCGCAATACATGAAAGGAGTTAGGAACATGTAGGGTGCGGTAGGGCACTCGGGCGATACAGATACAGGATATCTCCGTGTATTTTCGAGTCCCGTGTAATACTATTTTGGCGATTTAGGACTGAAACGGGGGTTTGGACATTGGACTGGCGCACTAGACAATCTGTTTTTTGACAATATCAATTCATTAAACATATGGTGACAAAATAAATCGCACACAACGCATATCTGATAGGAAGATATATGTCTTGGGCTGCATGAAGAATCAGTACTCACAAGTTCCCAAAAGGCTTGCCGGCATTACATAAACGCACATATGAATGTCAAAGGTCTCGAGCCGTGATAGATAGGCTTACTCCGAAGCGGGGAACGTAGACGGTTTAAGTTCTCGTGTTTAAAATTTAGTAAAAGTGTCAGAAGTAGATCATGGTCCTGTCATCCCAGTTTATCCAGTAATCGTCTTCGTCGTCTGTCAACGAGCTCTTCCTGAACTTCTTCGCTTGTAGGTAGTCTCCATCCTGCGCCATCGCCTGCATCTCCTGGTAACGGCTCCCAACCGTCTGGGATCTTCTTATCTTTGCCTTCCAATAATTTCTCATACGCCTCTTTCTCCTTTTGAATCTCATAGTCTAGTAGAGTACCATCTTCTTCGTCGAGGTTGTAACCATAATATGAAGCGTCAACTTGTTTTCGCAGGTCTACTCTAGATTCCAGAGGCTGGTCTTCGCGAGGTTTTATCGTCGCAGCTTCGATCATTTCTTTGACTCCAGGTAACTCTTTAGCACGTCCGAAATATCTGGGTACGGAATCTACCATCAGCATGATTCGCACATAATCAGACACAGCACAGTAATGCATACCTATACCCCTTCCCACCACCTGGTATCTCCCGTCCTTCTTCGTCATAGACTTTCCCTCCTCCCCGCATATAATTAGGACCTCCTAGATTCCTGATCTGTACCTCCCACATATACTTTTCCTTCATCGCCTTGTTGATTTCATCATTCAAATCTCGAATCATGAAGTCACTTAAACTTGGATCCTGGATCTTGCTAACTTTGCGCGAGATCTCCTTTAGAACTTGACCTCTCCATTTCTCGCATGATGGTATAGATGCGACTTCCGTTATCATCTTTGGGCGTCGTGTTCTCCCAGCATCTATGATACCTAATTCTGCTTGTTGCGCTTCCCGGAAGCGGAACAGCATCGACTGGGCTTTCTCTGAATTACGTGCCTAAACATATTAGCTGCCATTATATATAACGTGGATTGGCGACTTTACCATGATTACGAAGAGCTCCCGATAAGTATATGGGTTCTAATGAGCTTCGAGGTTGTGATATATCATCAGTCAAGATATACAATTAAGCTTGGACCCCACGAGGCTGTTGGAAATAGTTACCCTTTTAGCCTTATTCTCTAGCGTGTTTACAAGCTGCTTAGCGATACGTAGCGACAACGCGCAGTAAGTATTTCAACGCGCTTTGGTTATCAAAATTTCATCTCAACAACAAACTGCAGTGACGAGAAAACTCATTGAGCTTACACTACTTAGCATTCTGAGTAAAATCAGAAGGTTAGGAATGTGTGAATACATGAACAGAAATCTTAGCAGGCTTCCAAATTCAATCACTCAATTACCTTTGATTTCTTGTACAACAGTCGCCGGTTTTGGTTGTATAATATGATATGGATCGAGCCACAATGACGACAATCAGCTCCTATTGAGATATTCGCTATGTTTTGTTACTTTGAGTACCCGTCGGCCGAGTTACTGAGCAATCAGGCATGAAACCAACGGGTATTGATTGTGGCATTACATTCGCAAAGGAATCATCACTGAAAGTGGAAAATAGTTTTCAATCGGAGTAGCTTGGTAAGAACAAACCTATCTCATTTCTTCTTATCAACTATGTCTTTCCATATTAGATACTTGGTTGTGACCTCCAAGTCTCAAACTTTATAGTCCAGTCCATTGCTAACGAGAAATAGTTTCATATTTTCAATCATTCTTGTGACTGTTCCTTACAAACTTCGATAGTGTCGATGTGGAGGTATTTGGGAGTTTTATTTCTTTGCCCGGTGATGACCAACGTGTCCAAAAAGCCAAATTTGCAGGCCAACCTACCGTCTTATCGTTGCCTTGGGGCTAAATAAGATGGAAAGTGTTCGCAATGAGAACTTGAGAGCTTATCTGAGGGCACCTTCAATATTTACTTTTTTCTTTCCTGTGGTTATTTTCAAACATCTTGTTATACATCATTCTTCTATGTTAATGAAATATTCGTTCATTAGTGCTAATGATCTATATATTGGTCGCTTTTGGTATCAAACTCTTTTTGGTTTCTATCATGTGGTGTTGTTACAACAGAACCATCCGGGCTATCTATTGTACTTTTGGAGAACAAAGAATTATAAACTCGTTTGCAAACACCGAAGACTTAACGGTTTCAGCAATCTTGTACCTTGCTAAGACTTCTAAGACTTCATTCTCGAAGTACATATCTTCTTTTTTTTCTTGTACCATATTGCAGCAATTACTATTGAATAAAATTATACCTCAGTAGCGTTGTCCTGTCATGTTTTCTAGACTCTCGATCAACTCACATGATTCTAGCGATCAACCTTCACCCTTGACGTCCTCATCGTCGACCTCGTCTCTACTCGAAGGCGCGCATCTATCATTAGACACTGCAGTTGATCTATCTGAGGCTCCCGATTATGCGATTTCATGTGTCAATGGTTTATCTTCCGCTGGATTGTTTGAGGACGCGGCAGTCATTTCCCAAGGATATTTGCACGAGAAACCAAACAATGCACTGCTTTTGAAGCACTTGGCTAAAGGTTTGTTTGAAACAGAACATTACAGTGAGGCCAGCCAAATATACCAGCGTTTAGAGGCAATGCAAGGTTTGGCAGACGACGAGCAGAAAAAGCTTTGGACCATCAAAGCACTTCTTAACGATGATCGACCTGGAACAGCGCTTGATGTATTCCTCAGCACTCCTTCACTAGAGGAATCTGCCAAGGGGCTTTACTTTAAAAGTCGTGCCTTGCGAAAACTGAAACAACCTGCAGCAGCAAGAGTCGCCGCTGAAAGGATGATTGAAACAGCGGGTGAAAATATAGTTGATGATTATTGGGTTGAGTATGGGTTGGTGTTATATGATCTTCAGGACTTTGCAGGGTCCTTGCAATATTTGCGTCAGGGTGCAACGGAAGATGTTATTGAATCGGCCCTGGGATTGGCAGGTCAAGTGGAGGAAGCGGAAGATATGTTTAATTCACGGCATAAATTGAGTTTGTGTCACCGCCGTGAAATCACTAATGGTCCAGCCACCGATTGGGAAGAATTTAGGGGGAGGGCAAATTGGATGAAGACACTTCCTGAACTACGTGCCCTAGTACGAGTCTCCTTTCGAAACTCCCTTCCAGAACCTGAGGACTTGGCCGGCTGTTTGTGTATATTAGGCACAAGACACCGAGAAGTTGGCGCTCACGAAGCAGCATCCGCGTGTTTTGAACATGCACTCAGAATTAGTCATACATCTGCATTTGTGTTATCCATGGCAGCTACGAACCTGGCTGCCAATGTGCCTCAAAATGAAACTGATGAAGCTCGCTTTGCACGCCTCCAAAAAGCGGATGAACTATGGGAGCAATTATTGCAAATTGGGCCATATACCGACGGCACCTTTGAAGTTCCACATGCCGAAATTTACCATCGACGCGCAGAGCTATGGAAATGTATCAAAACGCCGCTCTACGAGAAGTACTTGTTCAAGTATGCGGAAATTGTCAAGTCGCCCGAAGAACTTATCTCGGTGGCAAAAGTTTTAAGGTCGAACCAGAAAACCGACGGAATCAATACGATCGCATATAAAGAACGTGCCGAAAGAGTCGATCAGTTGTATTACGAAGCGCTACACTCTCCAGAATACTCACCTACTCATGCCCCCCAGAAAGCAGCCCAAGTATATGGATGGCGTGTCGATAACCTTGCCTATGGTGATATTGATCCGGAACGACAAGAACGATTTCTCCGTCAGAAGATGGAGCTTGACAGCAATCCTGACCGCCTCTTAAACTTCATTGGTAAAGCAGGCGGTCGTGACCACGAGGTACTTCAACTACTTGAAAGCGCCGAACGCAAATTTGGTGGGAAATACGTCGCACTGGTCAAGGATCAAAGAAAATACCTCAAGAGTGTCGAGAAGAGGAAAAAAACCACTGCGAAGAAATTACCTGACGATGCTCATAAGTATGATCCGGTTCAGAGAAATATTAAACAAACAAGAGTGGCCGCAGGGTGGCAGGCATGGAAGGCACAAAAGTAGTTGAGGTCTAGTATGCTAGATTAACAGGAGGGGTCTGTAGTATGGGAGTTTAGTGACAAGTAGAATGTTTAATGGCCCGCCAATATATACTCTTCAATATTCTGCAAGCTTAGAGCATTACACGTTGCATTTTTGGAAACGGTTCCTATGGTTGTCGGCAACAGTATCAATTTATTATTCTGAAGGATTTGTATTTTTGAGAGCTAGAAGCCATATTTGTGACTGAATCAGACTGGGAAACCGCCATCTGAAAATGCTACCGCAAATTTGTTGGAAAATATCGTTCTGGTCATGAACATGGATCCACAGAAACGACAGATAGATAATTTTGGAGAGATTCTAAGTGTATATATATAACAAAGCCTTTGTGCACACTCCTTTCTCGGTCGCGGATAGGGACATCGCGACTCGAGTCTTTTTGCTCAGATTTCCACATTGGGTCACAGTGATCGCAGCTTGAAGAATTTGCCACAAGATGAAGACAATCGTCATACATGGAACCACCGACCTCAACGTCATGATTTACTCAGCCTTTGAAGGTGGACTTCTGTTGGGGGTATTCCCCCCAAATCCTAATCGAAACAGAGCCTCATGCAGGTTCATACATTTGGCTTGTAAGGCTACAGTCCTCAGATTGGGGAGGCTCTCGAGGAAATCGCAAGCATAAAAGTAGTGGGTCTTCCAGCGCTGGTTCATTCGAACTCTTGATAGTCACAAATCAAAATGAATGAAGAATCATTGACATCGTGGGACCTAGATGTTCCAAGACCCCAAGGACAATCAATCAGCAATGCAAATTTGCGTGGCTCCAGTCGTTCGACCTCGCTCATGGCTTCATCAACCACCCCTTCGAGTACTACACCAGATACAACGCCAACAGAACAAGCCGACCGAGTCATTAATCATAGTCCAAGTAGCAGTACAGGTCGTGGATCTAGACCAATGGATAGTTCTTGGAACAAAAAATATGTCCTCACACTAGGTAAACCACAGATTCCGTGTTAAGTCTGCAGATGAAACTAAGAAATACACACAGATGGCGGAGGCGTGCGTGGTCTATCAAGTCTGAGTATCATCCAGCACCTTATGGATCTTTGCAATTCGTTTGAGCAAAAAGAAGATCCGCTTGTCAAGTCCAGTTTCCACCCACTCCCTTTTCAAGAAGGCCAAGGGTCAAATATCAAAAACGAGTCAAGGACTGCACAGTTTTTACCGGTTCATTATTTTGACTATATTGGTAAGGGAATTTCTTACACTGTATCATCAGTGGTCATCTACTAACAATTTTGTAGCGGGTACAAGCACTGGAGGGTTAATTGCTATTTATGTTGAGCCGACTACGAATGAGCACCGACGATTGTATTCAAGAATACGAAACATTGGGGGAAAAAGTCTTTGGTCAACCACGCAAGTTTTCGATGCGAGGCCCTATACCGTGGACGAAAGAAAAATACAATCATCATAAACTCGAGGAGGTTATAAAAGATGTCGTAAAAAGGAGGAATTAGCAAAATGATCAAGTTACAGACTCTACTTATCCTTCTAATCCAGATCGTTGTCGGACGTATGTCTTCAAGCTCCCTTCAACTCTGATTTCTCTACTGATATGCGACAGAATTACCTTAGCAATCCGAAATAATAGCTCCGCTAATGCTCCTTATCTCTTTTCGAACGTATGAGCATACCAAATCACAAGCCACCAATCCGCAAGAACTCAATCCTGGCCACCCGCAGTCAATACCTATATGGCAGGTCGCTCGAGCAATTACTGCAGCGCCGACATACTTCAAATCATTTCGGCTTGGCGAGGAAAAGTTCATAGACGGCGACTTTGGCTATAATAATCCCACCCGCAGGGCAATTCTTGAAATCGAGCAAGTGCATGGCGAAGACACCATCGCTCTTGTGGTCAGCATTGGCACTGGTCGGCGTCTGAAAGTTCGATCGATAGCGAGACACGGCTGTGGGCTCACAGGTGTGGCAAACCACTTTAGTCAAATGATTAAATATACCACAGCCTCAACAACCGATACAGAAAGCACCCATCAATACGTAATGGCGCTATTGGCTGCGCGAAAATGCCCCTACAAGCGCTTCAACGTTGACGGGGAGCTTGGTGACATGGATCTTGGGGAATGGCGCACCGATGGTGCGAAAAACGTAACTCTCGAAACGATAAAACAGCAGACACGTGCCTATCTCGAACAACCGAAGGTCCGAAAACATATGGAGGAAGCCGCCATAAAGCTGGTGATCAATCGGCAAATGAGATCCAAGACTCCTAGATGGGATGTTGTGGCTACGGGTTATAGGTATCAGTGTCCCGAACAGTGTAACAAGGAGATAATCTATACAAAAGAATATTTGGGGGACCATCTTTGTGAGGTTCATGGGATTCCTAGGGACGCCGATGAAGGGCGTGAACTGGAAAGGGCGGTTAGAAGTGGGAAGATCTTGCATTCGGATTAGAATTTTGCATTCTGCATTTTGTTTTGTCCGGGGAGTGGGAGGTTAGGTAATGATGCGGAGATGCAATAGGGGCTTGAAATGGGGTTGGATGGGAGCAAAGGGATGGCATGGCGTTGATGTTACTTTGCACGATACCACTTTGTTTGATTTTGCGGATAGGCGCATATAGACAGTATCTATAAATGAAGCTGCGTTATAGACAAGTAGTAGATAACATTACCGTGTACATAGGAATAAGATTGCTGTGTGGCTAATGGTAAATTGCCCATATTGAGCTACCAAATTGAATACTCGGTAGCTAACTTTTACTCAAGTAGATCTACAAATACATATAACTAACTGACTGCGTGAATACAGTCACATCTACAAATGTCCACACCCTATAATTCTGCAAGCAATAGCTCGACGCTACTCGGTTACGGCATCCAAGATATTCAACAACAAAAGCAAATTCCGACTTCTTCGAGGAAGAAATCTGGTTCTGCTTCGCAAAAGAATCTATCGACATAACTTGACTTCTTATTATGTGCAACTCTGACTCGGCGCACTTTAGTCGTCGAATCTACACACTCGCATCTGCCATCCTTTGGATTTTGACAATTGCCGATAGCGAGCGTTTCTTGTACTTGCTGGTGGATTTTTTTGGAATGTCGGCTTTGGTTGGAATTGGTAGGAATTGGAGTTATTATAGATGCAACAACCACTATGACTTCGGCATCAACGCTTCGCCCAATCAAAGGATATTATCCTAGACGAATCTTAATATTGCGCACTATAATCACTACAGGACCAGCTACAGATTTCCAAGACAAGAGAAAAGGCAAGAGAAAAGGTAACAGAACTCGATAATATAATCAGATACTGATTTCCATACCATATTCGTTTCTACAAATGGCGTCTTTTTGCATACCGCGCCAACGACATATTATATGCGGTAACCACTAGATTCGAGAATCTCGACACCGTATCTATGAGCAGCGACATGCAGAGCTACCGCTTTGATGTTGTTGCCTTTAAATGGCATGCGCTGAGCAATTTCAGTACTGTCGTTCTACAGTGTAATGAAACTTTATGTGGACCGCTGGCTAGCTACAGTATAGAGATGTCATTGTTGGGGCTTTCGAACTGTGCGGCATAAATACTAAGTATTCTTTAATGACTGCCATACGATAAATTACAACACAACTAATAATCATAACGCTAGTCGTTCTAACTGATTCTCACATCTCACATCTCCTTCTCCAGGTTACAAAGCTAACACTGTAGCAATCATCGCGAAGCTTTCCATAGAATTCGCTAAGAGTCTTGCAGTATCTCTCCGGGGCGCGTAACTGTCAAATAATCAGTGGCAGCTAGATGTGGTCCATTGCGCAATTGGTAAGCCATTATTCTTGCGCTACATCAATCGTTCCTTGTCGAGATTGCTCATGGATGATATACATAGGGTCTGGCATCTTTTCAAGTGCCGCCGATGAATACGGCTCTAAAAGCAAAGTGTGAAGATTAGGTGCCGGTATGTCGATTGGAAAATTACTCGAGTATATGCAAATTCTAAGCGGTGCTTGTCCTGAGAATATGATATATCAATGCTTGGGCCTAACTAGAAGTTCTACTGTGGACTACGGACGACGCATCATTGGATTTCTTCGCGCTGATTTCCAGATATATCATCAGAATCGTCGTTGTGGTAGTATTCTACATGGTAGTTAGTATATAATTATTCACCATCATATCATTATTTACTATTCAAGGGTGCGGTTTTATTAAGGTTATATATAAGTTTAACTTATATTTAGGTGTCCAAGGTGTTACATATATAGCTAAACCTTTGCTCATTCCTCTTGCAGAAAATGATTTTCATCTATGAAAATGTTTCCAAGTGGGATTTCATACTCGTAGTGTACCCCTATATCAAGCGATCCACACACCAATATATCATTTCATCTCAATCCCAGTAAATAATCATCTGATCTACATCCTAAAATTCTATATGACTCTCTTCCTATGACTCCAGGCGAATACTGGCTCAATGTTCTGTTATACTTTGGATTATCCAGGCTCCAAACGGATAATGATCAACTGATTTCTCCAAACACGCAATCTCCAAATACCCATACCCTCGCTTCCCTTCTTCCCTTCGCCTCCCATCCCCTCCTCATCAATCCCAGTAATGTAGTCAATAGTTAGCCATTTAGATCAATACTGAAGTTCAACTTGCAATCGGTTTAGTTTGCATGATTTCAATTGCCAGTCAAACCATAATCTTTCATAAAGAATCAACCAATAATTGATTAGTTTGTATAATTCCAATTGTCAATTGAACTACGACTTCTTAAACTGCTTGTCTCCCAATTGATTCAAACTACTGACTACACTGAATCTCGGAACCATCATAATCATGTAACCCTTTCCGTCTCCTCTCTCATCCCTAACCCCCTAAGTCCCTAAGCCCCTAAACCATCTACATTGTATCATGATCGACCCATAGTACCATACATACATAGTATACATATTCCACTTCCTCCCACCCCCAATGCTAAAATTGCACTGCATCGCCTACATAACCCTACATAACCATACATATACCTCAATTCCAACTTCCAGCTATCGAAACCAAAAATAAAATCAAAATCAACTACTGGTACAAGATTATAAAGCCAAGCCAAGCCAAAAGAAGAGTGAATAACGAGTCATGACGTCGTGTATACCCATTTCTAGCCTCGAATGAATGAATTAGCTGTACTTGTATTGCGTGCGGCTTGGATGATATAATGTACTGTGTTATCATTATTGATGAGCTAGCATGCTAATGCTTATAGACAAATGTACAGTAATCATTTAGGGATACATGCGGAAGAAAGCGAAAATAGAGAATATTGTGTTTAAGGCGGGAAAGCTTAAGGAGTGAAGAATAGTCTGAGTCTGTTTATCTTTAGATTTTAGCACAATAAATACGTACGAATCAATATGGTTTGCACTCACTCAATGCACCGAAAACACAATAAATACCTCTATGATTCTCACATTTCTTTTATTCAAGTTATTATTATAGCCTGGACTATCACCAGTATTAAATTATCTCTAAAAATAAATAGACAAATAACCAGGTTAATCTACCCATGATCTCTACACACCAACACCTAAAGTTTAACCACCATATATCACACAACTCATAAATTAATATCATGTTCCTTAATCCAGCCTGTTCTGTTCCCTTCCCTTCCCTCATGCACAGTTATTGAGATCCTCCTCGCAATAAACTGTTTGCAATTGTATCGTATAGCAACCACTTGGAATTGTTGCGCGTGCGGTAGTGTAAATACACCGATGTCGCCGGGTTTATAATCCGCTTTTGCTAAACAAGCTGATTCCACATTTGTTTCTGTATCGCACTTGCCCAAGATTAAAATAATTCGATCAGGGCTCAACAACAAGATAGTATAGCAACACCCAACCCACCTCACCCCCAAAAGAAACTCAACCAAGCTACCATAAAACCTCCCCGCCCATCAACCAAAAGACCTCCCATCTCATCAAGACTATACCCCATCTGCGGCAGCGCCCTCACATCGAGCGTAACCCAGCTCCATAGATGAAATAGGCGGGGAGAGCGTCGTTAGAACGATCCATGCCGATGAAAGAGAGGACGCCGTTAGTGATATTTCCGCCTACAGGAAGGGTTTGCAGGGGTTGGAGACCGGCTATGAGAGTGCCGGAATGTGTTCCTACGGAGCCAAAGTGTTTGTTGTTGTAGGGTTGTAGGTGGATCTAGAGAGGGGAGGAGGGTGTGCGGGAAATTTATGGTTGTGGTGTGCGGGAATGTTTAGGTGAGTGATTTCATTTAAATCGGAATGTAGAATTGATGGAGACTAAAGAAGACCCGAAAAGAATCGAAAGATAGTAAACATACGTATTCCATGAACAACATCGCAAACCACCATATCACAACACTTGCAGCAAAACAATCAACCAGAAATATACCCGTATCCCATCCTATCACATCCCATCCCCATTCCCATCTCCAAGGACCTGCTCAATTTCCCACAATTCAGCACCTATACCTATATCCCCAACGCCAAGCCCGCTATCCACATCGTAAATACGTATATAAATACTTCGCTTCATCTCCTTGCTACGAACGTATCAAGAAATTTCATACATACATCCATACATCCATGTGCCCATTAACAAGACATTAACAAGAGTACCCTACCCTACTACCCTCACCTCACCCCATCAACACAAATCCAATCCAATCCAACATTCAATCAACAACAGTTCAGTTCACCGGGACATCAGCCGAAACTCAGGTAGGTCCATGAATCTATCTACCCATCTATATACCCACCCAGCAATTATCAACAATGCAAGAAGCTCACTTGAGCGTTAAATTTGGGACGTTGAAGAAATACTCGTATGTACCGTACTCACTTGTATTAGATTAAGGATGCCAAGACTTTGGTGCTTTGCCGATGTTGTGATAGGTTAGATAGATTCTAGATTTTTGGATAGAAAAAATGAGGATTAATTTACATGTGAGATGTGAGATTGAAAGAGAAGTACTGTGGTATTAATGAACAGGAATCCCCTACCCTTCCTTGACTTCTCCCATCTATAGAAACTTACAACATGTCATCGCCTCTAACGTTACAAGTGCTATACGCTCATCCATCACGTTGCCGTCAATCCAACGGCACTAAATCGAGTTTAATATTCCAGCCAACTCTATTTTAACCCATTGAACCATATTCAACCCATCGAACCATATCTTCCAAACACCAAACACTCCCATCCACCCCCGCATCCATCCATCCCTCATCCCTCCATCCACCCCCAAAACTTACACTTCCCAATAACTAATTCCTCGAAACCCAAGAATCACAATCCATCCCACCATTCCACCATCCCCCCCACCAAACCCCCACCCCGCTACTCCCACCAACAAACAAACAAATAAACAAACAAACAAATAAACAAACAAACAAAACAAAAGAAGCCGAGCCGACTAGAGTCACTAGACCCGCAACCCACACACGCAAAATGAAACCATTCTTCTCTCCAGAAACCCATGAAAGTACTCGTACAGTATATTCAATTTTCAATTCTAATTTTAATTTTGATTCCACACCAACCTATTACTTAACCCCTTCCTTAACCCCTCCTACTCCCCCTTCCGAGTCCCCAGCCATGTACCAAGATTCTACTCAAGACACTCTTCCTATTCCAGACACTCTTCTTATTCCAGAGAGGCCAGACCAGAGCAAAGCAGAACGACGGATCCATCGGCTGGGGTAGAAAGAAGAGAACGTTACCACTAGGCAGCTCCCAGCTCCCATACCAATCATTCTTTCATTTAATTATTTCAAGAAGCTGACTGACTGCGAAAGATAGAACACACATCTCAATCTCAGCACTAGAAGAAATACATACGCCAACCAACACACGACGAAGATCGATTTGAATTTTTTTATTAGGACGTCGTCGCTTGATTATCTGGTTATTTAATCTCCATAATATACACCAGGGAGCTATCTCCTAAAACAATGTGCGTTACCGATGACTAAGTATTGAGCCGCTGGTATGTCAGAGCATTTTTTTCACTCAATCGACACCAAACTTCTAGTGTTGATGTCCATTATTCTCGAATCTTCTCATTGACACATATTCCACCGTCCATGCAATTGAAAAATTACTCCCCCATACCGTCCCTCCCTCATAAACGCCCCGGTGTGGAGCACACCATAATATAAGCCAAGCCAGATGAAAATCATATAGACCACCATAGCACCAAGTACCCAACCTGTAGATGATGCCAATATCGAAACTCCTTAAACAGCAAGGCGACCTTGAGTTGACTCAAGGGAAATGATAGACCGGAATTGCGCTATTCACTCCCACGTGTGGGTACAAAAGACTATAGGAATATGCCCACCCATCTATCTTTATTTTTGACGTGCGATTGACAGTCCTCAACCGAGCAAAGGATGTTCTTGGGGCCACGGTAATGGGGTATGCCGCTGCGGAAGGAGGATATCTTGTCGTTCGAGCGATTTTGAAAACATTTGTTACAGAAGACCTGATTTATATTAGTAATTTACTGACTGTAAAGATGGAGTACATAAAATTTACATGGCCACAATCCTTAACGACCCAGAAAGGATGCTCTTCTCTATCTTTTCTGCTAGGTGCCGCACGAGGTTTCTTTGCCATTGGCTCCTCACCATCCTTTCTGTGAATTAATTCTTCTTCGCAGCTTGGACATATAGCAATATCAGACTCTGTAGGTGACCTTGTGAATCCATCTTTGACTGGTAGAGGTGCAACATGTTCAGGTTTATGCTCTTGCAACGCCACTCGTCCATAATCCATACCATTTGGCATAGCTGGAAAGTCTCCCCCATACAAATGAACCCCTACATGATCGTCTACTCCCAGATTGGCTCGGCCAAGACCCATAAAATCATGAATGTCCATGATGATGTCGGCACCGTTCTCGTAATAAGCCCTCAAACCACCAATGGCACGTCCTGGAGGTGGTATTGGTGACTCCCTGACAGTGCCATAACCGCCTCGAAGATGATGCGGGGTATCCCTTCCTCCTGGTGGTCGTGCTGGTTGCTCCCCCATTCGATTAAGAATTCCAAATTGAAGAGGCACGGCTGGTAGTCGTTGTGCACGGGACGACGGTAGGGGCACAGATCGTTCTCGAGCAAAAGTAACAATAGTATCGTCGTCATCATCTGCCGTAAGGTCCACCACCTGTTCTAATCTTGCTTCACTCCTCCCTAATCTCGGCGGTGGTCTTGGGGAAGCATGCATACGATTTGCGCGACGGGGTGGGGCTTGGGGCGAGGGGGCATCATCTTGGTCGGATGTAAGATCGATAACGAATTCTGAGCGGCGTTGTATAGGCGGGCGTTGTATAGGCGCAGGCCGTGAGTTTGCTTCCATTTCTGGTGATGCTCGTAACGATTGTGAAGTTAGGTTAGATTGTCCAGATGGATTATGGGGATGTGATGTGCGTCGTCGCTCATGGGAATTTAAAATAGTGGCGGTATGACTTGTGAATGATGGGATTCTTGAAGAAGAGCTACCGAAGTTCGAGGGTCTTTCACGAAACATTACAGGTGAAGAAGATGGAGGTCTTAAATGTGACTGGGACATTTCCGTAAGGGATCGCTGTATGAAAAGGAATAATTTGTTAGTAAAGAAATAACCAAATAGTATTCTTTTTCTTCACAGAAGAAAGAAGGTGAAAATTGGCACTTACCTTACGACTCTCCCGAGTTCTTGACCATTCGTTCTCCATGACCAAAGGAAATTCACCAGTGGCGGCACCCCCGAGTTTTTGATTGTGTGAATAGAAAGAAAATTGTAAGAACTCTTATCAAAGCTCCAATATCAACAGGATCGTTTTCCTAACAGATCAATATATAAAATTCATTGCTTTTGTGGTGGGGAATTGTGTGTTGTGTTGTATTTATTGTGTTGTGTGTGGGAAGTTGTTTTGTCGGAGCCCCAAATTGGTATGAACGACGATGTGAACTTCATGAACCGATATTGTATGAGTAAGCAACCGAGACAAGTCGAACTTTCTTTGGTACAAATACGGTACAGTATGATAAATTGCAAACAAAATATGATTTCTCAAAGAACAAATTTTTTAAATCTTTGTTCTTCTCCTCTTCAAGTAAAGTTTAAAGTTGTTAAAATATCAATAATAATAATAATACTCCTATCCTAATCCATGTTCAATGTTCAATGTTCAATGTCCAACCTCGGAAGACCCTCCAACAATATTCACTTTGCAGTATGTATAAACCCAATCAGTGCAGTGCAATAGTGAACAAGAACTTAGTATTATTACTTGAGTATACAGTTTTCAGGTTGTATCCTTATCACTTCTTGAAGTAGGTATTACTATCATTTTTTCACTTCCATTACTCATTACCTGCAGGTTCCCATGTATGTTCAATTCCAAACTTTATTTCAGCTCAGCATGTGCCACCAATATTGTTTCATTTTGGGCATCACAAAGCTGCTTCTCCCCTAGTATTACAGTAATGTGTGAAAAGAAAAGGACTGTCCAGATTTCTTATCCTTTTCACATCTTTAAGCGACCAAACTCCATATGATATTCACATCCCATCTCCATTGTTCTCGAAAAACCCCATCATGCAGTCGGTACACCGAGGACTGTTACAACCCCATCACTATTGACAGTGATCAAACTCTTCGCCTCGTCACCCCACTGAACTGCAGTTGCCGGAACAGCTAAGCTCAAAGCATCCGACCAGGATTTCGTAGATTTGGTGTATTGGGAGATGGTAAGTCCTCTTGGTCCAGAAGCTGCCAAAAATTGACCAGTGTAATCCCATCGGATAGCATCAACCGGTCCCCCAATCTCCAAGACCTTTGCTTCCGCAGCCTTTCCTTCCTTTCTGATGTCAAATATTATAACACTGGTAGATCCTTTGGCAACCGCCGCAAACCATATGCCGTTCTCGGAAAAGGCGACATCCTGCACGGGCCCATCTATCTCGAAATTTACACCAGCACTTTCTCCCGTTTTCACATGGAACAACTTGATTTGGCCATCGGCGCCGCCAGCTGCAAAGAGATGGCCATCTGGATGGAAAGCTGCGGTTTTGAGTTCTATCCGGCGTTAGTAAGGCCTCCACTAGATAAATTATTTGAAAAGCCACATACCTGAATCTGCATAGATCTGTGCGATCGCCGTCTTCTCAGCCAAGTCATAGAATACGAAGCTCTTATCGACACCAACAGAAGCTAGAATTTCGCCGCTTGGGTGTAATGCGAGAGCATTGACCGCACCAGCATGCGATGTAAATGTGTGCTCTTCGTCTCCAAACACCTTTACAGCCCCCTTTGCAGTAGAAACAATAGGGGTATTGCCATAGAAAGCGGCTCCTGTAACGGGACCTCCAGCTTTAAATAACTTTGTGATCTTTTGTTCCGCCAAAGAATAAACACCAGCACCCCCCTTCGTTCCACCAACAATTAATTGACCTTCGTTCTGGGCGAGTGAAATGCATCCAGGGTATAGTGGTTCCGAAGTAGAAGTGATCGAAAATTGTCCAATATCATCAGTGGTAGCCCATCCCTTTGGAACAGGGCGCTTTCGACGGCTTTTTGAAAGTCTGTAAGCTAGTTAGCAATTGTTCTCACGTCCCAAATTTCGTCAAGGCTCGTACTCCGCTTGTGTGGTATCAACTAGGTTCATCAGGTTTTCTGGGAGACCTTGAGTATCGACCTGCATGGCGTCGCCATTTCCTGAACTTCCAGCTCCAATTGAAACCTTGCTCAACGCATCTCTAGCCTCATCTCTCTCCTTCGTCAGCCGCGCAATAACCCTCACAGCCGCATCATGCTGATACAACGCTGTTGACAATTCCTGTCGCGTCTGATGTAATTGCTGTCGTATAGTGAAGCTTTCCAGCGCTAATGCATCCCATTCATTCTGGAAGGTGGAAAGGAGGGAAGGAATCGACGTGAGAGTCGGAGGTCGCGGAGTGACAATTTTGGCGGATTTGAGGTCGATTAGATCTGCGATCTCGAGGTCTTCTCCAGTGACTGGATCCTTATGGTTTTCCGAGATATATGATTCAATGAGTCGTTTCTCGAAAACGTTGCCTGAAACCTGTTACTTTCTTAAATCCATACGAGAGATATCATGTTTGCCCAGCTTACCTGATTTCGAGGAAGCAACAGGATGATGTGGGGCTTCTCCAGATACTGTAAAAAGTCAGTCGCAAGTTCAAAATCCAATATTTGAGCTTCCAAAACTTACTTGAGCACAACATGTTGATTTACGTTGATATGGGATTTGAAGCTCGAAACTCGCGCGATGACCCGACAAAAAGATATTTTGAGGTCGCGACCAATCGCATATGCGCTAAACCTTTTTTGATTTAGTTCATGTGTCGAAGCTCCCGGTGCCGGCCTTGTGGGGACTTCATGTTCGTTCGTCCGTGATTTCATACATATAAATATAATACTAAGTAAGGTAGGACCTTTTTATCTTACAATGTAGATATATCTACTAATACTAGTAGATATACTTATTCATCAGATCTTCTTCTCATTTCTCAAGTACTTCTTTTATCAAAATATCAGGAACAATGTATCCCATACCTCCCATTGCTAGAGTCCCCTCCCTATCCACCATTGAACGATCCAGCATCCTCGATGCCCTATTCGAGCCATGTACTGCTTTCCACACCCTCTCTATGGATCTACTCCATACCAAAACATTCGAGTCTTACAATGATCTTATCTCAAGTGTTGGTGTCCAACTCATTGAATTATCAGAAAGTCCATTACCAAGTGACAGAGAATGGTTAGACAAAATTCTTGGTTCTCATCCTAGATTAGGCGAGAAGAAAGTAGACAGTCTTCAATCAATAGCTGAACAAGCTCAATTGAATACTGGACCTACTGAAGAAGCTGAGAAGTTGATGGCTTTGAATGAGGAATATGAGAAGACTTTCCCGGGTTTAAGATATGTGTATGGATGTGCCTATCTCTTATAACAGATAAGTAAGTGCTAATCATGATGTTAGTGTTTTCGTGAATGGGAGATCGAGACCTGTTATTTTTGAGAACATGCGAAGAAGAATATCTAGGGATGATATTGACCTTGAGAGAAAAGAGGCTATCCAGGTAAGATGCTGCATTCAAACTTCTAAAAACTAATTGTGCTAACTCCAATGAATGTAGGCGATGTGTGATATTGCAGCAGATCGCGCCACAAAACTCCAGGCTTTCAAAGTAGTATAGTAAAGCTTCTAAATCTGAGACCCGCTTGCCATATTTTGGCATTTTTGTGGTTGATCATGAACACCTCCCCATACATATACCTCAACCTCATCAAGTGCCAAAACGTCGACCAATTCCTCAGAGGTTCAGGATAGTTTCCGATCTTAGTGTCAGAGGTCGAGCTCGTCTACACGCATGGGTAGCTCCCAGTTTATTCTTATTCTCTCTCGAGATGCCCGTTATAGTCCACGAAATCCCATCTATGAACCCTCAACCTCTACAAAATAGCTATCATGCTATTTCTCCTCTTCCCTCAGCATTTCCACAATACTCTTCCGACGACGGACTTGACAACCGATTTTGCATATCCTCCGGCGAACGCCCATCAAGTCTATCAAGGTATTCATAATCATCTCCATCGCCAACCAAAGGGCACATCACATTGAAATCACTATAAATTTCCCGCTCACCCTCACCCTCTTCCTTCTTCATAAGCATCTCATTCTCCAAGTCCAACGCGTCATAATCCGATCTCCCAAGTGGGCTCGATGGCAACGCAAAATTCATTCCACCTCTTATTTTGATTCTGTATCCTCGTCACCATCCCCCTCAAATGACCATCGAATCCCAATCCCACCCTCTCTCCAATCTCCCTCCTCCCCTCGCACCCTCATCCTCATAACCTCCCTCACCCCATCCATCTGCAACCTCACCCTATTCAAAATCTCCACCTTCCTCAAGCCCATCCCTCAAATTCCCATTCCCATGCCCCTGTCCCCCCAACCTCTTTCTTCCCCCAAAACCACATTCTTCACACCACCCCCCGATTCACAATATTACTCGCTGGAACCGAAAACAGCCAACTCAATCGCGATGTAACAAGATATAGACGCAACCTCCTCTTTTTCCGTCTCTCGTTCCCAGCACTTCCATCTCCATCTCCATCTGAGAGAGGACATGGCCCTAGACATCTATATCCCCACCCCTGTCGCTGATTTGATCTGATTATGAGGTATAGATATAATGATTTACTGACTTATACTCGAGTAGACTTACTATCGGTACGATATGGTATGATATAGTATGTATATACAGTATATAGATAGGTAATACATACGTATACTAAACAAACATATATGAGTGAAGAGTCTTGATACCATTCCCTCATCACCAAGAACAACATACGAATAACTACCATACTCGAGGACATACAAAATAAAAGGGCAGAAAATCTAGAACAGCACACTTTGTTTCATTCGCTTGCATTGGATACCTACTGTGTAGTATGTAATCTGTATAATCTAAGCGACTCTCCTTTCCTCTTTACTCTTTCTTCCTCTTTCTTACTCTCCTTATATTCTTACTTACTCTTACTCTTACTCTTACTCGTACTCTTACTCTTACTCGTACTCTTACTCGTACTCATATACTCACTCATATATACTACCCAAGATAGTCGATCAAATCCATCAAATCCATCAATCATCAGCTCAACAAGCATACCCACCACCAATCCTTAGCTCTCTCCCCTCACTCCCTCACTCCCTCACTCCCTCACTCCATCCTCCCCTCCCACAAACCACCTCATCTATAAACCAAGCCTTTCCACTCCAGACTCCAAAACAAGCCTTCTTTCCTCTCCTCTCCTCTCCTCCCCTCAATTTCTTCACCTGAAACATATCTCTTCTCATTTCATTTCTTTTCTTTTCTTTTCTTTTCTTTTCTTTTCTTTTCTTTTCTTTTCTTTTCTTTTCTTTTCCCCTCATTTTCTTTCTTTTCTTCCTCTTCTTCCTTCTTCCTTCTTCCCATTTCTTTTCTTTCTTTTCTGTTCTTACCCCTCCCACACCTCTTACCCTCCCATCTCACACATCATCTATCCCACGCATCCCACGAATCCCACACATGCAATCAAAATCCCCAGTTTTCATCCCGTTCATCCCATTCATCCCATTCATCCCATAGTAACCATACATGCCATACCCATCGTACACACCGTCGTAAGTCGTACATGCAAAATACGGGGTCTAATAGCCTAACACTACTCCGTAAACACTACCCAAAATCTTGGTGCGTTTGATTGTTCTAGAATCTAGAGTGAGCTTGAGTTTAAACTTGAGTTTGAGTTTGAGTTTGAGTTTTGAGTTTTGAGGTTATTTGTAAGGATCATAACTTATCATCACTTGTAGATTCTAATAAGTCAGTCCAGTCCAGTCCAATCGAGCGCTCTCCGAGTGACCCAAGCAATTCCAAGAGAAGGAAAAATAAATGAATTTCTTTTATCAGACCATTAGGGTAACCTTATGTACTCAAGTACTCGAGTATATGTATTATATATATTTTATTAGATGCGAATTTCTGGGAGACCGAAACCAAAACCAAAACCTAGATCTTAGTATTCAACCAGACGAGACTGGCCTATGGACCGGTGGAAAGTCTAGACCCAGACGAGTCTCTCGAGGAACTTACACTTGCATATGCCACACCACATGCTTGCACATTGTATTGAGAATTAGGACCGAGAAATAGGTATGAGAGATGTTAAACTTTTTTTCATTATAAGATCTTATTTTTTCCCCTCTCTAGACGCTAATAGTTTTGAAAACATTAAAGTTCTCACCCGTTCCCACCAACGCCCCTGGAATCTGTGGGTGCCAATGAGCTTCCTTGACCTTAGCCATGTAATGCACAAACAACAATTGAGGAGGTACATCATTGACACCACCGGTATCCTTACTCTCCTCGTCATCCAATTCTACCGCCAAATCCCATAGAGTCAATGTATCATCGGCGGCAGCTACAGCTACAATACTATCATCTGTAGGATGCCATTCCACGCTGGTAATTTGTTCTTTGTGGAAGTTGAAGCTGGCCACGGGTGTGGGTTTTGAAGGTAAAGAATTGTTGCTGGGCTTCCAGTTTCGGAGATCCCAGACGGCCCAGACTCCATCGTCGGCGCCGGAGGCGAGGAGATGAGATGTTTGGTGTGACCAAGACATGACATTGACGTCTGTATCACTAACTTGGACTGTGAGAGCTGCGGTTCTACTTTTACTTCGTACATCCCATACTCTGATTGTACCATCGCTGGATGCGGATGCGAAGACGTTCTTCTCCGAAGGACTCCACTGTAATTCCTCGATACTTCCAGTATGGCCCGTGAAGGGGCGCGAGTCGACTGCCCAGCCTTCTCCGGCAGTTCTTGTAGTGACATAAATTTTCCCATCATTGTCTCCTGTTACCAATTTTCCGGTAGATATCAAGGGAGACCAGTCAAGTGCATAGCCTTCCGATTTGTGCATTCGAAGAATTGATAGAGCTTTATTTTGTTGTGTAGTAATAACAGTACCGGGGGTATCAAAAGAGGATAGATGAGGAGTAACATCGTGAATGAGAACTTGACCCGATTCACTCATTGAAGCAGTCAGAGTAGTGGGAGGTCGCGATGAATCAGACGCAGGTGTTTGATGTGAACGTATTCTGTTTGTCGCAGCAGTGAGGGGTATCGAAGTCGATTCGAGTATAGGATCCGAGTCTTCATCTTCATCTTCGTCCGATTCCTCTTCGCCCTGCTCCCGCTCCATTCTACTCAATCCACTGAACTTCATAACCATCAGTTGATTTTCCTTTTCTCGTTTGCTTTCGGCCTGGGTTCCTGCGACTGCATACATAGTAGCAGGGTATGTTTTTCGGTTGTCGCCCAAACCATCCTTGAGTATATCGAAAGAAAGACAAGGCCATGGGGTACTCAGAGCGTGAAGCATTTCGTATGTAGAAAGATCAGGGGATAATGTCTGCCCCGGTTCCAGCTTATTCCTACCAACTATGAAGGTCTGTTGATCAACTTCCATGGCCTCTGTAATGATATTAGCAAGATTCCCACACATGCGCAATCGTAATAGCTTCATATCCGCTTCCACTAACCTGCTTCTTCAGCTTCCCTCTCAGCATCAGGTCTCCCATCAACGCCTGCCTCTAAGATCTCATCTTCACTCTCGTACTCGTCCTCAAATTCGTCTTCGAATTCTCCCACCCCATCATCTAACTCTGCTTTTTGTGGTCTCTCTCCTGCCTTCAACGACAGGTCATTGTGCTCATCTTCAGCTGGGCGTTTCGACATTTTGAGTTATGATGTTTATCGTAGACAATTTGCCCTCAGAAAAAATATTGAGATTGTGGGGGGATTTTCTTATCGATAATCACAATCGCAATTCCATCTCAAAATATATTATTTAGCGTCGGCAAATCTAAATTCCGACTAATTTCCATGAACAACCTTGAGTCGAGGCCCATCAACATCAAAATTCGAATGTAGTCACCAAGATGTTGTACGAGCTCGTCGCAATTGTAAGTCCCCTCGCCCTTATACCTCCCCCTCCTAGACAATAAAACCTATAATCTAACCCGCCCTCCAGGTTCGACCCAACAACCTCGTCGAGGTCAAAGAGTAAACTGCCTCTTCCCTTTCCCCTCCTGCCCCCTCAATCATCGAGATTGAACTAATTCCTTCTTCCCCGCACACAGAATTGCCCGCACAGCAGGAACACTCATTCTCAAATCCGGCGGGACCATCCGTGGTATGCGCAACTGGGGCGTATCGAGTCTACCCAAGCGAACGCGCAAACATCAAGCACAATACCATGAAGGTCATTACTTTGTCATGAGATACGACGCCGCGAGCCGGACACAAGATATGGTACGGACGATTCTTGGAACAGATCCACGGATGATCAAGTTTAGTTCGGTGAAGTTGGGAGATGGCACATTGGAGAGTTTGAGTAAATTTGGATCAATCATTCCTTGGACAATGGAAGAACATGTGAAGGAGGCATGAGTGAATGGCATGATACCATTTGTATGTTATATTACTCGGCGTCAGAAGGGAAATGCAGTCAACATTTACATGTCAGGGTATGGAGGTTGAATCTAAATCAAGGTTGTTGAGGGTTTGTGGAATTTCCTCCTCACTTGCTTGTATGGTGTCTGAACGCCAGTCTGCTACCTAGAACGCCGTGCGCAACCTGGAATATGCTTCTCTGAAGGGAGAAAAAAATGAAAATGTGTCGCTTGTAGAGCTTTAACGTGCCTTCTCAATCAGTCTCCATCGTCTCTCCAACTTCCGAATCGCCCCTAATCTCTTTCATCCGGGCAACAAATTCATCAATGACACTTGGCCATGCTCCATCCTCATTCCAGAAACTCAGACTTTCATCCTCCATTGTCTTCACATGAAATTGGTATGTTTGGTTCCACAAATCTTTGTTCACACTCTTCTTCCAGTGCTGTCCGAGGAATTCCAACCATAGCTTGATCCAATTCGTCGAGGCAGTCTTCCATTGCTTTCCTGGCGAGTTGAACAACAATTCCCAATACACACTGGCACCTTCTAACGAAAGAGCTTTCTGTCCCTTCTCACGAGCACAAACAAATGTGTGTTTATACACTCTCTTGAACAGCTCTACATCAGTCGACAATGATGTTACGGCCTTCGCAAGATATGTCTTTTGCTTTGGTACTGTATCAAGCCTTTTGAAAAATATTAGCCGCTGTGTGTAAATGTTGTCAGGGGGAAGTGTTACCCAAGTTTCTTCCATCCCTCAACAAAGCCCTCTTTAGACATCTCTCCTATCGATGGCACTTGAATAATTTCGCAAGGTATCAGAAATTCGACACCTTCGAGATTGATGCCCAAATCGTTACCGAAATACTTCATAGTGCCATCGACGCCAACCATATCGGCATCGTCACTGAAAGCTAAATTGCCAATGTTCAGCCTCGTCCGTATCAAAGTGATTTCGGGATAGATTGTCAATACATACTGCGGTAGCTTTCAAAAAGCCTCGTTAAAGACTCTTTTTCTCTTGACTGAGGAGGGGGGGCGGCATTGCCATTTGCTTGAAAGAAACTATTATAGTTGACATGTTAGTATGAACTGCAGAGTTTGAGCTGCCATATAAGCTGGTAAAATCTCTATTGTGAGCTCGACTATCGAGAATCAGAACCTGAGAAAGGAAATATGCCCGAGGTTTGTTGCCAGAGAATTGGGCTGCGATTAAAGGTAGATAATCACTTTTAAATCCAAACAGAACAGTGCGTTTATAAGATGAGCTGGCGATGGCAGTATGGGGTATCGATGGTTTTCGAGTGAAAGGAAGTCCTCTGGACCGGCAATCCCCCACCTCGCAGGCGCTATGTTTAGGGGACGCAGACAGCGCATGTCGATAGGTGCTCTGAAGTAATTTCGAATACTCGTATGTATATTTGCCTATTAAACTCCGTGTACAAGGACACTTTGGACTGTTCGCACACATCCCAAGCGCTTCCAAACGGCATCTCCGCAGCCCACCGCCAGATCGAATATCGAGGGAATTTGTCGAACTGCCATGGAAACCGGCAACTCGTCTTGTGCAGCTCACCAATATATGTATGTAGGAAGAGAAACTTGCGCTCACCTATCACATGCCGCATCTACTTTCCAGCTTGTCGATTTGAGAATCTGCGGGGCAAGATCTATCAGCGAGTGGTTCTCATTTTGGCAGGCTGGAGGAGCTTGAGGCAACAGTTACTTACTTTGGTAGCATTTCTTTCCGAAACACCAGTAATTTGCATGAGCTGATAAATTAAAGAGCGCTGCTGTGCAGTTGGAGGCATGTTGAAAGAGTTCACAGGTCACCAAAGATACCATAAATTTTGAGTTCGTCTATATGTCTATTAAAGGTCGGAAGGGTGATGGCGGGGTTGTTGATTTTGAGGACATGGGCTTTGGATCCGGTATTGGGTCCCGTCCCGCTGCGCGATAAATAAAGTTATGGATAATCCGGTGTTATCACAACCGAGCCGCCTCGTTTCAAGTAACTGCATATTAGTTAGTGCCTTAGGCGATATTTATTACATTTGACAAAAGGGGGAGATGTCCGATCTAAGATGGTAAGTCTTACTTCTTGAAGTATTGTATTGTATTGTATTACATTATGCAACGAATAGCCAAAATAAAGTCTTTTCTAAGCATGATCTCTCCTGCGGTCACATATCCAAAGTAATCTAAACATTGTTCATGTCAACAGGTAATAAATTAAATGATGTGGTATTAAGTATTCTGAATGAATATCACTGGCCTTCCATGGTGTCCACCACGTACCACGTACCTTTCCATTCCAAACAGTAGTTATGTATACAAGTAAAGTTGACGCTCCCAATAAATCAACCCCTAAAACGAATGCTGCTAATGGTATCTAAGTTAAGTCCTCAAAAGGATGCAATGAAAAGCAACCGCCATACATTCCCTCGCTATTCCCCAACCGGCATACTTTCGAGTTCTTCTTGCAACTGTTTCCAGTTATCTGCCTGAAGTTCCGAGTACTTGACACGTTCTTGTGCCCAATCTTGGTTTAGTCGACTGATGCTGTACTGTGTTGATTGGAAGTAAATGAGCTCATCTCTGATGCACTCTTTGATAAATATGCCTCGTGCATGTTGAGCTACAATGGATTCCTTGTCCTACGAATGGTTAGTTTTCGTTGGTTTGAATGAATGGATGACAATCTTACCTTGATAATCGCTTCTGTGACCTTCTCGATTTCTCCTGGCTTTACCATGTTTTCCGGCCTTGCTCGTATTGTGACAAGCTTGTTCTCGTTGTTCTCAATCCTGCGCTCTAAATATGGTATGTTGTCTTTATCATAGCGATCGCGGCGATCGAACATATCCCTCATGCTGACAAGAGCATCTCGCTGTCTCTTTAAGTCTTCTAAAACACCTTGGTCCCAGGCTTTTGCCTCATCTTCGAGAAGACTTTGGCTGTTGGAAAGATGTTTCGCAGTAGAATGAAGGCCCTCATTCAATAATGGTACTTCATTAGTATCAATAGCGTAGGTGTCTTGAGAGGCGTCAGTCAGCGATTGCAGACACAGCGCCATACGTAAATGATCTGCAGCAAGCCCTTCGTTGCGTTTTGCAAGACGATCCATAAGATTGCACATATTAACATAGGCATCCGCAGATCGTCGAATACCCGTTCGGGTCTGAGCGAAGAGATCGTTGAGAGTAAGAGGTAGAGAGTCTTCCAGTCCTGGGGGTAGTGGCCGTCCACCAAACTCCTCCTGGACAGATATAGTAGCCTGCTTTCGCCAAACAGCAAGCTCCTGATGCTAATTAGCCTATACTTAGTAACAGTGTATGAGCCTTAAAGAAGTGGGGGCTTACAGTTGGAACAGTCAGAAACATTATGACCAGCTGCTCTTGACTAAGAACGGGGTGCCTGACAAGCGCATTGGAAAAACGTGCTAATCCTCTTCTTCGCTTCTCCATAAATGAGCTTTCGGCAGCCAGATGGTTCCCGTTCACTAAAGAAACCCTTTTATTAACAGTGCATAATTCTCGGGCCGTTCAACATACCTGCGACTCTCTTGGGGGGTAGAAGGGGTATCTGTCTGAAAGGAAATCGCTTTTGTAAGCAATCTAACAACCAGACAAAATCACTATATCTTCTCACAACCTTGCTTCCTCTACGAATAGAAGAGACTTGATAATTATGATGTTGAAACAGAAACATTCCCTCTTTCTCAGCTAACAGGGTGACGACTATATTCTCTTCCACTCCGTTACTAGTCACACGACCACCGCCAAACGTGCGGACCGGTGGCGCAGGTTCTTCCGGTCGTTCCCCTTCTCCGCCATCGCCACCAAATCCACCGCTTCCGCCAACAGGAGGTGTTACTGAGCTGTTGAAATTTGAATTCGCGTCATAGGATCCCCATCCCCCACTTACAGGCTCTTGGGGGACACTTCTGGATTGTTGAGGTTGACTTCCATTCGATCCACCAGTAGAATTGGTTGTAAAATTACTTGAAGTTCTTACAGGTTCGCGTACTCCATTCGTCGGCGCCCCATTCGATCTAGGACTAGCATGATTATGACCTTTATGAAGAGCCGGGCTAGCCCACGGATCCGCTTCGGGGAATTCGAGGGAGTCCTTTCGTAACATTCGAGTTTGTTGAGGAGATAGTGACCGAGTTACAGATGATGGAGTTATAGGTCGTTGAGAAGGCTTCGTAGCTGGTTCATCTGGGATAGAAGACTCTAAATTCGAGGTTGATAAAGTTGTCAAGCCTGTAAGCTTGGGCACTGGGAGATCTGCGCATTTATCGGATTAGAACAAGCGAAATCAAATAAGAAAAAGCACTGACTTCTTCGTCGCTCATCTACGCCATCAAGTGTAACATCTTGAACGCCTTCTTCTTCCTGAGCCAAGCCAATCAATGCCAACAGTACATTGAACTCATTCCGTTCTAGATCTTTCTCTGCAGTAGGGGCAATAATTGTCAAAATCCAACTCGTCTTATCGGCATTTAAATTTGCAGCCTTTAAAAGCTTTGAGACACCGACCCTACTAAGCTTTCCATTGGAATTATTGCCATTCTTGAGCATATCATCAAAGATATCAATGTAACTCTCTGGCACGTCGGATGTCGGAAGGAGAGTTTTCAGCAAATCTCCCCGAGCTGCTTTCTTTGGCACTGATATATCCCATGGCGAACCTCCCGAGACATCGTCGTCATCTGCGAATAGCGAGGATTTGGATCCTGGGGTTGGACTTGGTTCGTCGTCGAAGAGAGATAATCGCGACTTAGAAGAGTTCGTTACTGCGATAGGCTCATCGATTTTTCCAAATAGAGACGACATTATGTCCCTACCGTTCTCTAGGATGTATATAAGTATGTACAGTAAGTCAAAATTGATTAATTCCGTGTCGTAACGTCGTTATCAGATGTGATTGTTTTGGAGATCATGGAAGCTTGGGAGCTCTAGACGCGGGAAAGCTTGGACATAGCTCACTCATGTAACCGCGCATAAGGGTCGGATTTAATTAGAAAATAGGTGGGACTATGGATCCCGGATCTAATCGAGTAATGACAGGAATCTTACTTAAATGGAGAGAATTCAATTGATATAAAGTTTTTGAGTAATTATGAATAATTGTATTATAAAGTCCATTGTAACATTACATACATACTTAGTAACTGTAACTTCTGGCATTTACCTCAATTCATACGTGTAGTAGGGATTAGGTAGTCACGTTTATACAGCCCTGGGATGAATGAAGTCGTCTAAAATGCGAACCCTTCAGTATTGCAGACGATATCATGCAAATGGCATTGATGCAAAATGTACAGAATCTTCATGACCAATATCAACAATCTTCAAGTCGGGGAAGTTTGAGGGAGGGGGGGGAGAAAAGGGGGTTATGCTTTCAAGGCTTAATTGAATAGATCATTTCTTGGCCACATCTAATCTCGCTGCAAGATATAGCTAGAAAAGGTTTGAGCCGGATCAGAATTTCAGATGATGATAAAAGTCAACCGCCTTGCTCTGTCTTGTTCTCGTTGAATCATAATATGATAAATCCGCAGAGTAATGGGCATATTTGCAAAGGCCCGGAATTACTCGACGCGACATGTTGTTCTTGAGGTTGACTTTTGTAGGTCTTTGGTCTACAGCATGATGTTCAGTCCCTAAGAAGCTGCAAAACTTTGCTTGATCCATCTTATAATACGATACAGCCGTTCCATACATGTAATATACAATGGCGCCATTTACCATATCCTGTTGTCCCTCGCCGCAGCAGCTGTACCTATCTTCTTCGACTTCTTTTTGAAGGTTCCAGTTCGAGGAGCTTTGAAGAACAAACTTGGTCCTTGACCCTCCTCCACTTGGTGACTCAAGTATCCCCTGTGCGCTGGGTCTCTGTAGTATTCGATATCTTTTCGACTTGTGGGATCAGGCAGGCGGTACGAAAATGGTGACGCGGCAGAAGCGGCTGAGAGGATTGGGGAATCGCTGGCCAACTGGGCGTCTACTGCTGAAAGTGGGACAGCACTGGAGACAGATGTGCCCGTCAAAAGTCTCTTGATCGCCGGTTTAGTGTAATATCTGGTTGTGACGGTGCCTCCAAGCGCCTCCACTGCCTCAATTGCCGTCGCCGAAGCTCGAGATACCAAAATATTGATTGGCGTCTTCAAATCCTCCTTTCCCCTAGCTAAGAGCTTTACACCATCCTTCACTCCATGTAAACATCGAGAATCTGCCAACTCCTTCAAAGTGATGGGACGTGTTGGATCGAGTCGGCCTTGGTCGATCCATTCTTGTATGCGATTTAAATTTATTGGAGACATATCAACAGAGAATCTGAGAAAATAGTTAGTCAAAGTTCGGCGGGAAGCCTTCTCAAAAAGAACTATGAGTGCCAATTGAGAATAAGAAGCTGGTAGATGCATACAAGTTCTCAAACCCCCTCACGCCATGGACAATGTGTTGTGGCGTTTGACCACCTTGAAATCGTGCCGGTACTTTTCCATGCTGGTTCTGACCTTTGTGACCACGTCCTGATGTCTTTCCCTTCCCTGCTGATGGACCTCGACCTCTTCGTATACGTTTATTATATGCCCCAGGATTATCCGACAAGTTTGTGAGAATCGAAGCGTTCCGGATTTGCATAAATGGTGCAAGGAATGCTGCCAAAGGAGACGCCAAAATTGGCGCTGAGCGACAAGCCGCAGTGAGTGCTGGTAATCGTGGAGGCATAATTTGTTGAAGGGTTGTGGTATCTAAATTATATAATATCGATATTGAGCCTCACTTAAGAGTTCTGAAGAATTTGTTGATTTGAATGCTGATTGGATATATAAATTCATGCTGCTTTAATATTTCTCTATCAGATTGAGTTGTTTCCCCGGGATATTATAGGTATTAATATCCCTGTAACAAGCCTGTAAATAGTGAGAGCTCCGTGATTTCAAGCTTCTTTCAGCGTAGTAGTTTTCCACTTTTAGTAGATAAGATCAGGGGCGAGAACCTTATCAGACCCCCCAGACCCAAACCCAAATCAATTACTTATATTCGAGAAAGGAATCGACAATTTCTCATCTCCATGATTTCTTATCTCCATGTTGTAACGCAGACTACATTGTACAAACGAACTACATTATACAACTAATGGCCTGTTCTATACTTTCACTATCTGAAATTCTTTTATGACCAACCATCCTTGTGCCAGTTAACATTCGGATGCGTACCTCAATTTTATAAAGGACAATATTCTTGAGAGAGTACCTCAACCGGCACCATGGGACTTGATCGCGGCCAGCGCCGTTTCTTCCTCTTCCTGGTCGTCACTGGCCTCATAATACTTTTCTTCAATCTTTCTATGCTCTCGGGTACAGATATGCGATCAAATTTGAAGAAGATTCCTATACCAGGTCTGAAAAATAAGCCGGACTCAGATGTCAGTCCTTTCTGCGCCTTCCACAAACTCTTCCCTGGACTTAGCTAACATTCTTTCATGTAGTCCTCAAAATCTTCCCCGTCGCATCAAGATCAAGAAGTGGTGGGTGACACTGCAGACCAACATCCTATAGCTGCTCTTATGAAAGAGGCAGATGAAGCCTTCCGAGTATATGACGAAAGCAGATCGAAAACATTTCAGGAAACCGTGGCAAAATATAGAAGGAAATATGGAAGGCATCCACCCCCAAAATTTAGGGAATGGTACAAATTTGCCCGAGATAGGAACGTTTACAATATCGACGATTTTGAGCAAGTCATGGATGATCTACGCCCATTCTGGGGAGTCGATCCCGCGATTATTCGATCTCAAGCGGCGCATCTCCATGCAATCGAACACGATGGCATTTCGGGAATTCACATACGATCTGGGAAAGTTTGGATGTTGAGCAACGAGAATTGGAGGGCAGAAACTATGGAAGAAATGATCAAACCCTACGTTAAACACTTGCCGGACATGGACATTGCTATGAATAGACTAGATCAACCGCGCGTAGCAGTACCATGGGATGATATGCAGGCCCTTCTTGCCAATGAAACGGCAAGTAGACTTATGCTGCCAGAGGCTGTGGCCGAATTTACCACAAATATGTCTGGATTATGGCAAAATGGGGCGTCATTATTCGAAGATGGGAAGACTGAGCCGCTTTTGAAAGATCCGGAGTGGTTCAGGGCCCCAGGACAACAATACATGTTAATCGCAAAAGAAGCCTGCCCTCCGGAGTCCCATGCGAGAGATCCAGAGCTTCAACAATCTACTGCAGAAGCCACGTACAAGAGTGCCGAGGGGGGCTTCATTACAAATTTTAATCTCTCCTCTGATCTTTGTACAATCGGCCCTGAAGTCCAGGACAAGCATGGGTTTCTGTACGCAAGTAGCACAGTAGTGGCTAGCAAGCTTCCGCTCCCTGTGTTTGGAGAGTGTAAAGTGAATATCAACAATGATATTTTGTTTCCCGCCAATAAGTACTACGATCTTGAAGATGTTCGATATACCTACGACCCGAAAGGTGATGTAAGTTGGGATGACAAAGTGGATAATATGGTTTGGAGGGGTGTCAGTTCTGGCGGGACAAATACAGCAGAGACTTGGAAGAACATGCATCGCCAAAGATTAGCTCTACTCACTAATGGCACGGTTATGCAAGATACGAATGTCAACATTATGGCCATGGATCCGGATAATGCTGGTGCATATAAACCATATGACCAATTCCAACCTGGTGAATTCGCCACGAAATACACAGATGTGGGTTTCACCGAGCCCTATTCCTGTGTACCAGACTGTGGTTTCTATGATAACGTATGGACCTACAAGTCAGCCGTAGAACTCACCGACCAATTCAAAAGAAAGTTCCTCATTGACGTTGACGGGCATTCATTTTCCGGGCGTTGGCATGCATTTCTCCAGAGCAAGAGTCTAGGCATTAAAAGTACCATCTTCAGGGAATGGCACGATAGTCGATTATTCGCATGGAGACATTTCGTCCCATTAGATAATCGATATGATGAATTATACAGTATTCTCACGTATTTCATCGGATTGGGAGATGCAGATTCGAAAGGAAAGGATGGAAAGCCTTATGTACAAAGACATGATTTCGAAGGGAGGAAATTGGGGAGACAGGGAAGAGAATGGGCGAAAAAGGTGCTGAGAAAGGAGGATATTGAGGTGAGATTCTAATCGTTCATCGATAGGTAAAACAAACGATGCTAACTCACACTCAAAACTAGATCTATACCTTCAGACTCCTAATCGAATACGCCCGTATAATCGACGATAACCGCGATAGGATAGGCTACTCGGGCGACGGCAGCGAGCTGGACAAATATGATAGTCAGAACCCGATTTCCGGCCAACATGGATGGGGTAATGAGTCAACTTAATGAGGGGTGTGATGTGATGTGATGGTCTTTGCATGAGCGTGGCGTTTGGGAATACTATACTCCTTTTCTTCTTATAGGCGGAGGGCAGCGGCTGGGGTTTTGATTTGATATACGACAAGTATTATATTGTATATGAATATAGAAATATATATATAAAGGAAAATAAAGTTGAATGATAGGCGATGAGTAATGGGTAATGAGCAAGTTTAATATATAATGCTCTCTCGTATCTTATCTCTCTTCTGCTTATACTCGAGTATTATATATTCATTATATTTAATTAATTATATATAATATAAATAAGAAAAAGAAGAAAGGGCTTGAGTGTGATTATTTTATTGATTATTGATTCGATGCATCGTACGTCGAGGTCCCTACTTGGAGATGTGATTCATCCTTCCGTCGCTCCCGATGTGGTGCCGTGTTTTTGGCAATGGTTTGGCGGTGCGATGGTTCAAGGTCATCCAATTCAGTCGCCTTTACCGTATAGTCTCATGGCTATAACTTCCATTCCAAGTTTTGGGGGTCAATTTCAGAAAAGCCGTTACCCCAGCAACAGCGTTTCCCGCAGCCCTTCAGGACGCAGTGGCAGCATCTTACTGACTTGCTCGATCAAGGTTACTCGGCGAAGAACATTTGTATTATGAGAGGCTCCGGAGGTGCAGGAATCGTGCTTACGGCACTCTTGTATCTTCGACGCCACGAGCTTGACTTACCTGGCTCCTCCCTCAGCGTTGCTACCGCCGTTCGTAGATCCCGTGGATGATTTCTCCGGGGATTCGCAGAAACTGAAATACAACATTTTAAACCCTGAAATTTTGAGCAGCGCGGCTTACCAGTACACGCAAACCGGACCAGATCTAAGATCTAGGTTACTTTCTCCTGCGAGGAATGATCTACCTAAAGGGTATACCTTCGCTGGTCTTCCGAAAATGATTGTTGATCATGGAGATACGGAGGTTTTTGCTTATGGAATTAGAAGATTTCTTGAGGCAGTCAAAAATTACGGCGTTCAGCTTGAAGTTATCAAGGCTCAAGGCAAGCTCGATTGTTATTCATTCGATGCGGAAGACGGGATTGCAAGCGGTATTTATGGAAAACTCGCATCGTGTATGGACGCCGATCAAGACACTTGATGATTGGAGATGCTATCGTGGAAGGGTAGTCAATGTAGTCAAGCCGCATTGTTTTCACCAGTCTTCCATTTTCCAAACGTGTGCGACTTACTGATTCTCGACACCACGAATATCGTATAGAGGTATGCTTTTAGCGCGATCAGGTCGGTATCATACCCCACTGCTGCCGCGTGCGATCGTTGGCTCTAATGCTTAACGTCGTTTGTGTCCATCAAGCGAAATTGCTTCTTCCATTGCAGCCGGTAGTGAAAGATGAAGGTTCTTGCACCGCGGCATTGCAAAAAAGCAGTGGATTAATGGAAGCACCTGACCGTGCATAACAAACTGCTTCGCGAAATGCCGATAATCAGCTAGTCTCTCTTCCGTGGTGGATTATAGCCAGAAGAATTCTTCGTGATCAGCCAGAAGCTTTGGATTTACTAGGAAATCTTTGTATTTCCCAAGTTCTACCACCGTCATGGTCTCGTTTTGAAACTAGAAACATTCTCGAGGCCTTCCAAAGGAACATAGTCAACACCTTTCTGGCAGCCTTTCTGAGGACTTTTGAAGCGTAATTTATGCGTCGAATATCTCAAAACAAATAATCTCGCTTCAACCTGTGAGAGACTATTAGCTATCGACAAACACTTCCTGCTGCACGAGTTCCTCGAGATCCTGGCTGCTCGAAGCCTTTGCCTTGGCTACCGCTGCTTGCTCCTCATCGGATCCAATTTCTAAGTCTGTTCAGCTCACATTTAGGAAAGACATCCCGGTAGCAGAGTCCTTAATTCCGCAGGGCTTTCGCATCCGTCTCGCGCGAGACATGTCCTCTGGGTCATCAAATATCCTTCCTCTCACTTCCGAAGATCAAGCTTGTCCCACATTACCAGGCCAATATAATATACCCTCGAAAAACCACAGATATATGTCTTCATATCTATGTGATTCATGTGATATATTTAACGTCAACGAGCGTTGATGTGGCGACGTGAAAACAGCCCAGATGGCAAAGTAAGCGAATGTGTCTGCCTGCAGCTAGCCCATCAAAATCGATAAGTAAAACCAACCGTCATGAGATATTTTCTGGGGCATAACATACTCCGACTGGTAAGTTTTGATCAGTCATACGATACCGTTGGTTTGGTTTGCCATCATTTTCCACGCATTCCCAGACTAAATGAATGTCACATGGGATAGAAGTATTTTAAGCTTCTTTCACGTGCCATCGACTCACGGAATGAAGCATGCTGGGAATTGAGCGCCATGTATTATACTCGTAATGGTGCCTTCTAACATGTAATATATATACAGTTGAGAAATAAGCGACATAGAAGCCCAATCCCGCCTATTCCTGTTGCTATTATCGCTACTATGAACTTTTGCCAACACCCTACCGCTAATATATCAACGCACTTGAAGAATCCACGGCACAGCCCAGAAGACGTGAAGATACCAAATGGATCGATATTCTTTTGGATCGCAATCAGACGCTGCTTGATCTCTTCACCATAGCCAGCGAAAACATCATCTCCTTTGTTCGCATAGTTGATGTAGACGAACGGATGCAAGACATTCAGTTCTTCAGCTGCCTGTTTGAAACTCGTCATGAAGCGACTCACTAGAGCATGTGCAGCTCTATCATCAGCATTGCTAGGCCAGGTTACTGAGAGAAGATTGACTGTATTATTATTAAAATACGGTCCCTTACATCGGATTGGGCAACACGCCCAAATCCTAGTTGGTTGAGGACTTACTGATGAGATGATCTTCGGCGTCTATGCCTAGAGCATTCCCTCCTCGAGACTTCATCCTTTCAATTGCTGTGGTGGGAATGGAGTATGTGATCATTGTCGAGAAGATATCAGTTGAGTCTCCAAGGAGCTGCATTTCTTCTTTTAGGAGCGCGATAGCTCGCTTGCCGAGCTCGACGGATGGGTAATGCGTCAAGGAGGCGAAGATGGCCCTGCAACAGTCAGTATTAGCATTCTCCGCTATCCTCGTATCTTCTATCTTCAGTTTGACGTATCTCGATTGTCCCAGCACTGGAATGTTCCCCGTTGAGTTTGCCAGGCTGCTGATAATTCCTGTGAGGTTCGCCACAGCCGGGATGGCATTCAAAGCGTTGTACACGGGCGGGTTCATAACAGGTTCAATATATCGTTGAGTGGTGGTGATGGTGCCGAAATTTTGTGCAGCAGAGAAAGAGTATTGGTACTCAAGAACTATGTTGGTGTCCTCGACATCCTCTAAGGTGAATATCTTCTCGGCCTCCTCAAGCACTTGTTCCGCATGTTCATCGGTAAAAGCGCGTGATCCTACATACACGGGGCCTTGGGGAAAGACGCTCACATTAAATGCCGTCACGATACCGAAGTTGTTGCCGCCGCCTCGGAGAGCATAGTATAGATCCGGATATTGGGTTTCTGAAAGAGTTGCAATGGTTGCGTTCGGAAGTACAATCTTGATCAGTTAGCAGGCAAGTATAATTGCGGATAGACAATCGTACCTCGTACTCTAGGATACTATCCAGGGCCCATCCGTGCTTTGCTGAGAGGACTGAAGTTCCCCCTCCAAGTGCGAATCCATCTATCCCGACTTGTCCTTGCCTTCCCCCAACGTGGGCCAACCCGTACGGATCAAGCGCAGCAAAAATTTGACGCGTCAACGCTCCGCCGCCCACGCGAGCACTAGTTTTGTCATTTGAGACCACTGTAGAACTCATGAGACCTAGGTCGATCGTAACTCCACCGACTGAGACTGAGTCATCTGGAAAGCGGGAGTGGCCACCGCACTTGACGGCAAATCTGCACTAGTTTTCCACGAGAACTTGCAAGACTTTAGAGACTTCTTCTGCGGCAGACATAGACAGTTTGTTGTTGTTTTTAGTCTCAGATAGTGAAAGTTTGTATCCGCTGCTTTGTAGTGTAGCCTTCCGGGTAATGCTGTCTCCAATGTTGCGCACTGCCTCTGTCAGTCTCGATCTTATTTGGGGCAGTCATTTTCCTTGACATACACCTTGCTGGCAGCTTCCTTCACTGGTTGCACCAGAAGTGAAATTCTCATCGGCCCTGGCATTGAGAAGGGTCGACAAGGCCAGCGGGCTCGCCAGGAGAATGAGACGTGTAAACCACATTGTTCTGGTAGGGGAAAGTAGAAAGATAGAACAAATTCTGCTTTAATGGCTATCTAGGCTATGCATCTCCCTTTATACCACCGTTCCGTGGTAGTATGGACCCTTCGATGGTGACTTTCTTCAGCCAAGATAATTAATATCGAGTCGGAGGTTGGAGATAATACATGAAAAATAACGAAACTGTACCCGATTAACCAAGACTTCGCTGCCAGTCTAATCGACGGCCCCATGTGCTCTATGTAGAAGCTGGTTGATTAGACAACATGAAGCATGGGACTTTATATTACTCGGGGGGGGCGGGGGGGTTGAAGAGACATAAACTCTATCAATCGATTATTAGAACGACCCATTCGGATAAAGGTTTCAATTCATCGATATCGACAAATAGAGTAGTCCTATTAGTCGATATCGATGGATGAGATATATCGACGAATGGGGTAGATCATATCTATATCATCAATACAATAGGATATAGGGTATAGGGTATAGGGTAGATCATCGTAGATAAAGGTATCGTAGGTATCACCGCTATCGAGGAGTCCGTAAGTAACTTAAGCTTGGAAGCGTAATGCGAGTTGATGACAGCTGCATCACACTATGCTCGATTCGGGCCGGATCCCCTGCATGACTTTTTATACCCCACTCTTAGCCTCTTAGGGTTCGAAAGTTTCGTGCGTGAGGCTAACAACCCTCGGGTTTACTATATTCAAAGGCAAGGCGCTCATGAGAAGTCAACTGGCTTATGCTAATTCCGACGTCTTAACAAAGCTATGTATATGTCATCTCCTTACCTGTCGGTATTATTGTCTATCTCGATCTTGGAGTCAGAGTACCCGTCTAATCTCGGCTAACTGAGCTTGGGCCCTTACCTCTTCAAGTTTGGTCAAGTTGTATAAAGAGACTGAAGCTAAATTCAATAAAATGGATTATCCAATCAACAAGTTTACAATCTTGTATTAGCGACTTGAAATAATAAAAACTTGTAGGAAAGGCTTACGCTCAGTTAGCTGAGATTAGACGGTAGTGTATGTGCTTCTAATGCCATGGGTAGTTCGGGAGGTAGAAGGATTTGATATCAAGAATTATTCACATGAAAGCCAGCCGTGTGTACAAAGCAGGGCACTTGAGCGGCAGATGTTACTGATGAAATCAAACAAAATCGTTTTTTCAGATATGCTATTCAGTGCTATTTGTGCGGACCCTGCGCTGAAAACTATCTCTAAACGGTCCCAAAGTTTCATGAATCTCGTATACAAAGCCCTGCACAACCCGTTCCTATGCGCCTTCATACCCGATGGGTTTAGAAGCAACAACAAATGCCATAGGGGAAGAAGCAGCAAGGAGGCCACCAGTTTTACCAGACAGTTTTGGATCCTCACCAATGAAGTCATTTGGGAACCCAACATGAAACGGCCTGACACTTTCCAAACTCTCAATTTGCTCCTTGGTCAGTCTAATCTTCAACGCTGAGATGTTATCCTGCAAATGCTCGATTTTCCTTACACCGACGAGAGGAAATACATTCGGTGCTTTTGCCATGACGTATGCAAAGGCGATTGCCGTTATAGACTCAGTGCCTTGTTCTGCTGCCACCTTCTCAAGAGCTGCACTCATCATCGCTTCATCTTCACTTTGCTCTGAGCCGAACATGCTTCGAAGACTTTCGCCTTTCTTTTTCCGCTCATCGATTTGCTTTTTGGTCTGGAATTTGCCACCACCGAGCACATCCCACAGTGCAAGAGCTATACCGAAATGTTGCGCTATAGGGATAATATCTCGCTCGAAATCGCGTAGCAAGACGTTCCAGCGGCCCTGGTAAACGCTGAATGGCGTCTTGCCGCTACCTTTGACGTAATAGTTGGCTGCGCTGGCAACCCATGCGGGGCTGTCAGAGATCCCCAGGTACAAAATCTTTCCTTGTTAAACGAGAATATGGAGACTGTCCATGATTTCTTCGATCGAGGTTGTATAGTCCCACCAGTGCAGATACAGAATATCGATCCAATCCGTTTGCAACCTTTTCAAGAAATCCCGGACGCTCACATGAAGACACCGTTTGTGATTCCCACAATGGCTCGGAGGTTTCCCCGCACCGAGTTCCCAGTATTTGTAGTCTGTAGTGAACTTGGTTGCAAGGACAATTTGGTCGCGATTCTTGCGCGCGGCCATCCATTCGCCGATCCAAGCCTCCGATTGCTCGTTTTGGTAGTTGTTGGCCGTATGAATTGAGTTTCCGCCGGCTTCAAAGTAAGCGTCGAGGAGTTTGAAGGACGCCTTTTTGTCCATGCTGCCCATGAAGGAGGACCAAGCTTCACCAATGGACATTGCACCGAGCTGGAGAGGAGAAACTCGAATGCCGCCTGCGGATGAGAGCACGCGAAAGCGCCCGGGTTCAGTCGGGGGTTCCGGAGCAACTGGCCACTGAGACATTTTGGAGATGCGGATTGGTATTCGTGAATTGGATGTGTTATAGTATGTGCGTGTCTGATAACGATGCAAGATCATAATTCCAAACCGATAAGCCAGTCCCTTAGAAATTCTCCAAGCTAGACTTCAGCACAGAGACAAAGGATTCTAGCTATCTGACTGAGGGATCGTCAACTAATTGTCATCACAGCAGAAATCTAGAAGATGTTCGCAAAGACTCAGGCCATCATCAGCTTGACGTTATACTTAGCCTGCCGTCTCACATACGAGCAAAAGATATGACTAAAGAGTACTCAACCGTTCACCATTGTAATTCTGACACCAGTCTGAGAGAACAGCTCCGGAAATTCCCTTACTGCTTTCAGGATTACATCACCCGTCAAGCCAACGCCGAACCTTCACTCTGGCTACTTCCGCTTGTCCAAGTAACGGTATCGACAATATCCCTACAGAGACATCTTTGCATATGGTCTCGGCACCTTCCTATCCTTGTTAACAAATCCACCACAAAATTCTTTGAAAATAGTCGGCTTCAAATCAGGATACAGTAATTCCCTTGCATCTAAATACCCAAGGTACTTTGCATACTCAGGTGTGTCATCCCCACGGACATACTTGCTGTACGAATACTGAGCGGACATGACCCTGAACCTGATCTGAATATTTGATGCGTCTTTGGCGAATAGCTCAGCTACTAGTAAAGCTTTAGATTAAGAAAGAAAGGTCTAAAAGAACCGTTTTATTATATCATATAGAATGTATGAGCTAGTGGACGGAAGAGAGCCGTCTGTTTTGTTACAAGTACTAGAGAATAGATCGAATAATATTATTATTAGTACTAGATTTAAAATATAGTTTATATAGAATTAAACTTATACTTCTATTCTAATTATATATATAAAAATTCTTTAACTTTTTTATAGATTCTGATAATACTATCTATAAAAGGAATAATAAAGAGATAAAGAATATAATTATTTTCTATCTAGCTTATTTCTAAAAGAGGATTAATAGATATAGTAAGTCAACTACCCCACTTTTCGGCCACCCAATAAAAAAAACTCTCTACCTCCCAAACTATATAACTCAATAATTATTCAATTAAAATAAAATCGCCTGTGCTATCACTTTCAATTGTATTATCGCTATCCTTTGTAATAATTCTATGATTCCCAGTTACAATTTGTGCCTCCCTAATAGCTTTAATTCTTGTAAACCTAGTATTTGGACTAATCACAACCTTACACCTTTTCTTAAATATAACTGCCGTCAATTGATATTCCAATTGCTTTATTCGTTTCTTTAATATTATAAGTGTATAATCCTTGATATCAAAAACCTTAATAATCTTTCAAAAATGCAACTATTTTGTTAGCAAATTAGGCTCTTTTTCTTGAATTATAGTCAATGTATATAATCGAAAATCAGATACTTTTTGAGAGGTTTTCTAAACAATAACGGATACTCCTATATTCTATTGAAACTGGGGATCATTATTAGATACTAGATTAATCAATAAAACCTTTTAATTACTGTTTTCAAACAGTAATCGATTTATAAAAGGTTTAGCGCAGTTTTTAGATTATAAACCCGATACTTTCTACCCCGTTTTGATATTATAGACTATTAGAGCTTCTGCTCTAACCTTCTGGTAACAATAAATAAAGCTATACTTTCCAATTGGTGTAGAATTAGAAAGAGAATTCAAATTATTAAATGTATATCGATAAGCATTTTTCAGAAATGAGAAAATTGATAAATCTAATGATTATAAAACATAGAATATATATAGTAATAGGAATAAAAAATATATATTATATTCGAAACATTTGTATATAAAAGGTATAGTGTAACGGAACAGACGGCTCTCTTCCGCCTACTGGCTTATACTACGTATATAGTATAATACAACGGCTCTCTTAAACCTTTCTTTCACAGTTTAAAGCCTTAACTCTATAGCTCTAGACCTAGGCATCTTACGCCTAGGACTCTTTCACTCTTTTGGGCTTAGCTCTTATAACTCCCAATACCTGTATATATAGTCCTCCTTTTAGTACCCTATATAGCTCTTCACTTATAAATTCTAAATATATAATCGAAATCCTGTTTATACCCTTTTGATCACATTATCTACAAGTCAATTTTATAGCTACAATTAAGGATAATCGTTAAATCTCTTCAAATCTTTTTCTCAAAACTAATATTAATTACATTAATACTATCTAGAAATAAAGAATTTGCATCAATCAATAATCTCAGATTTCTATTAATAAATTAACAACACAATAATTTCTTTAAAAAAGAAAGATTAAGGTATTACTCCTGGTTTTAGTAATAACAAAAACTAATATAACTCCCTTAGCTATAAATATAGTATTATTAGCATTCCTTTTAACTTTCCAAAAACTTCTAATATCTTTTATTATTCCCTATCTCCTCTTCCCAATTCATTACTTAATAACAATCTTTATTCTTCTCCTTTAATAAAAAAGAAATAGGAAATTATTATAGTAAATCCTGAAAAACAATTAGAGTTTTACCCTTTTTTGTCTTTTTCCTTTATTCGATTTAGATCCTTTATTTTAGACATTTCTATATTTGCTAAGAATCAAATTGAAGTCAGGAATCTAATCCTTATTCTATAGGAAATAGAACTATGATTAATAGAAAAAGATACTCTATCCACCCCTATTTATAATAGGAATAAAATATCTAGTAAAACAAATCCCATTAAATTTACATTTCCTATTCTCCCCTCAATTAT